GGGCAATGGTCTGAATGCCAGCTTGGGCGGAGGCAATTATTTTGAGCTCATGTGTGAAATCGTTATCTATAACCCCGGGGGTCACATGAAGTCCTCTAAGTGTAGAGCTGGCTCTACCTAGTATTAAACCAAACATATGAGGAGGCAGGGGGCCATAAACTCCCGAGGCTATGGTCTGAGGACTGTTTACAGGTGTTAGTATTGAACCAGCAGAGGCACGAAGGTCCAATCCTGCGCCGCCAGCGGTGGCGAGCCAGAAGTCTGAAACGGATTGGTGTGTGTGTGTTGGGGGATGGCGGAAGGAGTCTGCATGGTTGGGGAACAAACCTGATAGCCCTGAGGCTTGTCCTCTGGGTAGGGGCCGGGGGCTGGCACCGTTGAAGGTTTCCCGAGTGTCTGGGATGTAAAGGCTGACCCTGACAATAGTTCTGGAGCGGCATTCAGAAGCCCAGTGTTTCCTTTATGACTGTGTGCACATAGGGTGGCGTGGGGCGCAGTACAGTCCCTAGAAAAGTGGCCAGGCTGTTTGCAGTTAAAGCAGGTATTGGAAAGCAGGCCAACACCTCGGTGGGCGGCTCCTATGGTGATTCCTATGGCATGAGAGGTGGGATTAATGCCGGAGCAAAGTTTAACATACTCCGAGAGAGCACCATGCAGAGTTGCCATTTTCATATGCTAAATGTTCAACAGAAGGACTATCTGTTTCACCGCTACCAAAGAGTCGCTCAGCTGCCTCATTTAGGCAGCTAATAAAATTGCTATAACTTTCTTGCAAGCCTTGCCTAATCTTTGCTAAGGAGGTGGTGGCTGAGCCTTTGGAAGGGAGACACTTCCAGGCTCCAAGACCAGCTTGCTGGACTTGAGTCAACGGGCCAGGTGGGTAGCTGGCCTGAGTCTTATTGGTGTGATAGGGGCTTTCCCCAGTCAACCTTTTTAATGACCAATTTTTTGAAGATCTACTTTTTTCATTTCGTTGAGCCAATTCCCTACAGTTTTCTATGAATTCTGTTCTCCGTAAGACAAAGTCCCCTCCTGTGAGGGCAGCACAGGCGGAGCCGGCTCCAATCATTTGGGGTAAGCCATTTTTTCACTAAGGCTTTCTAGCAGAGCCAGGGTAAGCGGGGCAGTGGGTCGGTCCGTAGCTGGAGACTGCAGATTTTAACTTTTCCAGAAACTTTAGATTTAAATTTTTATATTGGTGGGAGGAGGTGTCTACTTCCTCATCCTCAGAGGGGATGAACCTCCTCTTCGTTTACGCCTGTGCCATCCTCCTCTGAGGCATGTCCCTCAGATTCGGGGTTATTATCTGTGACAGGCATGTTAGAACTCTGGCTAGCGTAACTGGGAATGCCAAAGGGGGCTTGTTAGTATTTGAAGGCCTAGTTTTCTGTTTAACTGGAGGGGAGGTAGCAAAAGAGGCAAGCTCTTGCGTGACCACTCTAAGTTCCTTCATTAATTTTAGTTAATTGTGTCTTTTTCTCAGCTAGGACCCTGCGGAGGGTAGAAATGCCGGTGAGACCCTCCTGCTGGGCCTGGTGAATCATAGGGTCAGGGGATGGCTCCAGATCAAAAACAGGAGCACAAACAGAAGATTTATAAGGTGGGGGATTGAATGGAGGGGGTCTGGCAGTCAGAGCAGTTGCTCTGGACAGTTGATTAGACTCATGATACTGAGCTACTTCCCCCTCAAGGGAGTCTTCCTCTTTGGGGCTTAGTTTATCTTTAAGGTGTGTTAGAGAGGGATATAACTGTTTAGGCTGTGGAAGGGGGAGAGTTTTAGGAGGGTCCTCTAAGAAGGTTTGAGGAAGATCAGAGGGGACATCTGAATTAGATGGGATGGGCTCCATGGGCGTAGCAGGTTTTACAGGTTCAGCAGAAGTTAGGTCAGTGATAACACAGGGGCATGGAGACTGGGAGGCTGTTCTGGACGAGGGGCGGGAAGTCTCCCGAAGGACTTTTTCTCCTTCCTTAATGAGTTCCCGTATGTCAGGATGTCTGTTGTAAATGGTTAGGACATCATTAATAAGATTCCGATAAGAGAAGGTCTCTATAGGGACCTTCTCAGGACCAAAGGTAGGGTAATAATCTTGAGGGCAACCCTCTCCATCTCTTTCCATCTATCGCCCCTGGGGAAACCAAGGGCAAATATCACCAATATAATCTAAGAACTTTTTAAAATCTTTTTTTAACCCTTGTTCCTCATACCTTGAGAGACTCTTTGAGTCCTTTAATGAGTAGACCTTGACTAGTAATTGCTTGTCCCGTGGCATAGGCTTACCTTGCGCTGCAGCGTTTCTCCTCCGGATCTGACTCCCTGGCCTGGTAAAGCCAGTGGCGATCACTTGCAGGTTCTTCTCACAGCCGTATTGAGTTTTGGTGACCTCCGCAGATCTGTTTCACTGTTGAACTGGACAGTGGCGGCCTCTGCAAGTCCATCTCACAATTGTGTGTGGTGACTTTTGCGGGCCGGTGCTTTGGGAGCGGTGGCTCAGTGCATATGGGCAGGCCTGCCACTCTGGATGCAGCAGCATTCCTGGAATTCTTGGGGTTCTCGAGTCCCACATTGCAGCACCAATTGCCCTGGCCTGCAGGGCTCAATGGGTTCGAGCTCATGAGGCCCTGGAATGATGGAACAAGCAGTACAAAGAACTGACAGCAAGACAGATCTTCCGATCAAGCTGCCGTTTAATGAAGATTCTGTACAGGCTTAAATGGGGGAATGTGGCTTTGGCCATGGGGCGGAGGTTGTTAGGAGCAGGGAGCATTTTATATGCAGGAGATCTCACCAGGGAATGTAGGTGTTAGCATTGTTAAGCTATAGGTTATCTCTGGCGGCTGGGCCATCTGTGGGAAGGTTCCTGAGTTTTGGGATGTGCCCTGAGGTAAGAAGTAGGATCCAGTGACCTGGTCCCCAACAATCCCCAAGGCAACATCTGAATCCATAGGCAGACAGAGACAGTGACAGAGACTGGGCCTGGCATGGTCTTTTGAAATCTCAAAGCCTACTTCCTGTGACATACTTCCTCTAATAAGGTGAAACTTCCTAATCCTTCTTATCCTTTCAAATAGCGCCACTTCCTGGTGACTGAGCATTCAAAACCATGAGCCTATGGGGTTCATTCTTATTCAAACCACCACACTAGCCAAGCTCTGAATCAAGTTGTTCTTGCACACCTGTCTATGTGCAGGAGAGGTGCATGTGCGGTTATGTACATATGTGTGTAAGTTTATTTGAAGGGGATGTGCGCGTGCGTGTGAGCGTGCATGCATGCATGTGTGCGTGCAGGTGTTGTTCCTCAGGTGCTGGCCTATGATCCTATGGGATAAATATGACTGCATATGCCTCTCCAGGGCTGGGATTACAAGCATGTGCTATCATGCCTGACTTTTACATTGGTTCTGGCAATACCAATGTAGGTTACCATGACTGCATGGAAAGCACTGTGTTGACTGAATCATCTCCCCAGACCTGGTTGGTTCTTGTGCAAATAAAGGCTCTAGAGTACAGTAGCTGCGGGTATGGGCAGAAGACATAATTCATATACTGTAGTAACCTAACCTGGTGATCACTGGCAGTTACTTCCCGCTGAAGTTCTAGTGCTTGACCCAGGACTCAGGCACATAGGTTTCCTTTCCTTCAACCTCACACTGACCATTCACAGTTGACAGACCTCACTGGAGACATTTCCCCCACTGCTTCTGCTTTCCTGCTGGAACATGAATGCATGTGGCCACCTTGGTTTTTGAGGCAGGATCTCCCTGACCTGGAAATCAGTGGTTAGGCCAATTGTTTTAGTTTGGGTTTCTTTCTTTTTTCTTTTTTTTTTTTTGTTTTGTTTTGTTTTATTTTCGAGACAGGGTTTCTCTGTATTGTTTTGGAGGCTGCCCTGGAACTCACTCTGTAAACCAGGCTGGCCTGGAACTCACAGAGATCTACCTGCCTCTGCCTCCCCAGTGCTGGGATTAAAGACGTGCGCCACCAACACCTGGCTTAGTTTGGGTTTCTATTGCTGTGAAGAAACACCGTGACCATGGCAACTCTTTTAAAAGAAAATATTTATAATTATAGTGACTCATGGTTTCAGAAATTTAGTTCATTACTGTCATGGTGGAAAGCAAGGCAGCAAGCAGGCAGACATGGTACTAGAGAAGGAGCTGAGGGTTCTTACATCTTGACTCACAGGCAACAGGAAGTAGTCTGAGCAACTGGGTGTGGCTATGGGTGTGGCTTTAGCATAAATGAGACCTCAAAACCTGCTTCCACAATGACATACTTCCTCCAACAAGGCCACACCCACTCCAGAAAAGCCACACCTCCTAATAGTGCCATTCCTTTGAGGGCCATTTTATTTCAAACTACCACACTAGGTTCCTGGTCTATGAGCCCTAGGGAGTCTGAAGTAGGCCTAAGTAGGCCTAAGTAGGTCTAAGTAGGCCACTAGCTCTGTGATTCTTAGAAGACAGGTTTTACGATGTGTCATAATTCTTACACATGAACATATGTACACACGTGCATAAAAGTGGGTGGTTCCTGAGCAAAAAAGATAGCTGAAGTTGTCCTCTAGGTCCTGCACACTCGTGCATTTCCACCTGTGTGACATGCCCAGGTGCACACCCACAAATAGACACAGGAAGGACTCTCCAGTGAACAACTTGGAAACTGGTCTTCACTCATGTCCCCAGGGTTAGCAGTATTTACCACCTGCGCTATCTCGATAACTTCACATAGTTAGTTCTTCTTAAGCAAATGTGTGCTTAAGACCTGACCCAGTGGAACCGGCCATAGATCTGTTCTTCGAGGTCCCACCAGGAGGGTTCAGAGAGGGCGGCAGAGAGGATCGCAAGCTTTGCAGGGAGCTGGTCAACTCGATGGGTACTGCTGGAAAGATAGCCGGGTCCTTCATTTCCACGGCTCTTTTCCTGTGTGAGGTATCTTAGAGGTCTGGTTCTCTGCCTTCAGTATTGCACTTTTGAATACAGTTCCGTTTCCTTATCTCTAGGTGTTACCTCCAGCACAAGAACAGGATCTGCATTTAAAGAAGACAGAATCTCTGAGTGCAGGAGAACAGTCTTCTGCCTCAGCCTCCAGTCACGGCTCAGCCCCTGAAGCCTACTTGGACCCTCCGTACGACTCAAGAGCATACCGCCTCCCTCGTGGACACTTTGGTACTTGTCTGCCCAGTTCTGTCCTCCAGTCATTCTTCCCTCTGCTCCCCAGAGTCATTTCTTTCATCAACCCAACTTGCACCCCACTGAAACCCCACACTCTCCATATAGATGACCTCCTTCCTTAGTGGCTGCATCTGACACTTTTGTCTGTTCTCTTATCATACCTGTATTTATCAAGTTCTCCTCAAGCATGCCATTGGAAACACCACTGGGGACTAGAGACATACAGCATACTATGATTATTTCAAGAGTTCTTATTTAGGTGGCAGGAGTCAACCCCAGAAGATACATTTGATTGAAGCCGGGCATGGTTGATCACACCTGTCATTCTAATACTTGGAAAGCTAAGACAAGAGAATTTCTGAGAGCTGAAGGCTAGCCTGGACTAGTTAGTAAGTTTTGGGCTAGCCTGTGCTTCAAATTAACACCCTGTGTCAAACAAAACACAAAACACCAACTACCACAAACGAAAGACACATGGATGGGATCTGTCACCAGGCATGACACGGCATTGTGAAAGGGGGTTATTGGATAAAGTGCATCACGGGGTAGAGGTCACTAGAGGAACTGGCGGGAGACGTAACAGTTAAGGAGTGGAAGGTGGAGGAAGCGTACTGTGGTGCACGCCTTTAATCCTGGCACTTGGGGGGCAGAAGCAGGGGGACCTCTGTGAGTTTGAAGCCAGCCCGGTTTACATAGCAAGCTCTAGGCCAGTCAGGGCTACATAATGAAATCCTGTCTTTTTTTTTTTTTTTTTTTTTTTTTTTTTTGGTTTTTTTGAGACAGGGTTTCTCTGTGGCTTTGGAGGCTGTCCTGGAACTCGCTCTGTAGACCAGGCTGGCCTCGAACTCACAGAGATCCACCTGCCTCTGCCTCCCGAGTGCTGGGATTAAAGGCGTGCGCCACCAACGCCCGGCTTTTTTTTTTTTTTTTTGAAATCCTGTCTTAAAAAACAAAATGAGACATGGGGCTGGAGAGACAGCTCTGTGGTTAAGAGCACTGGCTGCTCTTCTAGAGGACCTGGGTTCCCAGCACCCACATGGCAGCTCACACCTGTCTGTAACTCTAGTTCCAGGGGATCTGACAGTCCCACACAGACATGCATGTAGGCAGAACACCAATGGATATAAGATAAAGAATTGGAACAAAACAAAATAACAACAACCAAAAAATGAAAGAAAAGAAACTGAACTGGATGTTTCCAGGAACACTATCCCGCAGGCGGCCATGTGACGGGTGAGTGAGAGAGCAGTGAGGACTGAGAAGTTGGATTAGAGCTATGAAGTCAGAAGGATCCATGATGGCGGGAGAGGGAAGAGCAGGGCTGGGCCTCCAGAGGTCCCAGATGGCGGGGGAGGGGGCTGGCTGGTGCTGGCTGTTCCAGGTCCAGTTCCCACCCCTGCATGGCGGCTCTTCACCACCCATAACCCCAGTGCCACAGACCCCACATCTTCCAGTCTCCACACCAGGCACAGAGGTGGTGCACAGATAAAACACCCAGACTCTTAGAACAGATAAGATTTCTTTCCTGCATGTATGTCCTTGTAAGGGTGCCATGTGGGTGCTGGGAATTGAACCCCTGTCCTCTAGAAGAATATTCAGTGCTCTTAACCCTTGAGCCATTTCTGCAGCACAAGACTTTTTTTCAAGGCAGGAGTGTAAGTCAGTCTTGGAAGTGGTAAGGAAATTAAGGCAGAGAGAATGTAGTCAGACATAGATCTTTGGTCAGGTTGGAGAGGAGACTACAAGGAAGCTCCACTTCTGTTTGGCCAAATAACATTCCCTGCACGCTGAGGATGAGGTCTCTGGAAGAAGCCGAGAGCTCCCTGGATCCCACCTCCTTGGTCACATGGACCTCAGGGAGCTGAAAGGAGGACTTGACCCACTGAGTTCACCTTTCACCCCAGGTCCTGCTTTTCCTGAGGTGGAGAACACCAGAGCCCGGGTTACTGTGGGGAACTCCACAGCAGCCGCTGTGTTTGGGATGGTCAGACCCCAGGTGAGAGTGGCTGGTTTCTTGATTCCATGTCTCTCAGGGGATGGGGGGAGTGGAACTCACCTCCCAGACTACCTGAAGTGGCTCCTGTGGCCTCCTGCCCACTGCTTCCCCTGGAGCTAAGTCCCTGCCCCTGGTCGTAATGGGTTCCATTTAGCCCAAGTTTATTCTTTTTGATGTGTCAACCCAGCTCACTGCCCTTTTGTTCTCTGTGATGTCTGTACTCCAGAGAACTTTGCTCTTCTGGCTGGGACCATTTCTGAACAATAGAAGCTTGTCATTCCAGGAGAGTACAGCGGATAAGGACTGTATGCGGAGAAAGTGTACAAGCCCGGCACTCAGGCAGAATGCCCTGAACCAGAGCACGATGGAGAAAAATGAGCACAGTGTGGCCTTACTGGGTAATGATCCTTCCCCTCCCCAGTGACAAGCAGCCTGTACGCCATCCTCACTGTATCCTTTTGATTTGATTTAACTTTTTACTATGGATATTTGCAAACATAGAGTAGATGGGAACTTCCCTGCCCATCACCTAGTTTGACAGTGGTCATCATTTTCTTTATTTAATTAATGACTGGTCAACAGTAGGGAGCTACCTTGGGGTTTCTTAGCTGTAAGTAAGAGTCCCTTGGGTTTTGCAAGTAAAGATCTTTGTGCTTGAGGGATTTCAAGAATGGGGACCCAGAACAAAGCAGTCAGATTAGGGGGTGGGAAATGGCAGTCCGGGAGACTCATCAGTGTGATCACATGAGATTTACAGGACTGTTCCCGTGTCACTGCTGCAGCTGCTCTCTGGGTGTTTGTGCCCTGTGCTTTTCCTTCCGCTGACACTGATTTCTGGAATCTGGAACCATAGCTGCTTCTCAGTTCTGTGTTCAATGAGTCATCACACACACACACACACACACACACACACACACACACACACACACACACACACACACACACAGGGTTTCTATGTACCTTTGGATCCTTTCCTGGAACTTGCTTTGTAGACCAGGCTAACCTTGAACTCACAGAGATCTGCCTGCCTCTGCCTCCTAATGCCGGGGTTAAAGGTGTGCGCTACTACCGCCCAGCCCCGTTTAGGTCTTACTCGTAATTCTGTCCTGTTTTGGGGTCAGAGTTTTCCTAGAGTGGATTCTGACCAAGACAGTGTTTAGTCTCCTCTGTGTTTTCAAAGTCACTGGCCCAGATTACAACAGATGTTGATGACAAGCTACAGATAAACTAGACTTTGGTCTTCCTGGTATCTGGCCCGCTCTAATCACCTGCCGCCCCTCGGGACATGTTGAGGGTTACTTGACCCAGAGTGTAGTTGTGTGCAAAGCCTGAGACCCATCCTGTGATTAGCACACTCAGGACAGTAGCCAGCATAACAGGAGGTGGACACGAAAGTTACTAACCTAAATATTTTAAAGTTTCATTAGCTAGAGATGTGCTAGCCTTGGCCTCATTGCAGCATGATTGCAGCATGATTTAAAAGAGCCAACATTTTGGTATTTGTTGATAACCATGAATGACTACTACAAGCCGGGCGTTGGTGGCACACGCCTTTAATCCCAACACTCTGGAGGCAGAGGCAGGCGGATCTCTGTGAGTTCAAGGCCAGCCTGGTCTACAGAGCTAGTTCTAGGACAGCCTCCAAAACAATACAGAGAAACCCTGTCTCGAAAAACCAAAAAAAAAAAAAAAATGAATGACTACTACACCTTTCCCCAGATTTTGCCTTGGCATTTCCAAAGCTGCAGACCAGTGTTTAACTATTTAATTTCTTTGTTATTTTAGGGATAAGATCATATGGACATGCTTCTTTTAATTTGATACATATATAGGACTAGCTTTGCCCAGTCCCTAGCTCTGCTATCCCCTTCAACACTGTTCTAAACCCATATGCATATTCCCATTGCCATGTCACACATGGGATGAGTTTGAACTCTTACCACACTGTCACAATGGAAATTCTCATCAGCTCACTGCCATCTTTCTTTCTTTCTTGCTAACCTTCCCTCCCTCCCCCACCCCTCCACTCTCCCCACAGTTCTTACTATGTACCCCTGTCTAGCCTGGAACTCTGTGTAGACCAGACTGACCTTGATCTCACAGAGATCTCCCTGCCTCCACCTCACAAAAGCTGATGTCATGGTGAAGAGGAACATAATTTAGCCATTCACTAAGAAGATGGTATCACAGTGACTCTAGAAGATGATGAGACATTGTGTTACACAATCTATCTCTTACTTTCCAGTCTTTCTCCTACCTAGGCTGTACCAGCTCAAGTTTCCTCCATCCTTGGCCTTCCCCCCTATTCTGCTCTATGGGCCATTGTCCCTCTGTGTTTTAATATCCCTGAAGAGGAAAGGAAACTATTTTCTCTCTACTTCTCAATATGCTGTCTCTTTCCTTAATGATAATATGACTTTTCAGCTACAAAGCAAAAAAAAATGAGTAAGAATTGTTTTCTTATTTCTTTTAGCAACAGGTAAGAACAGGATGGAAAGTTCTGAGTGCACGTCCAAGCGTCGTGTTTCTAAACGGTCAGATTCACCTGGCACATCCTCAGGGGGACTCGTTGCAGCAGCCTTGGTAGAACCAGAGTCTGGAGCTATCTGTGAAGATCCTTTGGTGCAGGTGGAAGGGCGTGAACGAGAAAGCGATTTCTTGGGAAAGAAAGATAAGAAAAATTCCACAGAAGACAGAAACGAAGAATGTAGAGATGTGGGGGAGCATGTAGATCCTCCCTCCAGTTCTGCTGAGATTCCGAGAGAGGCAAAGAGACAAAAGCTCTGTCAGTGTGATGAAAGTGACAAAGTTTTCAGCCAGAGTTCACACCTCTTTGGATACCAGAGAATCCGCAATGGAGAGAAACCCCATGAATGTAGTGAGTGCGGGAAGAATTATCATCACAGTTCCCATCTTAGGCAGCACCAGAGACCTCACCATGGCGAGAGGCCTTATAAATGCAATGGATGTGCAGAAGCTTTCCCTCAGAGTTCCCCGCTCGTTGACCACCAGAGAACCCACACCGAGGAGAAACGTTATGAGTGCAATGAGTGTGGCGAGGCCTTCATTCAGAGTAGAAGTCTTACCCAACATCAGGTCCTTCACACTGGGAAGAAGCACCATGAGTGTGACGAGTGTGGGAAATCCTTCTGTGCTAGCAGGAATCTTATTGACCACCAGAGAACCCACACTGGGGAGAAGCCTTATGGATGTATTGAGTGTGGCAAGGCCTTCAGTCGGAGTAAATGTCTTACTCGACACCAGAGTCTCCACACTGGGGAGAAATCATACGCATGTAGGGAATGTGGGAAAGCCTTCAGTCTGAGCTCTCAGCTCATTGACCACGAGCGAACTCATACTGGAGAAAAACCTTTTGAATGTAGTGAGTGTGGCAAGAAATTCAGTTTAAGTAAATGCCTGATTCGGCACCAAAGACTTCACACTGGAGAAAAGCCCTATAAATGCAGCGAGTGTGGGAAATCCTTCAGTCAAAACTCTCACCTCATTATCCACCAGAGGGTTCACACCGGCGAGAAACCTTATGAGTGTAGCGAGTGTGGGAAGGTCTTCAGTTACAGCTCCAGCCTTATGGTTCATCAAAGAACCCATACTGGCGAGAAGCCCTATAAATGCAAAGATTGCACGAAGGCCTTTAGTGACAGCTCACAGCTTATTGTGCACCAGCGGGTTCACACTGGCGAGAAGCCTTACGAATGCACCGAATGTGGGAAAGCCTTCAGTCAGCGCTCCACTTTTAATCACCATCAGCGAACTCACAGCGTGGAGAAGCCCTCAGGGCTGCTTCAGACCCCATCCAAAGGCATGGCTACCTAAGATAGCCTACACATTTGTCTTTTTAAATTACTCCAATATATAGATAGCTGAACCATCTCTCCAGCCTTCACATTTGCTTTTCTAAATTAGTCCAATATCTAGATACCATCCTATCATTTAAGTTCCCACCTAGATTTTTTCCCTCTGACTTGTTAATTTACTTATGTTTGTGTGTGATTGTATGCGTAAGTGCAGTGCTTTTCGAGGACAGAAGAGGGCATCGATCCCTTAGAACTGGTGACTGTGAAGTGACTGACTTGGGTGCTGGGAATTGAACTTGGGTCCTCTGCAAGAACAGTCTGTATTCTTAATCACTGAGCCATCTCTCCAGCCCCTGGACTTTTTTTTTTCTTACATGCTTTCCCTCTTAAACTTCTGTCGATCTGATCTCAACATGCTTTGAGTTAGTTGGTGCTATATAGTATAACTGTTAAATTTCCTTGTATTTATATACTTTCATACTAACATGTAGGCTCTATATTTTTCATGTATAGTTAATTATACTAATTGCTAAATAAATGATTTTAAAATCTCTCTCAAATAATCCTTAAGTTATGAACAAACTCCCCTCTCCCCTAAGCTCTTAAGGTTGGGAGTGCAACTCCAGTGTCATATAATATACTCATTACTGTATCATAACTATTCGTTTTTATTGTCCTTTAAAAAGCTAGTTGTGTGTGAGAGATTGAGAAACAAACAGAGCCCATTTTTGTATCTACTCAGTTGTACAGTCATGTCCCACTTAAATGTGCATTGTGGTGTCCAAGGACCTTCTAACTCCATTCTGGCTCTTCAGTGGGCAGGTTGGGGTAGATCACCGAAAACTGCAAAGGCTTGTTGACGAATATGGCTGTACTGGGGTCAATGACATACACTACCACAAATGTCTGTGTGTGCTGGAGATCTGAACTCAGGTCCTCATGCACGTGTGGCAGACACATTGTCTATTGAGTCATCTCTCCAGGCCCATTGTGCACACATTTCTGGAAAATACTCTTGAAGAAAATCCATAATGTAAAAAGGGGTCTTCATCTGCATGTGGTGGCACATGCCTGTAGTCCTAGCCTGTGGGAAGCAGAAACATCTTTATGAGTTCAAGGTCAGCTTGAATTACATAGCAAGTTCCAGGCCAGCCATGTTGAATCACTGTCTTCAAAGGGGAGGAGGGGGCATGAATTAAACAAAGTGATAGAAATTCTACTACCTAGGCATTCTTTGAAATTTACATTCCCTGTGCATGTCCTCATGGAGGTTACAGGACAACTTGTGGGAGTTGGTTCTCTCCACTAGGTGAATTCCACAAATCAAAGCAGAAGTCTACTGAGCCATTTCACTGATCTCCAGTTTCATTTTTATAAACTTCTCTCCCTCCCTCCGCCCCCCCGTGTGTGTGTGTGTGTGTGTGTGTGTGTGTGTGTGTCTGTGTGTGTGTGTGTGTCTGTGTGTGTGTGTGTCTGTGTGTGTCTGTGTGTAGAGATGAAAGAATGACTCTGTGGAGATGGTTTTCTCCTTCCACCTTTATGTGAGTCCCAGGGACTGAACTCAGCTCACCAGGCTTGCTCGGAAAGCACCACTGTTGGCCCCTGTATTAGTTTTCTGTTGCTGTGGTGGCACACACCTTTAATCCCAGCACCGGGGAGGCAGAGGCAGGCAGATCTCTATGAGTTTAGGACAGCCAGAGCTACACAAAGAAACCTTGTCTTAATTAATAAATAAATAAATAAATAAATAAATAAATAAAGGAAAAGAAAAGAGTTAGGCAATGTGACTCCAGCACAAAGCTGGATGATCACATTCTATACACAAAGGAGAAAGAACATGGGTGAGGCTGTAAATCCTCAGTCCCCAGTAAAGTTCCGCCTCCTAAAGGTTCTGTAGCCTTCCCAAACAGCACCACCAACTGGGGGGGCAAAGTGATCTCACCCACCACAGTCCCCATCCCTTTTTTTTTTTGGTTTTACGGGACAGGGTTTCTCCGTGAAAGTCCTGGCTGTCCTGGGACTCACTCTGTAGACCAGGCTAGCTTCAAACTCACAGAGATCTGTCTTTCTCTGCCCTGCCCCAATTTACTTTAAATTAGAATTCAAAACTGGGAAATCGTTCTGGTGGTCAAACATGGTGGCAAAGGGCAGGAGGCATACACTGAGCCGTTTGCCTCTGATACATGGAAACAACACACTAAGGAAAGTCATGTAGTTATAAATTACTTTTATTTGTATGGATGTTTTACCTGCATGTGTATGTCTGTGCACCACGAGTGTGTTTGGTGCCTGCAGAGGCCAGAAGAGGGCGCCAGATCTCCAAGAACGAAGTAATAGATGGTTATGGGCTATCTTGCACTTTTACCTGCCAAGTCTTCTCAAAGAGCAGCCAGGGCTCTTAACTGCTGAGCCATCTCTCTAGCCCCATGTATTATTATTATAATAATCATTATTATGACGATGATGATGGTTCTTGGTTTGTTTCTTTGGGGGTTTTCGTTTGGTTTGGTATTTTTTGTTGTTTTAAGACAGGGTCTCACTTTTTAACTCTGGCTACCTTGGAACTCATAATGTAGACCAGGTTAATCTGTCTCTGCCTCCCAAATGCTGTAATAAAGGTGTTTGACAACAAGCCTGACACAAATCATGAGATTTTAAATTGTGAGCCACGACGTGGAGGCTAGGGAAGTGCCTCCATGGTTCCAGGCATATACTGCCAAGGTAATGGACCCAAGGTCAGTCAGTTCCCAGGGCCCACAGCAGATAGCTCACAACCCAACCACCTGCAACTCCAGCTCCAAGAGATTCAGTGCCCACTTACGGTCTCCTGAATTTGCATGCACTCAACTACACACAGATATACATAATTTAAAACGAGATAAATTTCTGACCTGTGTTGAGAGATTGTTCTTGTCTAGAAGTTAACTTCCAAGCTGGGTGTGGTGCACGCATGCATTTAGTCCCAGCACTTGGGAGACAGAGGCGGTCAGATTTCTGTGAGTTTGAGGCTAGCCTGGTCTACACAGTGAGTTGTAGGACAGCCAGGACTATGTAGAGATACCCCAAAAGTATCAGAGTATCAAAAAGGATGTGTTCATGAAAAGTTCTAATGATTAGGAATAAATTTTAGATTCATTAATTGTTAATAACCATACAGTGGCTCTATCAATCAAAGCATACCGTATACCTCTTATATCATGCTCTGTCGTGATGGAGCCCTGTAGATGCATTTACTCTGTATGGTAAAGGAAGTGTGTTGTTATGATCCCCAGTGGTTCCAAAGCACCTCGTTTAGTGTTCAATTCATGAAGGAATATTGTAGATTTATTCTTCGTTGGACCAAACCAATCCTCCCTCTAACAGATACATAGGCAGGGCTATGCATACTTTACAGGATGACCAGCAGAGTGAGGGGCAGATTATCTTTCAAGGCATATACATGTTTTGCTCCAAAACACAGAAGACAAATGTATGGTGGTCCATTCCTTTTTCTCAGTCATGGGTATTCCAAATGACTAAAAACACACTGTTCCCCTCCTTGGTAGCCAATCCCATAGACTTAAAACATTTTTAGGAATGAATGTACAGCTAGTATCACATGATGATAGCCAATAAAGTTCTTTCCCAGATTATCTCTAGTTGCATTGTCTTCTGTGTAGATGCTACATTTGTTAGATGTTCAGCTTCCTAGCATGGTCCCATATGGATGATGGATAGAGTTTTCCAAGGACCAGCAGTCACTCAAGTTGGGTAAAAAGAAGGCCAATAGACAGTAACACCAGGGAAAAATATATTTATCCTAGACCCTTTATCTCATAAAGGGTGAGAACCATAGCAGAATGGGATACATTTGGACCATGGGGCACATTTATATGTATCCAGTCACAAGACAATGCATTATTCCATTTCCCCTTTTAGAGATTGGAAAATGCTATATTCCTCCTTGAGCAGAGGAGGCCAGCACTATTGCAGTGAGGCATACCTCAAACCACCTTGGAAAAATCCAGAGCATATTCTGATTCAGGAAGTCACAGTGAAACTTTTCCAACCAGCATTAGGTTGCCTCAGTAATGAACAAAAGTAAAACCAAACCAAACCAATGCTTCCCATTTTTATTTTACCAGGTAGCCAGACAATGGGTGTCCTTAAGTTGTACAAGTACTTCCTCTGAATTGATACATTTCCATCTAGAGGAAGTAAGAAAGCTACTAATACTAGGGAAGTTAAACTCATAAGGCTCAGAGAGTAAACAAAACTTACAAGGCATCTCTGGATAAGTAGTTAGCAGTTATAAGCCCTTGCAGGGGACCCAAACTAGGTTCCTAGCATAACACCAAAGATCCGATGCCCTCTTTGGGCCTCCGTGGGTATCAACAAGACTCAGGAAGATCCTGAAACCTAGAAAATTCATAAGGTCCCTCCCCACGTTTATAAAAATTGTAAGACTAGCTGGGGAAGGTGGGGGAGGGGATGGGAAGGGAGGAGGGAAAGGAAACTGCAGTCAGGATGTACAATGAAAAGAATAGCTGGTGCCGGGCGTTGGTGGCGCACACCTTTAATCCCAGCACTTGGGAGGCAGAGGCAGGCGGATCTCTGTGAATTCGAGGCCAGCCTGGTCTACAGAGCGAGTTCCAGGACAGTCTCCAAAACAATACAGAGAAACCCTGTCTCGAAAAACCAAAAAAAAAAAAAAAAAAAAGAATAGCTGGAGAAAGACTCTGACAAGACGCTAGTACAAAATCCTAGGGATGCAATATCCACATCCCTACCTACACTTGAGTGTGGTCTTCACTGATGCAGCTGCCCTCGGGTTCACAAGGAATCTCTCACGATCCTGTAATTCTTTGGTCCGTTGGTGGTGTCCTATATGGAGGGAAGAGAAACTGTTTACATCTCCCCTGGGAAGACCACATAACACAACTGGCGCAAGAACAGGGATCAGAGAAACAAAGATGTAAGTTTTTAACACATGAACCTCTGAAAGACATTGCCGATTTGAACAACAGCGGCCAACACACAATTCATCACTCTGGTCATTCCTTCAAAGTATGTGTCGTCCCCTTTCTTACCAGCTATTACATGTGTAGTCATGGGCATCATTTACCATTGCATAAACTGCAATACTGTCTTAATAAACGTGTTTCTTCTTGACTCTCTCTTAGCCTCTTCTCCAAAGGGCAGGCAGTATGACCTTGAAAAGGCTAAGTCAAAGAGCTGAGAGCTGTCTCTCTCTCTCTCTCTCTCTCTCTCTCTCTCTCTCTCTCTCTCTCTCTCTCTCTCCTCTCCCTCTCTGTTATTTTAGAATACCTCCATACACAAATTCATAGAGTTTTATAGGAACAGGCTTCTTGGCTCATTTCATATCTCATAGGCAACAAATATTGGAATATGTGACAGAAAGCAAAAACAACAAAAGAAAGCACACATCTCTCCTTGGACCCAAGTTCCTAACAGCTAGCTTTCTGCACCATTCCGGGCAAGCCCTACCACAGACATCCTCCTCACCTGTCCCACATAATTCCTGATTCAGGACTTTTACTCCTAATCCATCAGGAACACATTTTCCCCAGTTGTTTACATGTTTCCATCGCTTCCTATATATGCTTCAACTGTGCAAACAAACGGTCTCCCCCCTGGATAATCCAGCTCCGGGGCACAGAGATGCGGAGACCTCCGGTTGCCTAGAAGGGCCTGAGGGACGGGGTCGGCTGGACAGCTCAGCCTGGGGTACAGAGATGCGGAGACCTCCCGGTGCCTAGAAGGGCCGCAGGCGCAAGGAAGAGGAGCAAATCGCAGCTGCTCTTTGGCCGGCTTTGTTCCCGGGACTGTGTGTGGTTCCGGCTGGGCATCGGGCTCCAGGAGCCAGCGGCTCCGGCGGATGCCTGCCTTTGTTTAGCATCTCCCCTGCACGTTGAAGGAATGACGGGGCCCGCCAAGGCTCTCCGGGGCCAAGCTCGCTGCAGGCTCTCCCAGGAGTGTTTGGCTGCCTTCTCCAGGCCAAGCCCAGGTTGTCACCAGTGAGGACACTGGGGTCGGGAGGAGCGGGGTAGGCCTTGCCCAAGAAATTCATCGATGCCCTCAACAAACACCCATCGCGTACGGGTTTGCTGGGCGCAGGGGTTGCAGTGTGTAGGAGGCAGAGAGTCCGAAAGGGAGGCTGCAGAGCAAGCTTAGAGGCTCCCCCAGCCCTGCTCATCAAAAGGGAGACAGCATGTCCCCAGGCCTAACAGAGTTAAGAAGTGAATAAATGTCAGGAAAACATCTAGCGTCCATTTAAGCTTTTATGTTTAATATTTATTATTGTTGTTATTGTTATTGTTATCATTTGAGATAGCATCTCACCCTGGCTGACTTGAAACTTACCTTGTAGACCCGGTTGGCCTCGAACTCACACAGATCCTCCTGCCTCTGCTCCTCAGGTGCTGGAATTAAAAGCGAATGTGGCCACCATGTCGAGTTACTAGTCTTTTTTGGAAAAAAAAAAAAAAGCAACATTATTACTGTGTAATGTGTGTGCATAGGTGCCAACACTTGTGCCACAGCCTAGTGTGAGGATCAGAGAACGTCTCTCCTTACACTGTGAGAAGTGACTCAACTAAGGTCTTGCGCAGGTATGTGGACCGAGGTAGGTAACTATGGTCACGTGCTAAGCCAAGGTACCACCCATGTTCTAGTCAGTCTCTCTTAAAGAAATTATTTTTATTAGTTTTGTGTGTGTGTGTGTGTGTGTGTACATGTAGAAGTTTGTGGAGAATTTCAGACTAGCTTGGCAAACACTCTCACACAATGAGCCATATGTGGTGTGGGGGTGGTTTATGCACATAAGCACGGATGCCTACAAGTCTAGAAGAGAAGAGGGTTGGAGTTCAGGTAGTTGTGAGCCACTGAATGCAGAGTTTCTGTCCCCCCCTGGTCCTGTAACCGTTTAGACCCATATAAACACAACGAGGCTTACATTAATCATAAATGGTTTGGCCGATGGCTCAGGCTTCTTACTGGCTGACTCTCTCTTAATTTTTAACCCATTTCTATTAATCTAAGTATTTCCACGTGGTCTTGGCTTGCCAGAGAATGCCTGGGCATCCTACCTTCCTGGTGGCTACATGGCGACTCTCTGTGTCCTCTTCCCAGAATTCTCTGGCCAATCAGTGTTCTATTCATCAACCAATAAGAGAAACATATACAGAAGGACGTTCCCCCATCAAGCCACCTGACGTGGTGGTGCTGAGAACTGAGCTGGGCTCTTCTGGAAGAACAGTATGAACTATGAACTCTTAACCACTGAGCCTTCTCCCCAGGTCTCTGTCCTTGTCTCCCTTTTTTTTTTTTTTTTTTTTCGTTCAGGGTTTCTCTGTATTGTTTTGGAGGATGTCGGACCAGCCTGGCCTTGAACTCGCAGAGATCTGCCTGCCTCTGCCTCCCGAGTGCTGGGATTAAAGACGTGCACCACCACCGTCCTCGTCTCCTTAAAGACACTTAACAGCCAGGTTGCTTGCTCTCCTTTGTCAGGTGCAAAAGCTAGGCTTCAGGGGAATTCTCAGCTGGAGTGCATTTTGTAAGTAAAGATACGGAGAGCCGGGCAGTGGTGGCACACGCCTTTAATCCCAGCACTCAGGAGGCAGAGGCAGGCGGATCTCTATGAGTTCGAGGCCAGCCTGATCTACAGAGTGAGTTCCAGGACAGCCTCCAAAACAATACAGAGAAACCCTGTCTCAAAAAACAAAAAACAAACAAACAAACAAAAGATATGGAGAGTTTTAGATCCCACAGCAAAGGCGAGAAGGAGTAGCTTTGATGTGCTAGAAGGAAGATTCCTTTCAGACACACAAGGCTTGATCTACAGCAAGTCATTCCATCTCCGGGGGCCCTCATTTCTACATCTTTAAAATGAGGATGATGGCTTGGTTCTACAGGCCAGGATGATGGGACACTGCTGAGTGAATGTTTGGAGTTGAGGTTTCGGGGAACTCTCTCACCGAATCTGTGCACAGTGACCCAAGAGCCCATCAAGAACGTCTGCACTGAACCCAAGGAGGCGATCAGGCAGTCTCTGCTGGGCAGACAGACCCTTTGCTACTGTGCGTGAGGATGAGGGCGAGTTACTCTCTTCTCTCCTGAAAAAAATCACAGCCAGTCAGAGAAAATGGGGGTCAGGATGGAAAGAAATCCTTTCCTTTCTCCTCTTTCAATTCCCTGTCTCCCGTATTTTCTTTTCTCTGTTTGAGATAAGGCTTCAGATACCCCAAGCCACACTCACAATTGCTAGGTAGCCAGGACTGGCCTGGACCTCTGACACTCCCATCTCCACCTCCCAAGTGCTGGGATTACGCTTCTACCACTACGCCTGGCAGACGGGGAGGCTTTCTTGAGGATGTTATCAGGTGAGAGAAAGCACAGGAATAAGAGGGAAACTTCTGGACCTGAGGGTAGAATGATGTGAAGGAGCTCAGACATGGGTGCCATGAGACTCAGATTTGGATCCTGTTGCTCCCACTGAATCTCAGTGCTCCTGTTGACTCCTGGTTCTCCTAATGCTTCCGTTGATTCCGAGTGCTCCTGTGGTATCCTCGTGCTCCCGTTGAATCCGAGTGCTCCAGTGAGGTCCACTTTCCCTCTCTGTCCATTTGAATGTAAGTCTCAGAGCAATTTCCTGTGAGTTTTGAGGTCAGCCTTGGCTACTTAGTAAGACGCTGTCTGAAAACAAAAAACAAAAGAAAAAAAATAGTCCAGTATGCTAATATGTCCCTTCCAGCTTCCAACATTCTGACAGTTTGTGCATAGTGTGACTGGTCAGTTTCTTAGGGAATGCTGGCTCTTCGATGGTTATGTTGAGATATAGTTGCTAATACTACAAATGTGTTGTCATATTTATTGAGAATATGAAGTCTTTTTTTAAAAATTATTACAGCCTGGCGTGGTGGTGCATGCCTTTTATCCCCAGTACTTGGGAGACTGAGGCAGGCAGATCTATATGTATTCCAGGCTAGCCTTGTCTACTTAACAAGTTCTAGTAGAGCTAGAACTACATAGCAGAGAGACCTTCTCTCTCTCTCTCTCTCTCCCTTCTCTCTCTCCCTTCTCTCTCTCCATATATATATATATATGTATAGTGTATATATACATATATAAGTATATATGGGTGTATATATAATTTTATGTCTACAAGTGTTCACCTGCATGTATGCCTGTGCACCATGTGCATGCCTGGTGCCTGGTGCCCATTAAGGCCAGAAGAGGGTGTCTAAGCCCCTAGACCTGGAGTTACAGATGGTTGTGATCTGCCATGTGGGTGCGGGGATTTGAACCCACAGCAGTAAGTGCCCGTAACTGCTGATCCAGGTCCAACTCCTAGAATATGGAGTCTGAAAAGAATGACCAGGTGGAGGAGGGATGATGGTTGTGACTTATAGTGGACTCACCTTGCACCATCTCCAAGTGCGCTTATAGTAGCTAAAATCATGACCATGTTCAACTTAGCACTGCAGATAGCATTTGCTAAGCTCTCCAGTGATGGGTAATGTGTACCACAGGCTAGTGTCACAAGCCTGGTTCTCTAGGAGCTTAAAGTAACTGTGGGAGAAGGGGAGAAACACCAGCAGTTGTACTTGTTTATAGTCACTTTTGTTATTTTTTTATTTTTTGGTTTTTCGAGACAGGGTTTCTCTGTGGCTTTGGAGGCTGTCCTGGAACTAGCTCTTGTAGACCAGGCTGGCCTCGAACTCACAGAGATCCACCTGCCTCTGCCTCCCGAGTGCTGGGATTAAAGGCGTGTGCCACCAACGCCCGGCTGTTATTTTTTTTTTAAGCACAGAAAGGTTTTTTTGTTTGTTTGTTTTTGGTGTTTTTTGTTTTTGTTTTGTTTTGTTTTGGTTTTTTTTTGAGACTGGGTTTCTCTGTATTGCTTTGGAGGCTGTCGTGGAACTTATTCTGTAGACCAGGCTGGCCTCGAACTCACAGAGATCCGCCTGCCTCTGCCTCCTGAGTGCTGGGCATTCACTGATAAGCCAAGACCACGTGGAAATGCTTAAATTAATAGAAATGGGTTAATAATTAAAAGAGAGCCAGCCAATAAGAAGCCTGAGCCATCAGCCAAACAATTTATAATTAATATAAGTCTCTGTGTTTATTTGGGGCTAAACGGCTGTGAGACCAGGCGAGAAGAAACTCTGTCTACACTGGGGCCTGGTGCCCAGACCTCTAGGAAAAGATGAAAACTTTAGTCATACTCTAAAACAATCTTAGTTGCTATTCTGAATGTTTGCTATATGCCAGCCACTGATTCACTGTCACCAAGGAAGTCGTTCAGCAAGAAGTAAAAGCCAGGCCAGTCTGCACATTACGTGTTTAAACTCACTGAACCAAGGGAGCTTTCAGTATACCTTTTCTTGGTACTAGGTTATACTTCACCCTGTCTTTCAGGTGTTTTGCTCCCATTTTAGAGAGTTGAGCAGGAAGAAGGAGTGGATTGTATGCTGCTGATTGCATGTTTGGAGAATGGACCTGCTGTGTTCTTCTTCAACTCTGTCTTTAACTTTTTATTGCCCTCTGTCTAACTTTTGTCACTGTCCTCGTCATTTTGAACAGTTCTCTGCCTTCAAGCTCTACAAGGCAGCGATAAGAGACACTGGAATGCCCCCAGCAGGAGAAGATGAGGAGAAAGACGAGAAGGATGCGGTTTGGAGCTTGAACAGTTCTCTGCCTTCAAGCTTTACAAGGCAGCGATAAGAGACACTGGAATGCCCCCAGCAGGAGAAGATGAGGAGAAAGACGAGAAGGATGCGGTTTGGAGCTTGAACCCTGCTTCCTCCCTGATATATCAGTTTTTCTAAATAAATGTTAGGCTTGAATGAACCCTATCTTTTGTGGTGGATTATTCCTGAATTCTTGTACCCTAACAGCATGACTTTTCTGAGACCTGTTCACAGATAAACATTCGCAGCAGTGAAGACAAGATTGCCCTCCAATCCAGGTCCTGGCTCTACCAACCCCTTCTCCCTGAGGCTGACCTCAGTGATCTTCAGTGAGGATAAAAGCCTATGTAGGCGAAAGATCACTTGCCTTGGATTTCAAAGTCGTGCTAGTTAACTGGCAGAAAAAGTATTCTAGTTTACTAATCCTTAGTTTCCAGTACTAGGACAATATTGTCTATCTTAAAGGACCCTTGTAAAGGAGCAAAGTAAGTACGTGGGAAATGCAGAGATGTAACAAGCGATGTGTATATTCTAGTTTTTGTGTGTTCATTTGTTTCGACACCCAAATGTTCTGATTCAAAATTTAGCTTAATCTAAATGTGCAGTTTCCTGCCTGGAGACAGCATTGTCTCTTGAGCCCACCAGTCATGGAGACTCAGTTTCCAAGAGAGCCAGGATTGGGCTGAGCAACGGGAAGTCGCTGTACCTGCAGGATTGGGGTGAGCAACCGGAAGTCGCTGGACCTGGCAGGGCCATTTCTCTGGGCCTTGTCGTCTACTTCCAGTGTTGTCTGTGGGCAGCCAGGCTCAGGCTGGACACCCGAGAGCTGGAGAGCAGGGCGAGCACAGGAAGTGGACGCCAGGGCCCTGAGGGAGGGAGGGCCCTCTGGCGGTGGACCAGGCTACTGTGAACTTGTCCTCTGAGAGTTTCTTTCATCCCAGAGCCAGGGATGCTGAGGCAGGAGGATCAGGAGTTCCAGGTCCGGCTGGGCCGCTTGTGTCAGGGTGGCCAGGAGGAGGCGAGAGTGAGCTCAGCTCGTGTCAGGGTGGCCAGGAGGAGGCGACAGTGAGCTCAGCGGGCTGGTTCTCCACGTCTGCCTTTCCAGTTCTTGCAGGCTGACAACGCCTTAAATGTTTGGCATGTATGTCTCTGGGGCAGTGGTTTCCAGTCTTCTGCAGATGGCTTGGCTTCTGTGCTTAGGGATGGGTCAGTTGTCGTCCAATTTTATAACTTAAGGGAACTGAGAAAAGCAAACCATCGTCTTTGCAGAGGAATATATTTTATCACAAGTACCAAGGCTGTCCTCTGCCGAAAGGCTTTGCCAATCTGGTGATGACTTCTCTTTTTTAGCCTAACTGATTAAAGCCTTATCTCTGACTAGTGATTGGAGACAGGTGTCACGTGCCTCATCTTAAACGGCATTGCTTTGAATTTTGGGGCTCAGGATCCTTGGATTCACAGTTTGACCCATGAGGTAGCCCGGATGCTCATGTGTGAGTCAACTCAGCTTCTGAACCTTTTACTTTGGATTGCTGCCTCACACACCTCTTTTGAGAAGAAAGGTGTGGGGTTTGTTTTGCTCTGCCAAGCTTGGAACTCTAGGGAGCAGGTGAGATAGCCCACTTGTCCATAAAGTTGACGAAAGACCTGCGTATGGTCAGAGTACATGACATGATGTCAATTTGTTTGTGTCAGAATGGACACAACGACACTCATTTGTGTAAGAGGAATCTTAATTTAGAACTCTAAAGAATAGATTTTAAAAATAAAGCTGGGAGGGGTTGTTGAGGAGATCTCTCAGAGGTTAAGAGCTCTGGCTGATCTTCCAGAGGACCCAGGTTCAACTCCCAGAACCCACATGGCAGCTCACAACTGTCTGTAACGCCAGCACACTCACACAGCCATGCATGCGAGCAAAACACCAATGCACATAAAAAAGGAATCATTAAAAAACAAATAAAGCTTGGGGCTGGAGAGATGGCCCAGTGGTTAAAAGCACCTTCTGCTCTTGAAGAGGACCTGAGTTTGGTTCTCAACAAACACATTTCTGGTCAAAATCACCTGTAACTTCATTCCAAAAACCTTCTTGAGGCCTGTTAGGGCACCTGCGTACACGTGGCACACATATACAGAGAGTCATAAATAAAAATATAAACATTGTTTCAAAAGATTAATAATAGGGGCTGGAGAGCAGGCTCAGAAGTTCAGATCATGTGCTGCCTTCTCAGAGATCCGAGCTCAATTCCCAGCACCCATTTAATCTGACATACCTGTACTGTGGAATCCTTAACCATGTAATAGATGATCTTAAAGTCGTGGTGACCCTCCAGCCACAGCCTCTCAAGAGCTGGGGTCACAGATGTGAGCCCCTAATCCTTGGCTTAATACTGTAAGATTACTTAAGATTTACCCACTGAGGGACTCTCAATGAAGGGTTCCTGCCTTGTCCGCCTTCCATTTATCATTTAGAACACACAAAACTAAAAAGCCATAACTGTAGCGCTGTGAAGCTCATTTTGGGGGCAGAGAGCAATTTTGAAATGTTTGTGAGGCTTTTTGGTTTCGGTTTTGGTTAGATTTGATTTTTGGTTTTGAGACGGGGATCTCCACCCCCCAGGGCACAGAGATCCACCAGACTCTGCCTCCCAGGTGCTGGGATTAATGGTGTATGTGCACTGCCACATTTGGCGGATTTGAAATATTTTAAGACAGTTGAATCTGAATATGAATGGCTGTAATTTTTCCTACTGGCAGTGATGGTTATTTGGAGAATATTCTTAAAGAGATACATATTGAACGCTTGCAATAAAGCGTTTTGATGTTTATAATTTCTAAAATTGGCCTTGATTATATAGGAGAATTAATGCGAATATTGTCCAGATGAATGGCAGGGCTATTCACTGTATCATTCCTTCAACTTTTCTGTACCGCTCGATATTTTTGAAAATAAAAATTTTCCTACAACCTGTCAGGATTTTCTACAGTGTGGAAGAACTCTCCTGCCCTGCATGCTAATACCGGGCCCTCCCCAATCTCACGACTCTTAGGAAATGCAGGAGGACGACCTCCCACCTTCCTAGAGAGGACTGTGTGCTGACTGGGGAGCCGGAAGCCCTTCCCGAGGCACTTCCTGTCCGGTCATTGTTCTCGGCCCGGTTGTAGCATCAGTAGTCTCAGTCCGGGAAACTGGCGCTGGTGGGCTGCGCCGCTGTGGTGAGCGGGGCTGGGCGGGAGAGGGGCAGGATCGCGCCGCACCGACCCGTCGCCTGGCGGGGCCGGGAGGTAGCTCGGGGCGGGTAGGTGGGCTTGGCCGGGCGGGCGGCGGGGGCTGCTGGCGAGGTGGAGCTGGAAGGCCCGTGCAGACGGCTCCGGGCCTGCTGGGCGCGAAGCCGCGGGAGTCGGCACGGAAGACCCGAAGGAGACAATTTAGAGAGTGCACATCGGGGAACGAGTCTCCAGAGCTTTCCTGTCAGAGAGGCCTGTCAGAGAGGCTTAGCCCCGCCACGGCGAGAATAACCCTCCAGAATTGGGATTTGGCCCAGTGGCATTACTTGAAAATTTAGTGTGTACAATAAAGTTAACGTTGGAAAAAACAAGTATGATTACTCCAGAAACTGCAGTAGGGGATTTGGTAAAAATTAGCACCAGTTTTTTAGTAACAGAACCAAAGAGAAATAGAACCAACCAAACAAAAGTCAATCGCTTTATATCCAGCTAAAGTAAAATAGTCAGATTATTAGACTTAGTTAAAAAAAAAACACCCTGGCTAATCTGAGATTTAAAAAAAAAGTCCTCCTAATTAGTAATTGTGTGCCCGACTTTATAAGGTGTTTTAGAAAGCAGTTTAACAAATATAAACGCTTAAGCTAGTGAGCTCACGGTTCATTCTAAAGGAATAATGCATCAGGACAAAAGAATGATTTGTACAGGAAACAACTATTACCAAACTGAGCAGTAAAGCTATGTTTACTAAAGAAAGGGTTGTAAAAAGTGCAGTTAAGTTAATTTAGAATTTTCTGCCGGAATGAGGTACATATGTTTTATCTATTCTATATATTGGAAGACGGCCGTGGTAAAACAGTGAGTTAAGAATTGGATGTGGCTGAGAGTGTCTCTCAGTGGTAGAGCATTTGTCTGTATTTGTGATGCTATTGGATGGGTTCCCAGCACTGCAGGAACAACAGCAAAAACCACCAGGACGGACTGATGAACGAGGCGCAGGTGTGGTCTGACAGTGCCCACGCAGGGGACTAGGCTTTCCCCAACCTGGTCACTAGTTACTCTGTACGTGTGTTTGTGTAAGTGTACGTATAGGACGCATTCAATTTTATATGTTAATATAACCTCGTCAGAAAGACTGAAAATTACAGGTTATTGTGCAACCATTAAAAAGTAAGAAGAAGGGGGCTGGAGAGATGGTGCAGTGGTTAGGAGCACTGACTGCTCTTCCAGAGGTCCCAGGTTCAATTCCAAGCATCTACATGGCAGCTCACAGCTATCTGTAACTCCAAGATCTGACAGTCTCACACAGACATGCGTGCAGGCAAAACACCAATGCAAATAAAGTATAAATAAATAAATTTAAAAAATAAGGATAAGCAGTGTTAACATGAATAATTTTGTTTTAAGCCAATATTTGATCTTACATTTGGAAGATGCAGGAAACAAAAATCAAACAAAAAGAACCTCAAAAAAACGCTTGTGGGGCTGGAGAGATTGCTCAGAGGTTAAGAGCACTGACTGCTTGCTCTTTCCAGAGGTCCTGAGTTCAATTCCCAGCAACCACATGGTGGCTCACAACCGTCCGTAAAGATATCTGGTGCCCTCTTCTGATGTGCAAACGTACATGGAGGCAGGATGTTGTATTCATAATAAATAAATAAAATCTTTTAAAAAAAACGCTTGTAACTATACCCTTTGAGATAATCATTCTTTTCTCTTTAGTAATCTTTATAGAGTTCCTTCTTTAAAAAATTAGTCTAGGGGTTGGAGATGTGCCCTATAGTTTGTAACAAACTATAAGTAAAATAATAACTATTATCACTGGATTGGAGTTTTTCCCTAATATTTTTCTATATTCTTAAAGGTTTTTTTTGTTATTATTATTATTTTTCACTTGTTCGAAACAGGGTTTCTCTGTGTATCCCTGTGTGTCCTGGAACTTGCTCTGTAGACCAGGCTGGCCTCAAATTCATAGAGATCCATCTGCCTTTGATTCCCTAGTGCATAGTTTTTACTGTTAAAATATTAGTTCTTCCTCTTTTCTTTCTTTTTGTTTTTTTTTTTTGAGATAGCATTTCACTATGCTGCTTTGGATGGCCTTTGTAAAGGAGGCTTCTACTTCCCCAAGTGCTAGGATTAAAGGTGTGTAGGCAAATTGTTAATTTTTAATCAAATAAAAATTGCTTATACATCTCTTTTGTAATCATAAATATTTACAATCTACCCCTATCATTTGAAGGAGAACAGACCATTACTGTTCTGCTGTGGCCACCAGCCAGGAGCTGGTAACATGAACTAGTGGGGTAAGACCCAAACCAAGCTATATTTTTAGTTAACTGTGTTTTCTGGTTTTGCAGACAACAGTACTCATCTTGGCACTGGGAAAAAACTCAGAAGCTCTGGGACTTGGAGATTAGATGGGGTGTGACCGATGTTGGGCATCCCTCAGGGAGATTCCCCCACTGAACAGAGAAGATGACTGCAGAATTGAAAAAGACCATGGGCCGAGCCTCTCGGGGCCCAGTGAAGGTGAAGAAGGAAGAGGATGAGGATGGAGGCGTGAGCCCGGCGTCCAGTCAGCAAGTGTACTCCGAGAGTGTCAAGGCCTGGGGCCCAGGGGCAGGTCCTTATCTAAGCATTGACGTATCAGAAGAGGAGGAAAAGGTGAATGATCATCTGGGGGAACGGAGGAGAAATGCAGTTCTCAGATAGTTTCAGAGGCCCTGTACCACCAGACCAAGTTTTTTTTTTTTTTTTCCTAATGAGGGCTCTTACCTTTATTCCTTTGGATCACAGTGAGATGTTCCCTTTGATTGTTGTGTACCATCCTACGAGTACTGTTCTGTAAGTCCATGGCTCCCATCCACTGCTGCGTAGGACTTGGGGAGCTTTACAACATCTTGATACCCACATGACGGTCTGTTCTAATTAGGCCAGGTTCTGGGGAATAAGACCTAGGATTTTTGTTTTGCAAACACGTCAATGAGATGTTTCGTTCGGGGTTTAACAGTTCTTTCCAGTGCTCTGCTGCGGTTAACGTCTGCCGCCTGGGGTCTCAGTAAAGTATAATTTGGGTTTTTGGTCTCGGGTGTTGCTGCAGATACTGTTCATCTGTAGACAAATAGCTCAGGCTGACTGAATTCATGAGTCTCCTGCTTTCATTACTCATGTGCTGGGATTAAGGGCATGGATCAACATACTTTGGTTTGCCCTTAGTGGTTTCAAACTCACTCCAGGTTCATTCAAAAGTTTTCTCAGAGGATCAGAACCCTGTTTGGTTTGATTTTTTTTTCTGGGGGGGGGGGGCTAGAAAATTCTGCTGAAAGATCTGGTCAAGTGCTGCCCTCAGGCTCCCTGTTACCCAAGGATGACCTTAAAACTATGATCCTCCTGCAGTGATTTCCACAAGCTCCGGTTTGTGCCAGCACACCTAGTTTCTGTGGTGTGAGGCAAAGCATTGGATCACCTGAGCTTAAAGCCATGCTGTCTACTTGTTTCAGTTGGGGCTCACTAACAGGTTAGGATGTATGCTCTAGAATTCAGTGAGTTAAAAATGGTAGGCTGGTGGTGGTGGTAGTGCACACTTCTAATCCCAGCTCTTGGGAAGCAGAGGCAGGTGGATCTCTGTGAGGTCAAAGCCAGTCTGGTCTATGGAGTGAGTTCCAGAACAGCCAGGGCTACACAGAGAAACCCTGTCTCGAAAAACTTGCAAAACAGAGACCAAGCTTCTGTTCCCAGGTGTCCTGGGAGTTGGGGAAGACTCCTCCTCAGTTCTCGTGACCTGCAGGAATGTGTTCTCATCGCAAAGCTGTGATTAGTGTTTCTGTCTGCAGTCCCCTCATAAACAAACTATGCCCACTTGTTTCTAGGGTCAGAAAATGTTCTGGGACATGGCAGCGGTCCTAAAAGCAACACAGGAGGCTGCTGCTGCTGCACCCCTTGGGAGCTACTCATTACCAGGGACTCTGGCCAAAAGTGAAATCCTGGAGCCTCATGGGAACCCAACCCCGCTAGGTAAAGTTCAGCACCCTGATCTCAGTCACATTTAAATGTGTGGGTGGGTGTCTGGTTTTCCTTCTTAAATCACATAGTATGACTTACATAGTATTAATCACATAGTTGCCATAGTGAGGGGCATTTTTTTCATTCAATACAGTCTAAAGACCAAACAGGTAAATTCTAAATTCACTTTTTAATCATGTTTATTCCTCAGCACTTTTCATATCTCTGCACGTGTAAACCCATGTCTTCATGTGTTTTGTTGTTATTTTTAAGTTGCAAGTAAAGGATAGTATGCTCTGCATTTTTTGTTCTTGTTTTCTTTTTGAGATGGTCTCATATCCCAGCCTGGCCCTAAACTGACTATATAGCCAACATTGACCTTTAATTTCGAATTTGTAATCGTCCTGCTTTCATCTCCCAAGTGCTAGGATTACAAGCATGTCCTACCATGCCTGTTATGCCTGTACTGGGAATTAAACCCAAGGCTTTATTCATGCTATGCATGACTTATATCCTCATTCTTAAGTGTCTTTCTTTTAAAGATTTAAAAGAAAATACCTTGGGCTGGAGAGACAGTTCAGAAGTTAATAAAACTGGCTGCTCTTCTAGAAGACCTGGGTTCAGTTCCCAACACCCATGTGGCAGCTCACAACTGTCTGTAAGTCCAGTTTCAGTAGGTCAGAAACTTAACAGATATACATGCAGGCAAAACATCAATGCACATAGAATAAAAAGAAACAAATCATTAAAAAAAATGTCTTCAGGACTAGTGATACAGCTCAACGGTTAAGATCCCCAATGAGGCCCATCCCTGAGGCCCACACAGTGGAGAAGAAAAGCACTCTTGATTCCCAAAAGTTGGCCTCTGACCTTCACTTGTGTGCTTAGGCATGCTACCGCCATCCCCCAATAAATGCAGTTAAAGATTCTTAAAGATACCTTTACCTTAGTATCATGGCCTTTAATGCCAGCACCCTGGAGGCAGAGGCAGTTGGATCTTTCTTAGCTTGGGGCCAGCCTGGTCGGCATAGCTGGTCCAGACCCTGTCTCAAAACAAAAAAAATACTTCTACGTGTAAGGAGTTATTACAGGTCATCAGTATGGAGTGACTTAAAGATTTGAAAAGTTGAGTCAGCGCTGTCATATGGCTTAGTGATAAAAGCAGTGTTACCAAGCTTGATGACCTGAGTTCACCCCAAGGGATCACATGGTAGAAGGAGGGAACCAAGTTGTCCTCTGACCTCCACTTGCACACTGTGGTGTGTGTGTGTGCACATACACACAAACAGAAATGTTGTGGAAGGGTAATTCAAATGTACAGAAATAAAAAACTCAAGAAGCAGATTAACCTGTTTAGGTTTACTGATTGTTAGAGACATCAAAGATTAAAAACAATAAGATGTTATCCTCAGTTAATTAAATCATTTATTATTCTTGCTTGTTTTGTTTTGAGACAGGGTGTCTCTGACCAGGCTGGCCTTGAACTCACAGATCCACCTGCCTCTGCCTTCCAAGTGCTGGGATTAAAGGTTTGTGCCACTACACTTGGCCCATGAAATCAGTCTTGATTGGCTGTGACAGAATCCTGCTTGTGCAGGGGTGACCTGAAAAATGAGGGTCAGGAATGTATTTAGTGGGGTAGGGGGATGGGATTATATGTTTCATATCTCAAGAGTACAAAATCCAGCCTAAAGGGCCAACAAATAGATTTCAGGTCTTTAGTTTGTTTGATGGTTTGGGTGTTTTGTTTTGGGCTTTTGAGCCAGTGTCTAATGTAGTGTAGACTGGCCTTGCACTTAGGAACTTCACGCCTCTACCTCCCAGATGTTGGGATCACGGTGTATACTGCCATGCCCACCTGAGGTCTTTTTCTGATTCAATTGTGTTTCTTTACTGTGTGTGTCCATGCACCATAGTGCATATGCAGAGGCTGTGAAGTCAGTTCCGCCCTCCACTGCCACATGGGTACCAGCGTTGGGTAGCAAGGACTTGTGACCAGCTAAGCCATCACACAGACACCGAGTCTCTCTTGACAAGTCAAGTGGGTAGGTTTACAGTTCAAAATGTAGGGCGCACATTTAACAAACGTGATGACTTTCCTCTACTCCTCTACACCAAGGGGGAAAGGAGTAAAAGGAAGAAAGATATTGATATAAAAACTTAGCAGGGCGATAGAATGTTTGCTTGGGAGTTCAAGTTTTTTGGAAGAATGCTGTTCTTAATTGCTGAGCCATCTCTCGAGCCTTGGTGGGCCTGTTTGTTTGTTTGATTTGGTTTGTTTTTGGAGTTAAACAGTCTCTGTTTAACCCCAACTGTACCAGGCTGGCCTCAGACTCACAGCCATTTTCCTTCCTCTGCTACCCAAGTGCTGGGATTAGAGGCATATGTCACCATGCCCAGATTTCACCCTTCCTCTGACGTCTACCATTCTCACACACAAAAGGCCGAAGTTGGGAGCTCTTTTATTTATGGATAGAGATTTTCCATAATTAACTGGTCAGTTCTGTGCTAATCCACACTAGTAGCTCAAGAAAAAAAAGGTAAGTTGAGGCAGGGCTGGTATCCTTCATACCAGGGCTGGTCACAGTTGTGAGTCTATCTTCAGGTTACCAGGAGTATTGTCTAGAGCTTGGGCCTGGCATTCTGGGCCAAGTGGCTGTTGTTGCTCACAGATACAAGGAGGGAAAAGTTTCTTTTAGCTTACAATAACAGAGGTTTCAGTTCAGAGTGTGTAGAACATGATAGCAGGATTATGTAGGAGATTTTTTACTTCATGATGAACAGGGACCAGGGCCTCAAGTTTCCATAACTTTCCCAAAAGCACCACTAGCTAGGGGCCAGCCATTCAGTACATGACTTTGTAGTGATACTCATACTGGAACATAATAGAATCTGGTGAAGGCAAGTGTGTGGCTGAGCACAGATACAGCCAAAGAATCCACACAGGGTGTGATGTTCCCGTCTTTGATGAGGACAGTTTGGAAAGGTGGAGTTATTTAGTCTGACCTTGATGAGCCTGTTCTTTTTCTAGGCCAGAGAAAACTAACATTTTTATTTTCTGTTTCTTGGTACAGGCACTGACACCAAGAACCTACAGGTACTGGTTCCTAAAACAGAGATACATGATGAGCTAGAAGAGCTAGGAGAATCTTGTGAAAAGGGAAATGTATTAAAAAGGCAGAAAATCAAGAGGGAAAAAAGAGATACAAGAAAAGTGACAGTGAAAGACTGTGCATCGTCTGAAAGCTTCAGAGAAGATGAAGACCCGAAATCTAAGAAGTCTAGGAAGAAATACAGCCTTAGTTCTGGCCCAGCTAAAAATCAGAAAGTACAGCCTGGGCAAAAGCCTTTTACATGCAGTGAGTGTGGGAAAGGCTTTAGTCAGAGTGCAAACCTTGTTGTACATCAGCGAATCCACACTGGAGAGAAACCCTTTGAGTGTCATGAGTGTGGGAAGGCCTTCATTCAGAGTGCAAACCTCGTTGTGCATCAACGAATCCACACTGGACAGAAACCCTATGTTTGTGCAAAATGTGGGAAGGCTTTCACTCAGAGTTCAAATCTGACTGTACATCAAAAAATCCACTCCTTAGAAAAAACCTTTAAGTGTGGTGAATGTGAGAAAGCCTTCAGTTACAGTTCGCAACTTGCTCGCCACCAGAAAGTCCATATAACTGAAAAATGCTATGAATGCAATCAATGTGGAAAAACATTCACTAGAAGTTCCAACCTCATCGTCCACCAGAGGATCCACACAGGGGAGAAGCCTTTCGCCTGTAACGACTGTGGCAAAGCCTTTACCCAGAGTGCAAATCTTATTGTGCATCAGCGAAGCCATACTGGTGAGAAGCCATATGAGTGTAAAGATTGTGGGAAAGCCTTCAGTTGTTTTTCTCACCTTATTGTGCACCAGAGAATTCACACTGCAGAGAAACCTTATGACTGCAGTGAGTGTGGAAAAGCCTTCAGTCAACTGTCTTGCCTTATTGTCCACCAGAGGATTCACAGTGGAGATCTCCCTTACGTGTGCAATGAGTGTGGGAAGGCCTTTACTTGTAGCTCATACCTACTCATTCATCAAAGAATCCATAATGGGGAAAAACCTTACACGTGTAACGAATGTGGGAAGGCCTTCAGACAGAGGTCGAGCCTCACTGTCCACCAGCGAACTCACACAGGGGAGAAGCCCTATGAATGTGCAAAGTGTGGTGCAGCATTCATTTCTAACTCACACCTCATGCGACACCACAGAACCCATCTTGTTGAGTAGCAAGGAAGAGGATGTTTCCTTGATGCTGCTCCCAATAGTAGGCACCTCTGTTCTGCTTTATTCTTTGTTAAAACAAAGCTTATACCCTTTAAAGTTATTTTCTGTAAGGGAAAGTAAACACAAGCATTTCAGAGGCTAATTTAAAGAAAATAAAAAATGTCTAAAAGCCAAGGACTTTGTTTTAACTGTACCCTAAGTCATGTTTTCTGAAATGGGATGAAGCTTTTTCCTGTGCATGTAATGCACTGGTCCCAATCCTACTAAGTTCCTGAGGTCAGATGAAGTCATGCATTGTAGGTGGTGTGGGAGCAGATGGAGTGGGAAAGGCTTTTTGCTCAATACTCTTTTTTTTTTTGGTTTTACGAGACAGGGTTTCTCTGTGGCTTTGGAGGCTGTCCTGGAACTCACTCTGTAGACCAGGCTGGCCTCGAACTCACAGAGATCTGCCTGACTCTACCTCCCGAATGCTGGGATTAAAGGTGTGCGCCACCACTGCCCGGCCCCAATACTCCTTTTAAAAAAAAATTATGAATTAATGGAGCAATAAGCAAGTTGTCCTGGCTGAATTTTGATCTTTGAGCTTTGTCTAGTATTCTGAGTGAAGCAATGACTAGTTAAGTAATCATCGGACATGGCACTCACCAACTCAGCTGTGAACATTTCATAAGTGTTCCCATCCCTCAAGTCTTAAAAAAGAAACCAAAACCAAACCCTTAACAATCTGCTCTTTTGAGGTGACAGAAAGTAGGAAACAGCCCTTTTTCTTGTCTGTATCTCCAAAATCTTGACAAAGCAGCTCTAGGGACCTCTGACATGTCTGAGTACTCCCCAGTCTAAATGGCCAGTGGTTAGGGGCTGATGGAGACACCAAATTCCAGCTACCTTGATTTACTAAGGTTGAGAACTGTCACTAAACTGCTCCACTCCCAAAATTCTTGTAATAGTCCTTTGGGTGAGATGCCACTAACATTCCCAGGAAGGTGTCTGTACCACTTGTTGAGAGACATGCCCAGGCCCCAGGCCGAGGAAGTGTCAGAGGGTTTCATTCTCACTTTCTGGATGTTATTTAGAAAGGGTGGTGGAAAACTTCTAGTTCTGGGAACAAAAAAACAATGAGGCACAATGGAATTCCAGATTTTATTTTGTTTTTTGAGGGTTTCCAAGGTTATTGGGATGTGAAGACTTGTATTTGTGTTACTATTGACCCCTGGGAACATGATTTATAAAAGTATGCAGCAGGTAACTTCTGTAATACTGTCTTGTATTTAGATTGGTCTTTGTGTGTAATCTCATCAGAGGCAGGTAGATCTCTTGAGTTCGAGGCCAGCCTGGTCTGTAGAGGCCGGGGTACACAGGAGCCCTATCACGGGGCTCAGTGGTTAAAAGCACTTAATGTTGTGGAAGACCCAGGTTTGGCTCCTAGCACTCACATTTAACTCCAGTGTCAGGGGATCTGATACCCTCTTCTGGCTTTCTTGGGCTCTGGGCACAGTCATGGTATACATACATGAGACCAAAAACTCATAGAATAAAAATAGAAAATCTTAAGACAAATTAAAGGCTGGACATAGTGGCAAACACTTGTAACTCCAACACAAATGTAGGAGTTGCTTCAACTGCTGACAATATGCTGTCCAAATAGGACAAACAGGACACAAAGAAAAGCTCCTGCCAAACTTTGCCAAGACAAGGTAGGACAGTCCTTTAAAATTCCTGCTTCACAGAAGTCTGTCAGATATTCTAGGCCTGTAAGTCAATGCCCTAACATTACAGAGGTGACTGTCCAGGCAGCCAGCATTTCTGTCATGTCTATAGTTTTGGAAGTTGTTTGTTTCCATTTTCTGATTACTCAAGTAATATTTTACCCTTTTGGGTCCCTGATGGAGACTGGAGGAGACTTTACATAAAGAGATGAAAGTGTATAAGCTTGAAAGACAAAAGCTTAAATTGTTTATTTAAGAAAATGTTTTGAGGTAATACAAGTTAGGAAAGACAGTGAATTAGGTACAAAATTTAGACTCAACAAGGATAGGACAAGTTAATACCTTTCCTTTCTACTTAAACAATACCTAATAATAATAATAATAATAATTCTTCTCCTCTTGTGTTTTTCTAGACAGGATTTCTCTGTATATAATACCTCTGGCTGTCCTGGAACTCACCCTGTACATCAGGCTGGCCTTGAACTCAGAGATCCATTTGCCTCTGCCTTTCAAATTTGATTAATAGCACGGGCCACCACAGCCCAGTGATAATTGTTCTTATTGTATATAATTTTACCATATTAAAGTTAAAAAACTTTTCCTTTATATTTAGACAAAAAGGGGGAAATGTTGTAGAATAATCACTTTGTACACTGTGAGGATGTGGCACTCATATTGGTTTAATAAAAAGCTGATGGCCAACAGCTGGCAGGATTTTTGAGGCAGAGAGGATACTGGGAAGAACGGCAGAGTCTTAAGGAGACATGGAGAAGCATGACATGTAGGAGATATCAAACTATGGCAGCACATAAATTAACAGAAATGGGTTAATTTAAGTTGTAAGAGCTAGTTAGAAACAATCCTAAACTATTGGCCATCATTACACTAATCTGAGCAACACATCTTCATTGTGTACAAAAGATTATTCTACGTTTTAACATCAAGATCTCTACCCTCAGCACCCCAAGACAATTATAGAAGTGAGTTTTATGTGCTTGCTTGTTTTGAGATGGAATATTCCTGTGTAGCTCAGGGTTACCTGGTAATCCCTATGTAGTCCAGGCTAGCCTTCAACTGTGATAAATCTTTCAGCTACTGTAGTCCTTGGCTTCATCACATGCAACTAAGAATGAGAATTTAGTTTGACCTTTCCTTCCTATAAGGCAGACACCCATCTTAGTTGTGTTCAATGCTTTTACCATTCCACTCCACCATTAATTTTCTACTACTCAAAGAAATTCACCCCTGAGCTGGGCATGGTATACACCTTTAATCCCAACATCTAGAATTTACAGATCTCTGAGTTCAAGGTCAACCTAGTTTACAGAGCGAGTTCCTGGATAGTCAGGGCTATATAGAGAAATCCAATCTCAAAAGAGGTTCCCCACCAAAAAAAAGGTCATCCCAAAATGCACACTATTCTTCCCTTCAGTCGCACTTCGTTATATGGGAAGGCATGTTGCACTGTTTCTGGAGCTGGGACACTGGCATAAAGCCCTCACCTTCTAGCTCCACTGGAGGAACCAGATAAAGCTAGCTGACTTCCTAGTGTGATGTGGGAGGTGGTTCTTCATCTCAGAGTCATGATATGCAGTATTAGCTGTTGCTTCCCTGATGATTCATGTTCCCATGTTGGGGACCTCAAGTTCCATCACCTGGGCTTGAAGAAAGCAGAGGGAAGCCCAGGAAAAGCTGAAGCTTTCCTGAGGGTAGCTGCATTTACCCCCACCCACATACATAACTTAAAATATATCTTTAAAAATGGTTCTATTGGCTGGAGAGATGGCTCAGAGGTTAAGAACACTGGCTGCTCTTCCAGAGGTCCTGAGTTCAATTCCCAGCAACCATATGGTGGCTCTCAACCATCTGTAATGAGATCTGAGATCTGATGCCCTCTTCTGGCCTGCAGGGATACAGGCAGACAGAACACTGTATATATAATAAATACATGGTTCTATCTAAGCAGGGTGATATACACGTTTAACCCAGCACCAGGGGTGGGGTGGGGCAGAGGCACAAGAGGTCTCTGAGTTCAAGGCTATACTGATCTACAGAGTGAGTTCTAGGCCAGTCAGTGATACATAGTGAGACCCTGTCACCGTTTAACAAAACAGGTTTAAATAAACTAATTATATGAAAAACGGTGGAGCTGTTTGTTACATGAAAAGATGATTTTTTTAAAGGATGCAATTATGCTGTGATATTAATTTTTTTTGTTTTCTTCACTGTTTAAGAATAAATTATCTGGGTGGTGGCGGCACACACCTTTAACCCCAGCACTTGGGAAACAGAGGCAGGCAGATCTATAAAGTAACAGCCAGAGTTACACAGAGAAACCTTGTCTCAAAAAACAAAGGATAAAGTTTCCACAGAAAATGCTGTTTCAAAATGCTAAATTTTAAACAATCACTGACTCCTTGTTTTTGAACACCTTTAAAAAGTATGAGTTGCAGTTTGTAGGTCTCCTTATGTATGTGCTGCCCAAGAAAGCACTTACTTTTTTTTTTATTTTTTGGTTTTCCAAGACATGGTTTCTCTCTAAAGCTTTGGTGTCTGTCCTGTAACTCACTGTAGACCAACCTGTCCTCAAACTCATAGAGATCTACCTGCCTCTGCTTCCTGAGTGCTGGGATTAAAGGAGTGTGCCAGCCCTACCCAGCAAAATTTACTTTCTTTTTTCAGACAGTGTCTCACTATGTAACCCTGGCTTGCTTGGAACTCATTATGTAGGCCAAGTGGGCCTCAAAATTCCTCATAGCTGTCTGTTTTTTTTTGTTCATGTGCTAAGGTTATAGGTTATTATACCTGGCTTGGGAAAGTATTTTTAACCAGGCAGATAGCCATGCCTTTATCCAAAGTAGGGTTAAACTAATGAGGAAGATTCAAAAAAGGCTCATATATTTGAGTGCTTGGTCACCAGGAAGTAGAACTGTTTGAAAGGATTACAAAGATTAGGAGAGATGGCTTTAGTGAAGTGTGTCAACTGGGGTAAGTTTTGAGGTTTCAAAATCCATGCCAGCAGGTGGTGGTGGTGCACACCTTTAATCCCAGCACTTGGGAGGCAGAGGCAGGTGGATCTCTGAGTTTGAGGCCAGCCTGGCCTACAAAGTGAGTTCCAAGAAAAGTCAGATGTCAGAGCTACTCAGAGAAACCCTGTTCCTAATTTTATTTATTTGTTTTTATTTGGTTTTTCGAGACAGGGTTTCTTGGTGTAGTTGGAGCTGGGATTAACAGCACGAGCTGCTGCCGCCACCAACCAGTGGAAACCCTGCTTCTAGAAACAACAAAAAACCCAAGCCAGGCCCATCTGTTTCAATGTCACGTGTGTTGCCTTGCCCCTTGCTTATGGGTCAAGTCCTTCCCTAGCACCAAGCTTTGTCTTGCCACCATGCTTTCTGCCATGACGACAATGGACTGAGCTGAAACTTCCAGCAAGCCTCCAATTAAATGCTTTCTTAGTTGCCTCGGTCATGGCGTCTCTTTACATCAGTGACTAAGACAGATAGATCTATTTATAATAATTCTCTGTGAGCTATTAATTTTATATTTTTGAAATGTGCAACTTCAGAAAATTATAACAATGTAATTCTAGGTAAGAAGCAGGACAAAGAACATATACAACCATCTCAGTTTTGTTTAAAAATATAATTTACATATATACAGACCCACAGGTGGGAGGTAATGTTAACAGTAGTGAATGTCGAGCCTTTCCAGTCAAAGGGGCATTATTGGATGGGTTTTATCTCTCTCATGAATTTGTTCCTATATTTTTGAAGCTTTCTGTAATAAACCTGTACTACTCGGGGGAAAATGTCACTTTAGGATATAGGAAAATCACTGTTTTAAAAAATACCTCATTGCTATCAAAGGAAACCAAGTCCACAATGTTTATACTTACTCATTTTCATCTTCATTGTCAAAAGAAAGGAGACTACTATTTCTTATTTGTTTTTGTGAGTTCTTTCTAACTGAATTCTGCTTATTTGCATCATCTTCATTTGTCTTCTTTTTTTTGGAGCTTGCTGTTAAACCTGAACACTTTTCATCTGAGGGACGCTTGACTGGTTTTCTATACATGATTCTCCCATCAGCTGGGGGTGGTTCTTCATCTGTGACCAAAAGAAAAAAGTCACAAGTTTCCTCTCATTATTTTGCTGGTAACAAAGCGTCAATTGGCAGGAAAAATCAGCCACTGTACTTGAGGATGTCCTTGAATAAAGTCAGTCTGCTCTACTGCTAGTTATACCCTACCCAACACACACAATCACTCAATAAAAACTCACTAAAGTGTCTCATAATATCACCAGTCTCCAGCTGATGACAGGAAAGATGAAGGTGATGGCCTGAATGTGGGGCCTCGTATGCTAAGAAGTTTCTCTGCCACCAAGCTGTATTTCCAGTTCATCAGGTTGTATTTTGAAATGTGTTTGGAATCACAATATTTCTCCCTAAAACAATGTAACACGTTTAGGATAATAATAGTGCACTATATAACACACTATACTTGAGGCACTAATTACACAGATCTTTGTTGACTAGTTGACATATTTTGTTAATAAGATACTTTAAACAGTCTATTTATTGTCTCCACTGACAGGGAAACTTGAGGCACAGGGGTGATCACTTGCTCAAGGTTGCACATCTGGCGTCACAGCCAATGCTTGAACCAAAGGCCACATTCTGCAAACAAATCATTCTATTCACTTTTTTAAAATCCCACTTCATGCTCCTTAAAGTGCTTTAAAAAAAAAAAAAAACAGGTAATTCCTAGACATACCTGCTTTGGCAGCCTTTATTTCTGCTTTGATTTTCATGACTTCTTCAGCTGTTAGGTCTCCCTTTTTTAAAACTACTACCTGAGGCTGCTCATCTTCCTTGTCACTGTGGTCACCGTCATCATCCGGGAGTTGGGGCTGGATTTTCTACAGAAAATGTAAGCATAGTGTGTAGGCTGCTAACCTTTAGCCAAACACAACCACCGCCTCTGTCAGCAACTATAATTATTAAAGTGAAATGGGCAACTATCCATGAACATAAAATGAATTCATTAACTCCAAAGAGCTTAACTTCCCCACAGCAGAAAACAGGTCCATCGGCTGCTATTCCCCCTGGGGCACTTGTCCAGTGGGATTCGTTTCTATCTAGTCCATTCAGGGTAGGGCCGAACTACCTTGGTTCTTTGTTTCTAATCAACATCTTTCATTTCTGTCTTGTCCGAATTCAACAAAAAACACCATACAAAAAAACTCCACCTCACCATCCAAGACACCATCGTGTGGTAAATAACAGGTAAGTTATTTGCTCATCTAATATCCTAACAGCTTCAGTTGCTTTTCAGAGACACACAAATAATTATGTAAAAGGTCTTGTACATAAACAATGCTGTAACATATTGTTTAACTAACGTAATTTCCCAAACAGAAACCCTGTACTCACTGTACGCATGTACGAAATGTAGTATTCTGGTCAGCTAAATCAGAGTTTTCAAAAGTCAGGCACCATATATATTTTTTTAACTAAAAACAACAACAACAAAAAGTCTTTGCACAATACTTTGAGATAAATACAGAATCACCTCATTTTTTTCAATTACTGCCCAGTCTTAATTTGGTGCAGTCATCTTTATGTGGAATACCCTGCACGTCTCAGCCTTAGGCCACTGCGAGATATTTTACCCCTATCACTTCCACACCCTCTGGACTCTTAAGTCTGAACACCTAACAGTCCATGGCCGTAGCCACTCCTCTGTCTGTCAAACTGAGTCTCGGGAGCCCCACTGTCTCGGGCCAACTCTTACTCATGCATCCTTCAACCCTGAAGAGTCACTAGCAGCGCTTCTGAAGAAACTCCCACGTTCTCTTGTGCGAAGCGGGCATAGCTCCTAGGCGTTTACACTCTTTAGACTAACTTCCTTCGAGAAAGACGTACTGGTGCATCTCCCTTACCCTGAGACATGCAACCGGATTCTACTTCTAACCCTGGATGGCTTCCCCCTTCCCTCCCCTCACTTCACCAAGAGTCTCAGAATCGAGCCATTTAATCCTTGTCTGGAGAAGGGGACGACGCTGTCAATGTCCTCGCTCCCGTCCAGTGAGACCCGCAGGTGAGACAGACAGGACGCCTTCAAGGCCAGCGATCTGGGAAGAAGAACTCCCAGATCTAGGGGTCCCGGGGCTCGCCCGGCTACGTGGGGCAGCGGGGAGGGAGGGAGGGACGGGGCGATCGGCTACACCCGCACTGAGGAGCCGGAAGTGGCGTGCAGACCGTGGGTCCGACGCGGCGCGACCTCCCCCCAATTCCTCCCTATGCGGACTCACCTTGGTCTCTACGGTGGGCCCCTCCCTGTAGCCGACTCGCTCCTTGAAGCGGGACAAGAAGGCGGGCTCGGCGGGCCGCACGTACGACACCTGGTTCCTCTTGCTCATGGCGGGCGGGCGGGCGACCGAAACAAGCGCTAAACCAGCCTCGGGAGGGAAGACGCGCGCCGCGGCCCGCGCCGACTTATGACGCGCGTGCGGGCCCGGACGTCACCGGCCACGCCCCCCTCGGGAGGCGCGGCCGCGTGGGCGGCGCCAAATTCAAATCCGCGGCCATCTTGGCGGGAGGATTTCTGGCTGCCGTGGCGGTGGCGGATCCCCGCGGAGGTCGCCATGGCCCCAGGCTGCAAAGGTGAGTCGCGCCCCAGCCTCGTGAGCTCGTCGCCGCTGGCCGGTGCCGCTCGGGTGACGGCGGCGCGCACGGCGGGCACCTGAGTCGCGCGCTGCGCCGGCGCCCGGGTTCAGCCCCTGCGCAGCGGCTCGCTCCTATCCCGCGCGCCGGCTCGCTCCTTCCGCTTGCTGCTGACTCCCACTTGCCCGACTTTCCCCGAAGGGAAGGGACTTGCGTTCCCTTCGGTGGCCTGCCCTCAGAGGAGGGAATTTTAAAGCGAATAGCAGTCACCGGTTTACAACAGTTGCCACTCTTAAGCCTCCAAGCCTTGGTGAAGCCGTGAAACCAGGATTGCGTCGCAGAGCCCTGTATTTCACTGTGCACTGTAAATTCAGCGTACCCAGACACAAGCTGATAGTAAAACACTACAGTGACAGACAGGTTACGGGAGGGTGGCCTTTGACGTAGTTCCTTCTTCCTTTTTGTCGTGTGAGATGCCACGGTGTCTACCCGCTGAGAGATGTGCTGTAAGACAGTGTGACAGGGTTCGGAGCACAAGCATTGCCGTGTCGCTAGCCGGTCGGATAACAAAAGGTGGAGACTATTAGGAGAGTAGCCTACGTATTGTGGATTAAGACCCTGGTTAAAGGGAGGCGTGTTGCCGGACATGCTACAGAGAATAGGCTGTTTGAGGCCAGCCTTCATATTGAGATGTTGTCTCAAAACAAATAAATAAAAAGGCTTACTATGATTTGTTTAGTTCTGGATTTTCTATTTAATGGCTTTGGACTGTGGATGATGGCCGAGGAAGGAAAAAAACATGCAAAAGGGAACTGCAGATTATGAGTAGACTAATATATATTCTCAATCTGTTTTCAGTGGCAAGAGACTGATTTAAATAATCCCCACCACCACCTCCAGTGTATGGGAGTCCCACCTCATGTATTGCCTAATCCTATAAGTTGTCTTTCTTAAATTCTTTATTTTTAAGTGTGTGTGTGTGTGTGTGTGTGTGTATGTGTGTGTGTGCGCGCGCGCCTTGGGGTAGCTGGATATTGTGGAGTTGGCATTATGAGCTGCTTGTATATGGGTGCTGCCATCTTTTTTTTAAGGCTGATTATGAAATTTGAGAATGGAGTGAGGAGGTGCTTGAGAGAATTGTGAAATTATACATTTGACTTTTACCATACAGTTCATGCTTGTAGCTCTTTGTCAATTGACAACTGTTTCCTGATTAGTGGCTTAATTAACCCTTTAAGTCTGTTACACCGTTATCTGAACAATTCAGTGTGATCTTTTTTTCTCAATTTGAAGTCTCTTTCCTCTGCCTCTTTCAGTATTAAGGGAGTTTAAGCACACGGATTGGTACTTTGTGGATCTTAAATGCTCACCCTATTTTCTGTGTCATCATAGTATTTATTATAATTCCTTTTTTATATTAAAAAACAGGGTCTCACATAAACCAGACTGGTCTTAAGATTTCTGTGGCCGGGCGGTGGTGGCACATGCCTTTAATCCCAGCACTCGGGAGGCAGAGGCAGGCGGATCTCTGTGAGTTCGAGGCCGGCTGGACTGACAGCCTCCAAAACAATACAGAGAAACCCTGTCTCGTAAAACCAAAAAAAAAAAAAAAAAGATAGATTTCTGTGAAGCCAGAGATGATATTGAACTTGTGATCCTCCTGTCTCTACCTCCCGTGTGCCGGGAATAGAGCTGTTTCTATAGTCAGTAACTCCCTCAGCCTCAAGCAGTACTCTGATTTTCATCACGCTCATCAGTTTTATCCATGTAAATGGTACATATATTTTTTTCTTGTAATGAATTTTTTAAAAATGTTTTTATTTTAATTTTAAATAGCTTGTTTTGCCGGGCGTTGGTGGCGCACGCCTTTAATCCCAGCACTCGGGAGGCAGAGGCAGGCGGATCTCTGTGAGTTCGAGACCAGCCTGGACTACCAAGCGAGTTCCAGGACAGCCTCCAAAGCCACAGAGAAACACTGTCTCCAAAAACCAAAAAAAAAAAAACAAAAACAAATAGCTTGTTTTACATGTCAATCCCAGTTCCCTCTCCCCCCTCCTCCCGCACTCCCCAACCCCCCCAGCCTCCCACCCTATTGCCAATTCTAGAGTCTGTCATTTCCCTCAGGGTAGGGTCCAGGCACTCCCCTAAGAGTCCAGGCTGAGAGAGCATCCCTCCCTGTGCTATAGGCACACGATGACTGTATGCCAGGGATAGACACTGATCCACTGCTCAGGGCCCCATAGGTTGCCCAGGCCTTCTCGCTGACACTCACATTCGGGGGTCCAGATCAGTCCCATGCTGGCCTCCCCGCTGTCGGTCTGGGGTCCAAGAGCTCTCCCCTCTTGTAATGACTTTTGTGAAATTTTGTGCCTGTGGACATCCATGATAGGCAGCAACAGCAGCTATGTCTTTTTTTATTGCTATCTGGTATTCTATTAAGTAAGCATATTACAATCTGTTCTGTTTTTGTTGGACATTTGGGTTTTCTCTCTGTGTCTCTCTGAACTTGGGTTTCTAGGTTGAATTATGAATAAAACATCTGTGCATAGTCTTTAGTAAGTTTTTAGACAGCCACGTCAATGACCTCAAAATTTACAGTGAATTTATATCACAGTTTTATGATATCCATGATGATACTATATACCTCTTCGGTCAAGAGGTAGCATAACGAAGTGGCTAAATGTAGTTGGAGGTTTCTCGTCCTACCTCTGTCCTGAAGCTGCTTTTAAAATAACCACTCAAAAGTGGTTACAAACTGTTTGGCCAATTAGCTCAGACTTATTATCTACCTTAAAACTTAAAATTACCCACTTCTTCTAGTCTGTATATTACCTCGAGGCTTGTGGCTTGTTACCTCACATCTATCTTCTTCGGCAGCTGCTGGCATCTTCCCTGATGCCATCTTCTTTCTCCCTGTATCTCTGCTTGGATTTCCCGCTTGGCTCTATTCTACCTGGCTACTGGCCAAATCAGCTTCTTTATTAACCAATGGTAATAAAATATATTCACAGCATACAGAGGGACATCCCTCATCAGCTAATGGTATGAAAGATGAATTCAGGATGCCTGTGTTCAAGTCCTAGTACTTGTCAAACCATCTCTTCAGGTTTCAGTTAGGAATTGTGCCTAACTGCCTACTTCTCTAGAGTTTGTTTGTTTGTCGAGACAGCATCTCTCTGTAGTTCTAGCTGTCTTGATGCTTGTTATATAAACCGGGCTGTCCTCTAACTCTGAGGTCCTCCTGCTTCTGCCTCTGCCTCTGGAGTGACAGGATTTAGGGCGTGCACCATTGGCGGTTAACTCACTGTTCATTTAGCTTTGCTTTGGGTGTGGGGTGAGGATTTTCTTTCGGGATCCGTTTAACTTACTGACTCTTAAAGAGTCTGTGGAGATCCAGAGCTTGTTCTCTGTATGAACTTCTCAGCCAGATAATCAAGCTGTTTGGATTCTCCCAGCCTGCACTGTGGTTTGTGATCCAAGGGCTCACAAAGATTCAAGGGCTTTTGTTTCCTTCTCTCAGGATCACTTTTCTGTGCTGTGCTGTCCAGTGTCTGAGAACTTACTTGTTGCATATTTCTTGTCCAGTTTCCTACTTTTGATTAATTTATTTTTTGCATTCCAATCCCAGTTCCTCCTCCTTCCTCTCCTCCTGCTCCCACCACTCTCCATCCCACCTCCCATCCACTCCCCAGAGAGGGTAAAGCCTCTCCTAGGATGTCACCTAAGTCTGTCCCAAGCCTCCACTCCCCCGGGCTTGAGCAAGGTGTCTCTCCATAGAGAAAGGGCTCCACAAAGTCACTTTACGCATTATAGTTAGATCTTGGTCCCACTGCCATTGGTTTCACTCACTGACCATTGTCACGTGCACTCAGGGGTCCTAGTTCAGGCCTGTGCTGGTTCCCCAGTTGACAGTGTGGAGTTGGTGATCTCTCACTAACTCTGGTCAGCTGATTCTGTGGGTTTCCCCACCATGGTCTTGACTCCTTTGTTCATATTACCACTCCTCCCTCACTTCAATTGTAGTCCTGGAGGTGGGCCCAATGGTTAGTTATAGATACTCATTTCTGCTTCCATCTGTTTCTGGAAGAGGGATCTAGCTTCTCTGGGGTTTTGTGTTGTAGGCTAGGTATCTTTTGCTTTATGACTGATATTCACTTATGAATGAGTACATACTATATTTGTCTTTCTGTACCTAAGTTACCGCACTCAGGATGGTTTTTTCCTAGTTCTGTTCATCTGCTTGCAAATTTAAAGTCATTGTTTCTTACTGCTGAGTAGTACTCCATTGTGTAAATGTAGCATGTTTTCTTTATCCATTCTGCACTTGAGGGGCATCTAGGTTGTTTCCAAGGTCTGGCTATTATGAATAATGTTGCTATGAACATAGATGAGCAAATATCTTTGTGGTGTGAATATGCCTTGCTTGGGTCTATGCCCAACAGTGGTATTGCAGTGTCTTGAGGTCGATTGATTCTTAGTTTTCTGAGAAATCGCCATACTGACTTCCACAGCGGCTGTTCAAGTTTGCACTTCCACTAGCAATGAAGGAGTGAGTGCTCCTCTTACTCTACATCCTCTCCAGCATAATGTCATCAATGTTGCCTAGTTACTTAACACAGGTAAGTAAGGCTGGGCAGTGGTGACACACACCTTTAAGTACAGCACTCAGGAGGCAGCAGGATCTCTGTGAGTTCCAGGCCAGCCTGGTCTACAGAGTGAGTTCCAGCACAGCCAGGGCTACACAGAGAAACCTTGTCTCAGGGGGAAAAAAAACAGAGAGAGAGAGAGGGAGGGAGGGAGGGAGGAGAGAGAGAGAGAGAGAGAGAGAGAGAGAGAGAGAGAGAGAGAGAGAGAGAGAGAGAGAGAGAACACAAACAAGCTTAGACTTACCTTTTAAATTAACCTATTCTATTCCCGTACTTCCTGCCACGTGGCTCATGACTTGTTACTTAGTTTGTACGCTTCCTGCTTCCTCTGTGTCTGACTGGCAACTCCTGAGACTCTTTCCTTCTTCCCAGCATTCTGTCTGCCCCCCAATTCCTGCCTAGCCATCAGCCAGTCAGGTCTTTATTAAGCAACGACAGTAATGTGTATTTTCAGGTTGTTCCGCAGCAGGAAGGGAGGTGCAGGATAACATGCACGAGTGGGGGCCTCTACGACGCTGGCCCTCTGTCTTTGTGCTCCACACCTGCTCATCTGTGGTTAGAACAACACAAGTACTTACCTGATAGCATTTCTACCGTATTAGGCATTACAAGTAACCCTGAGACCTTTAAAATGTACAAGAGGATGTGTATACGCAGTGACAGTCAGTGTAGATAAGAGACTTAAAACATCCACAGATCATGGGTCCTGAGTAAATCTGTTGCTAAAAAAGGGAGATTATGTTTGCTGTTACATGGTGTGATTTTGGAATGCCTAATTTAGGTTATATTTAAGGGCTGGAAAGATGGCTTATTGGATTAAGGCATTTACCATGAAGTCTGACACCCGAGTTCCATGCCCAGAACCCATGTGATAGAAGGAAAGAGCTGACTCCTAAACTTGTCCCCTAAGCACGCACACACACACACTCACACTCACACACGCATGCATGCATGCACAAGATAGGTAGATTAGATAGATAAAAATTAAAGAAAGAACTAATAGGTTAAATTTTAAAAGTTAATGTGTATGGATGTTTTGCCTTTATTGTGTGTATGTGTATCGTGTGTGCAGTATCCATGGAGGCCAGAAGTGGGTATTGGATCCCTTGGAACTGTACTCAGTAGACAGCTGTGAGCTGTCATGTGAATGCTGGGTGCTGAACCCAGATCCTCTGGAAGAGCAGTCAGTGCTCTTAGCCATTGAGCCATCTCTGCAGTCCCTAATGTTAAAAAATAAAAATAATTTAAAAAATGTTTTTTTGCTTGTTTCTGAGAAAACACAGGAGGGATTTGAGGAAGCATAGAGATGTCACAGCAAGTACAAAGGTGCTCGGAAAGCAGGAGCTGGTTTGTTGAGGTGGAGTAAGGGGTGGAGCCTGAGTTGTGGAGGCCAGGGCAGAGCAAGGTGATGGCACTAGAACAGGTCAGGTGACACAGGTGCCTCCTTTCTGAATGGGATGGAATCCCGCTATAAGCTTTGTGCAGTTTGGAACGTTGAGATCTGCTTTTTCTGTGTAGCTCAGGCTGGGCTCATGTTTGTAATTCTCCTGTCCCAGCCTTTGGTTAGAGGCATAACTTGCTATGACACATAATTGTTTAATTTGCTGTAAATTAAACAGAGGAAAAACTTAAGAATAGCACAAGTTTCCTCGGATATAAATAACTAGTTTCAGTATTGATTGTAAGGACAAGATCTGGGGTATGAGTTTGGTATTTGTTATAACCCGTTCAAGCCCCGAGTGGATTTACTCCCCATGTGCTCCTTCAGAAAAGCTCCCTGAAGTTCAGGTGATATTTTGAGTCTTTTTTCTTTTACCACAATGTCTAGAGTTTTTGTGAATGCAATTAGCATTAAACTTCTCTATGCTCTGTTAATCAGCTTCTATTGTGGTCTGTTTATTATGGTCTGTCTTTCTCTGGGCAAAAGCTCTGCCTCAGCAGTAGAGATGGGGAGAGGGCTAAGGGCAGTCTCGTCTCAATGATGTGTTCTTTCTGGTTGTGGGAGGGAACAGTAAATAGCCTTTATCCCTTTATCCTGGAGAGTTTTCTTTCTTAGTATGGGACTCCTGGGGCAAAGGTGAGCAAGACACTCATTCTCAGTATGCTGGGTTCAAGCAAAGTTGGGGTTCTGTGTTCATGAGTGAGTAGGCCCCCTTCTCTCAACTGTAGCCTCAGGAGTGCCTAGCTAGCCAGAAACCAAATGAGAAATTCCAGTGTCTTGCTTCCTGGAAAGGAATCCCTCCTGTTGTTAGCTGCTGAGAGAGGGATCCTGAGGTCTTGGATGTGGTAGGGAAGTCCTCACCTCTACTAGCTAGAAGAGAAGGGAGGAGCAATCTTTCATCAAATGACCTTTCTGACTGAATTTTCATACTTTTCTTGAGAAATGTTCCCTTGTTTGCTCTTTGCCTTCAGAGACATTTCTAGATGTTACTCCCCACCCCATATTTCATCAGTTTTACCAAGGTTTGTGGGTCAATGAAGCTATTTCCTCACACTGTCACCTAAAAGTTATCTCTGACTTTTTTTTTTTTTCAGAATCATTCTGCCTGCTGGGTTAATGTGACAGTTGATAGGGCTAAGGGAGTAAGAAGGAAAGAAACTAGTAGTAACATGCATAGAGGAGAATTGTTTGTTGCACAGTAGTAGCAGTAGATTTTGAGGTTAGAATCAAGTGTTTACTGGCAGATTGGACTTGAAGAGTGAGAAAGAATGGAGTTGTTTTAGAGCCAGAGTAGGAGCTCTGGCAGACCTAATGGGTTACTCTTGGCCACCAATCTCTAGTGTGCCAGTTAAATAGACATGTAATAGTGAAAAGCTAAGAAAGGGGATTATTCAATATGACCTCATGGGAAAGAGGAACAAAGAGATCTGGTAACTCCCAAGGCCGTGTTTGGGTTCCTGACGTGAAGTTTAGGTTTAAATAGAGGGCAAGAGATAAGTCAAGGTCTGGTTCCATCCGTCATTTTCCATCATTGAGTTCCAACCTGTCCTTCAGGGTGTTCTGACAGAAGTCAGAATTCTGGAATCTCTTCTTTGGAGGCACTTACCTCCTCTATCTGCCATAGGGGCTTCAGCTTTTCCCCCTTTCCCAGCATGAGACCCTCAGAAAAATTTAAAATGTTTATAAGGGAAAGCTTAGTCCATTGTTTCTGTAGTCTGTCTGTGGTTACAGAGTAAGGAAGGATTCTGCGGTTGTCATTTGCTGAGATGAAGCAGTGTTACTGGGCACGGAGGTTCGTGCCCTCTGCCTCCGTTTTCCTGACTTCAGAAAGAACTTAGGAAACAGGAATCAGTAAGGAAATTGAAATACTTACAATTTGGCTAAGATGGGTATTGTAAAGGAGAACCCAGTTTTCTCCCCATTATGCCTCTGGCAGTGTTAAAATTTACAACCATGAGATCAATATTAAAAGATAATGTAGATTTTGCTGTGAGATAGTTTCGTGGATCTTTTCCTGGTCGAGTGGACTGGGATCGCAGGTTGCTCCCGTTGTCTGACTTCCCCCTTTCAACAGACTGTCTCCATTCTCACAGCATGAAGGCACAGGTGTCTCTAGGATTTAGAGCATTTCTGTGCTTCAGGTCCAGCCATTCTCTCTTAGCATGCGATCATGGTTAGAGCAGCACATTTGCAGTGGTGGAGAGAGCTCAGTTTTGAACACATTAAGTTTGAAACATTGCTTACCTAGCATCCAAGTGGAGATTACCAAATAGGTAGTTTTAATACCAGGACTCTGGAGGCAGACAGGTGTGAATTATTGTTTGTGTTTACTAGTGCTAGTGAGTCCCTGTCTCTAATTAATTACCTAAATAATTTGGAAATTATCAGTATGCACCTAGCATTTAAATTCATGAGAGTGAATATCATCACCAATGTAGTGGGCTGGGATAGAATGGGGAGGGGAATTGAGGCCAAGGTTGGATGTGGATGTAAGGATCTGAGAAAGTTGAGGGTGTCGGTAACTGAGGAAAAGATTTCCATAATTAATTTCTTCCTTTGTGGCTCACCCAGCCTAGGCTTTGCACTTAGTATATAATGCAATTATAATTGCCTTTAATAAACTTGTTATATGAAATGGCATAGGGAAGAAAGGTGATCCAGGTGGTAAAGAATTTACCCAGTTCACAAGAGACATGCAGAGAAGTTCTTTAGATATGCTTCAAGAAGATAGACAGCATGTCAGTTCCCTAGACCAGTTTTTGAGAGGAGACCAAGGCAGAGAGTGAGTTTATAGTAGTTGAGGGGAAAGTTACTTAGTCTTATGAACCGTTTGTATAGGGTCCAGATTGGGATAGATAAGGAGGCATCTTACTGTCTTATTAACTAGGATATTTTACAATGTGAATCATTTTTATTGGGACTGGTTGTTTGCTCAGATACCAGGCGTCCTGAGCTGGCTCTGGATGTCTATGTGAGATATGGTAAGTTACTGGGGTCAGGCTCCAAGGAATTGTGGCCCAATTGCTGAGGTGAGAGTTTTGCTTTTATTTTTGTCCTTTTATCCTTACAGATCTCTTGTCTTCTTTTTCTAGCCGAGTTACGAAATGTGGCAAATTCTCATTCTACCCAGCCAAGGTAAGAAGTCTTGTTGGTGGGAAGCGTTAAGACATAGTAGATGAAGATTGCATACCTCCCCATATCTTCCAATTCCCAGGCAAAGTGTGGAGTGAATGGCATGGTCACTCCTTGGGAAGACTCACTAGTTAGAGGGAGGAGCAGAAAGTCAGTGTTGAGCTCCTTGAAATGACTGGCTTTGCTTTTATTTGCAGTAAATGTTTGTAAAGATATCTGCTGGGAAATAAATCTGCAAAGGGTGTGAGCTGTTTTTAAAAGCTGAAAATTTAAAAGGAGTAAATTACAGTGGATAAGTCCGAGACTTGGACTCATTATAGAAATGTTACAGGCAATTTGAGGTTCGGGTCTTTTTATAGTTTCCTTTCCCCGGTAAATTTCCCTGTTATTTTTTGTTTTGGACTTTAGCAATGAAGGTGATACCATCAAAGTCTTTGTGAGAATCCGTCCGCCCGCAGAGGGCACTGGGTCATCGGATGGAGAGCACAGCTTATGCTTATCTGTGCTCTCCCAGACTACTCTTCGGCTGCACTCCAAACCAGACCCCAAGACCTTTGTATTTGACTATGTTGCAGGCATGGACACCACTCAGGTAATGGTCATTGGAAACTTACCCTTTCATTTGGAATATACAAGGCTTTATTTGTGGGGATTCAATTTCTGATCACTTTTTAATTGTGTAGATTTCAGATAAGAAAGCTAAAACTTCCATAAATATTTTTAATTTAATTTTATTAAGCGGTTGTCTTCTTTGTTCTTCAAACTGTGCCCCAGAACCACACAAACCTGCTTTATGTTTCCTTTTATACACACTGATGAAGGTAAATGAAGACTTCAGAGCCACCTAAACAACCACTAAACATAGTTGACTTTCTAGTTTAAGGGTTTGAGATGACTGTGGGGCCAGTGAAGATGGCTCTGTGGGTAAATCACTTGCCTCAAAGGTCTCATTAGCTGAGTTCAAACCGCAGGACCCACATAAAGATTGGAGGAAAGACCTTACTCTACAAAGTTGTCCTCTGACTTCTACATCTGTGCCTGCCTGCAGCCCACAGTTTTTAAAAAGATTACTATTATGTCAGTAACTGCTTTTCTTTCTTTTTTTTTGGGGGGGGGGGTGTAGTTTTCTTTTGTTTTTTTAGACAGTTTCTCAGTGTAGTCCTGGCTGTCCTTTTTAGTACTCAGGCACCTGTAGTGGCCTGCCCTTGTGATTCTGACAGGATACGCCCTCAGCTGCAGCCACTAAGAGCACCACCTCTGCACATTCACTATGTTCCCTTTTAAAAGGGTCCTGCCCACCTCCCTTCTTCTGCCTGACTCTTCCTTCCATATCCATTTCCCTCTCTTTCTGCCTCTCTCTTCTGCTGTCTCCAGAAGCTGTCCCCCTCACCTCCCCCTTTTCCCATTCCCTTTCCCCTAATTAAAACTCACACACACACATGAGCTCTGTCACATGGCATCTTTCTCTCTTGAGCTGCTTTATAAACTTACAGTAGTCCTGGAACTCACTCTCTAGACCTGTCTGGCCTTGAACTCACGGAGATCCGACTGTCTCCCGAGTGCTAGGATTAAAGGTGTGTGCCCCCTTCCCCTCCCCACCCCTACTTCATTCCCTTCCCCACCCCTACCCCTACCCCATCCCCATCTCCATTCCTATCCCCATACCCTGGATATATTTCTACCTTTTATCATCTTTTGTGGTTTAGCCATTTTTCTTAAGTAGATTCAACCTTCAAGGAATCATAGGTCTTAAAGTCTAAATACTCAGCTTTTATTATATCCTGAGATGTAAGTTAGAAGTACTTTTATTTAACATGTTTGGTGCTTATATTTGCAGGAGTCTGTATTCTCAACAGTGGCTAAAAGCATTGTGGAGTCTTGCATGAGCGGTTATAATGGGACCATCTTTGCATAGTAAGTTGTTGCCTGTTTACATATAAAGGTGTGATAGTGTTTGTTAGTTCCTACTTATTGTTGCATTAATAAGTTGCCCTAGACTTCCAAATTTATTTTACAATTCTCTTAAGTTAGAATCCAACATGGGTCTTACTGGGCTGATTTAGACTGTTCCTGGAACTTCACTCTTTCTGGAAGTTGTACAGGGTATTATTTTCTCCCTTACCAGCCTAGAGACCATTCACCTTACTTGGCTCAGAGTCCCCTCTCTCTTTTCACACTAGCAGTGCGATATCTCCCTTGTTTTTACTCCTGACAAGGGCTTTTGGATTTTTAGAGACGTCTGTTATAGATCAGCCCGACCTGGGGAAATCAAGGTGAGTGGATTGAGCTCCACCTTTGGAGAGGAGAATAATATTTGAGATTTTTCTGAAAGGTTTGTCTGCTTCTCCATTTGTTTATTCATCTGTTTATATGATACTTAGTCATGTATGTTTATATTATACTTTTGGTTGTAATCCAGTGCTGTAATCTTTTTTTGCTCATCTTGTTCCATCCTTGGTCACTGGGAGTTCTTTGGAGTTTCTGTGCCCTTGACATATTCTGTCCTGTGGTTTTTGAACACTTGCTTGCTATATCATGCTACATGACTTCTCGAGCTCTTATATTTTCCCTAAATTAGTTCTAGAACTGTTGAAACCCCGGTTCCTTTTGTTGGAAAATATTAATGAGAAACCAAGATCTGGCCCCTTATATGTATTTATAACTCTCAGAGAGTGACTGTTTTGAGACTTTCTCAGCAGACAGGGCTAGAAATTGTATGTACATGCCCTTGTGTCTGAGAGAAATCTGGAATTATTTCTGTATCACCTACGCATGTAGATATCTTGCTAAACTTGAGTATATACTGATGTTTAACTCTAGTGACTACAGGGTTTATTCTAATCTTTCTTACTTATTATCCTTGCTGTTGGCAATTAACTTTCACTATCCATCATCCTTTTATTAACTTATTCAACCTTAGAATACAAGTAAAGTCGTTTCAGAATTAATATGTATTACTATGAGGAAAACATTAGCTGTAAAGTATTCTTATACAGTGTCCTCTTTTTGTGCCCTATAGTACCATGAAAACTAGGCTGCAGGGATAAGACTTTTGCATCACTCCAGCTCACGGGTGTCTAGACCCTGTTCTGAAGAGCATGGTGTCTTCAGCAATAGGGACTCACTTTCCATCTCTTAGAGGGCAACAACAATAGACTGTGTGTTCTGGGAGTCTCTTGGACAGCCCTGCCCAACAACTCACAAGAGGGCTTCTGCTGTCTGTATTGGAATTTGTGTTAGGCGGTCTTAAAAAATAAAATTACACACACACACACACACACACACCACACACATGGTATTATATGTATTTTAGTTTTTTTAAAGTAAATAATTATCCTTATGGCTTTGTGAGGCATCCTTGTTGCCATTTTACTTTCCTCCCTCCTCCTCTATTTGCCTCCATCCTGTTCCCCAAAGAGCACCATTTCCCGAGTCAGACCACGTGTGCCCTGCTGTCCTCCTCCCTCCTGCTCCCCAGCCCTCTGTTCTGGCAGTGGTCCTGTTTTAATCTCTTGGTCCCTGCAGACTGTGTACTCGAATCTGAAGATTTGAAGCTAGGAGCCTTTAAGTGTTTCATAAAGGCACAAGGTAGAAAGCTATTCTATTCTGTCTCCTATGGCAGCAAGAATTTACCATAGATTATTTTGAATGATGAAATCCAAAATGACTTTGAAATAGCCACAATTGCATGTCTTTAGTTGTCTTCCTTGAAAACTCGGTAAGCTGGCATGCTTGCTTGTTTATATGTTTGTTCATTTGTTTATTTGAGGAAGGGTTTCTTCTGTGCAGCTCCGCCTGTCCAGGAACTTAACACATAGATCTTAAACTCACAGAACTCTGCTGGCCTCTGCCTCCTGAGGGCTGGGACTAAAGGCGTGCACTACTATGTCCAGCTCTGAAGGAATATTTAATTTAAGGCTCATTCATCAATATATTAATTCAAATTCCTTTTTATGTTTGTGGGTAGAGCTTAGAGATAAACAAGTGATTTATTGGTTAGGTGATCATACAGATCTCAGAAATCTGTCTGCCTCTGCCTCATACTAGGATTAAAGGCATTTTCCACCATGTGTAGCCCTTAAACTTACTTTAAAATAAGGACATTTAAATGTTTTTTCAAGGCAGAGAACTTCAAAATTATTACATTATTTAGCAAAAAACAAGAAACAGAAGTTTCCTTATTCTGGTTGAATAAATTATGCTAGAAGATTGTGTATCCATAAAATACTGTTGTAGCTATTTATAAAAAATGAGGTGGGCATCTGTTTACTGAGATAATCTGAAGTGCAATTAATTAAGGGAAAAGAAGGTTGCAGAACAGTTTGGAGAGGATCATCCCAGTACATCCTAGGGTAGTCTGAATTTTATGTGTGAAAATAACATAAAATATTCTGTTTTTCAGTGGGCAGACTGGTTCAGGGAAGACATTTACTATGATGGGTAAGTAAAAACCAGTGTTTGCTGGCCAACTGCACTTTCTGTGATGACCACTTGGAGCATGTTTTAGGAGAAGGCATTATTTCTTTGTGAGATGCTGCTTTCATAAAAATAGGGATGTTTTCCATGTTTCTACCAAGTTGTGAATTCCTAGATAGTCTGTTTGTTAATCCTGACTATAGCTATGTTCCTTAGCTCAATGCTTGGCATAGACTAGGTGCTAGACACAGTGTGTGTTTATAGACATATAGAATCATATACATGTGCATGTATGCATAAACACTACCCAAGGTCCAGATTCCTGGTTTGTGACTCCTGCCCTACCCCTATAGCAGCTGATACTATCATTGTTATCCTCATTATGTTTGCTTGCTTTGGAATGTCTGCAAGTGACATTTTATAGAAAAGTAAGTAAGGGCATTCATTTCTCTGATGTTATTTTTCTACCTATTGTGCATATCTGCTCCCCTCCTTTCTCTGTTTCTCCCTTTCTTGGAGACAGGGTCTTACTGTATAGCCCTATCTGTACTGGAACTTGCTATCTCCCTCTGCCTCCTCTGGACTGCTGGGTTTAATGGTATACCATACCTTGCCTATCTCCTTCTTTCTTTCCTTTCTGTGTGATCCCTTCTCCAGGGATGCCCCCCACCCCTCAAACAGGATGGCATGTAATCTAGGCTGATCTCAAACTCGCTGTGTAGCCACAGGTGAGGTTGAATTTTATCTTCTTGTCTCCAGCTCCCAAGTGTGCCCTCCACACCCAGCCTATGTCCTTAAAGTACAGTTTACAAGGACCATTCACTAACAGGACAATTGTAAGGTTTTCATTACTTCCCTGAACCTTTTTGTGCATACCAGCTCTCTGTTATGCCCTAGGACCCCTGGTCTCTAGAGCATAATTAACTATGATTTATAATACCTTCAGTATCATTGTTTGGGTTTTTTTTTTTTTTTTTTTTTTTTTTGGTTTGGTTTTTGTTTTTTTGAGACAGGGTCTCTGTAGGTTTGGAGACTGTCCTGGCAGTCACTCTGTAGACCAGGCTGGCCTTGAACTCACAGATATCCACCTGCCTCTACCTACCAAGTGCTGGGATTAAAGGCATGCACCACTAATGTCTATCTGGAAAACAAACTTTTATCTGGTTTAACCATTCAGCTCAGTGTTTTTTGTTTTTTCTACTCAGAAGTTACAGTAGGCAGGGAGAAGCTTTTCAGAGGGTGGTTGTTGGCAGCTTTTGCAGCTCTTTGTGTTTGACACAAGTGAGTGTTAGTAGCAGGCAGGTCTGAAGAGGAACAGGTGGTTCCAAGGCAGCCATCGCAGGCCTCACGGTTGTAGGATCCATTGCAGGAAGCTGGGATTCCTTAGTCCTTGGCAGAAGCTGATGTTGCCGCTTCCAAGTAAGCCTACATAGTAAGTCTTTGGCACTGCACAGTTAACACATAGGACTTGACAAAGTATGAGACTTTCTCCCCACCAGACAGCAAGCAATCATCAGTGGCGTGTCCTCTAATGCCTTTCATTTCTTGTATCATCTACTTGAAGCTTGTGTTTGATCCTGTAGGTTTAAGGCTCAATCCCCAAGGCAGACTGCCTTCCCCACTGCAGGTGCTAATGATAGTCCTCAAACCCACAGCTATGAGCCATGACTCTCACAACCCCAGCCTTGATTTGCTATTGCAGTAGAGTGGCGGCTCTCAGTGTGTGGGTTGTGACTCCCACAGGGCTTGCATATCAGATACCTACATTACGCTTCATAACAGTAGCCTTATGAAGTAGCAATGAAAATAATTCTATGGTTGTGGGGGTCACCACAACATGTGGAACTGTATTCAAGATTTGCAGCATTAGGAAGGTTGAGAACCAGTGCTATGGAGGCTCACAAGACTCGGAAACTAGTTTATCATAAGGGCTTATCTTGAAAGATTATAATAGACAGTATGTGATAGCATTACTTTAAAAAAATATTTGTTTTTGTATGTATATGAGTGCTTTGTTTTCATTCATATCTGAAGAGGGCACCAGATCTCATTAGAAATGGTTGTGAGCCACCATGTGGTTGCTGGGAACTGAACTCAGGACCTTTGGAAGAGCAGAGCAGGCAGTGTTCTTACCACTGAGCCATCTTTCCAGCCCTATGCATGTGATTTTTGTTTTCACAGACTGTGATGGTTTGAATGAGAATGGTCTCTCATAGGTTCCTATATTTGAATGCTTAGTTGGCAATTAGTGGAACTGTGTGAAAAGGATTAGGAGGTGTGGCCTTGTTGGAGGAGGTTATAATGTATATTACTTATGGTTTCTTAAAGCTTGCCTGAGGATTAAGAAAGCAAAGCTATCCTCAAGCCATAGAAGCCAGGCACACATCTTTAAGCCCAGCAGTCACAGACTAGGAGGTGGTGGCACACACCTTTAATCCTAGGACTCAGGATTAAGAGGTAGACGGATCTCTCTGTGAGTCCAAGGCGACTCAGATCTACACAAGAGTGAATCAGTCTAAAAGAGAATTATAGCTCAAGTCTTTAATCCCAGCACTGGAGGGACATAAAAGACTGAAGCAGGGTCTTCAGTATTCAATACCAGGCATTGGTTCTCCAGCCACACTGAGGAGAGGCAGCAGTTTGACACTTGGTGAAGAGCTTGTGCATGTATTAGCCCTTTCAGCCTGAGCTTGAGGTGAGAGCTGATTCAATCCCCAGCAACCACATGGTAGCTCACAACCGTCTGTAATGAGATCTGGTGCTCTCTTGTGGCGTACAGGCATGCATGCAGACAGACTATTGTATATATAATAAGTAAATAAATCTTAAAAAAATAGCATGCATACAAAAAGTACAATCACGTCAGTACTTGATAGTTGAAAGATGTTAAGCTTAGCATGGGGATAGATTGCAGCTGCTTAGAATTGGTTTGTGACTACTGTAGACCTTCCCTTCAGTCTCACTCATGGGCAGTCTTTCACAGATATAAATGTAACTTGCTTGAAACAGAACTAGGAAGTTGATTATACCATGTGTCATTTTATTTCTGTATAAGCTGCCATTCGATATTGCCATTTTGAAGGATTTTCAGAATAAAAGGTTTTCGTTTTATTTTTCCTCAGGACCATCAGACTCTGATAATTTTTCTCATAATCTGAGAGGCGTAATCCCACGAAGTTTTGAATATTTGTTTTCCTTAATTGATCGTGAGAAAGAAAAGGTAAAGCTTACTGTAAGAATAAAATGTTGGGAGGCTGGAGAGATGGCTCAGCCATAAAGAGCCACTGGCTCCCGTCTGGAGCACTGCGTTCAACTCCCAGCACCACACGGCAGCTCACAACAGTCTGACTCAGGGGATCTGATGCCTTCCTTTAGCCTCTGTGGGCACTAGACATGCACCTTCTGCACAGACACACATGTAGGCAAAACACTCATCGATAAATAAAAAACAAAATTTTGAAATGAAAAAATAAAATATTGATAGAGTTCTCCCCTAGAGTGCAATAGGCCCCGGGTTTGATCCCCAGCACTGACAAAGCTGAGTGTGTTGATGCACACCTGTGATGGGGGCGTCCTTCTGCGTATGTTTGTCCTATTGGTTGATAAATAAAGCACTGTTGGCCAATAGAGAAGCAAGATAGGTGGGACTAGGAGTTGAGGAGGATTATGGGAAAGAGGCACAGTCAGTCACCATGTAGGACACCAGAGGAGTAAGAGGTCCAAACCCTTTCTCTGGTAAGAGAAGACCACGTGGAAATAGATTAGCAGTTATGGGTTAATAATTAAGTCAGAGCTAGCCAATAAGAAACCATAGCAAATGGCCAACAGCTTCATAATAAATAAAGCGTCCTGCATATTCATTTGGGACTGACTCGGCTCTGGGACCAGGCTGGCGGGAAGAATCTCATTACACACAGGGATGACCCCAACTAAGAACTTAGGCAGTGGTGGAGAGGCTGCCTTTGATGCCCTTCCCCTATATTGAGATTGGTGACTACCTTGGTTACCATTCCTAGAGCCTTCATCCGGTATCTGGTCGAAGCAGAAGCAGGCACCCACAGCTAAACACTGAGCCATACTCCTGGAATCCAGTTGTGGAGGGGGGGAGGGATGAGCAAAGGAGCCAAGACCATGCTGGAGAAACCTGCAGAAACGGTTGACCTGACCTAGTGAGAGCAGTGCTAGCTTGTACCTTACTGCCATCTTGCTTTGTGGATTATGACCCCATCACTTGAGAACCCCATCTTTTTGCTCTCACTGGGTTCCTAGGTTGGACCATTCTCATGATTGCACTTATTTAGCTTGGTAGATTCTGGAGTTAAGGTTCTGTGGTATTATGTTCTTTATGTACTTGTGTACCAAGGAAATTGCTATTTACTCCTTTGCAAAAATATCCCTAACATTACAGTTAGACATACAAATTTGCCTGACAGTAAAATAATTAAATTTAATACCATGTGTTTCTTTGGTTAGAGTTTTTAAAATTATTTATTTTTATGAATATCATTTGCTTTGTTGACATGTATGCCTTGTGTACCACAGGCATGCATGCCTGGTGCCAAGGCCAGAAGAGCATGTTGGATCCCCTGGGACTGGAGTTGTAGATGATTGTGAGTCTCCATGTACGTGCTGAGAATATAATGAGGGTCCTCTTAGCCACTGAGCCATCTCTCTAGGCCCTAGTTGGTTTTTGTTTTGTATTTTTAAAATAAAAATTATATTAAGTTTATGAATGTTTTGTCTGCACATAAGTGTACCATGTGTGTACAGTGCTTGTAGAGGCCAGAAGAAGGAAACAGACATGGAATTGATGTGTACATATCTATGTGGATGCTGAAAACCAACCCCAAGTCTTTCATAAGAGCTATAAATGCTTTTAACCACTGAGCCATCTCTCCAGCCCCCAACTGTTGGTTTTTGTTTTTTTGTTTTTAGGATGAATTAATTTCAGTCTTTTAAAGAACTTTATCTGGGGCCAATGATATGGTTCAGTGGATAAAGACACTTGCCACCAAACCTGATGGCTTCAGTTTGGTCCCTGGGACCCAGATGGTTGAAGGAGGTAATTGACTCACAAAAGTTAGCCTCTGATCTGCACACACATGCCATGTGTGTACATACATGCCTATACATACAAACAGTGCATAAATGTTAAAGTGATGGAAACTCATTTGAATTGCTCAACTCTCATCTCCAAGAGCAGACTCCGTGGTGCCCTCCAAACTGGATTTCTGGGACTTCCATGGTGCTGCTTAAAGGTTCAGTAATGTTTTAGAGTTAGTTTTCTGGATTACTTCTCACTGACCTTTCAGTGTTTGACATGATACTAAAGCGTGCTAGGAAAGCATCCCTGAGATAGCTCCTGGAACCTGAGGATAAGGGTGTGAACTGTGTGCCGACTGGAGCTTTTCTTTTGCAGGCTGGAGCAGGGAAGACCTTCCTGTGTAAGTGCTCCTTCATTGAGGTGTACAACGAGCAGATCTATGACCTGCTGGACTCCGCATCGGTCGGCCTCTACTTGAGGGAGCACATAAAGAGGGGCGTCTTTGTGGTTGGTGCAGTGGAGCAGGTGGTGACCTCAGCGGCTGAGGCCTATCAGGTACCCTGCCATGCGGAGGATGCGTGTGCCTCTTAGGCAGTAAGCTTTCCTTGGAAGTACCCTCGTCTTCAAAGAACCACGGTTGAGTTTCATAAAGACATAGCACAAACTCTTCTGAACTGACTGCAGCCCTGCTTTGTAACCCTCTTGCCTCGGCCTCTCAAGTAGGTGTTACCACACCCAGCCAATAGTTCAGAACAGTCAGAGTTATACAGAGAGACCTTGCCACTCCCAGCCATCACTCCTCTGCAAAAGAAGACAATTTTACCTAAGGTTTGACATTCCCAGCATCCTTCCAGAATATTGCCTCATCTCAATCTTCACGTGATGTTGAAACACAATCTAAATTCTAGTAACATCCCATGGTGGGATATGTATATTGAACTTAGATATTCTGCCCTGTGAGGTTAGTACCCACATGTTCTTGTTTTGATTGTTTGTTTTGTTTTGTTTTGAAGTCAGGGTTTTTGTAAATAGCTCTGGCTGTCCTAGAACTCAGTTTGTAGACCAGGCTGTCCTTGAACTCATAAACATTCCTCTGCCTCTGCCTCCCAGTGCTGGAATTAAAGGCGTGCGCCACTATCCCTTGATCTCCATGTTTATTTTTAAATGCAATAGCAGAACTTTTTTTTTTTTATAACCACAGCTTATAAATAGTAGAATCAGGGTTTGAACTTGCCTGAGAGCCTGTGGTCTGAACATTGATGTTTTTTCTTGTCAGAATGGAAAGAAGGAAAAAAAAAACTTTGCATGGAAGAAAGCTGCCAAAGTGTTAGACTAAAGATAACTCAAAATGTTTCTTTTTGGTTTTGAGTTTTTATTATCTAAGCTAAAGAAAGGGATGCACATTATATAGTCACAGTTTGGAGATGGAAGCAGAAGGATCAAAGCTAGCTTGAACTACTAGTGCGTTCCAGGCCAGCCAGGGACACCTTGTCTCTTTCTGTGACATGAGAAGAGAAAGAAGATAATTCTTCGATGGGCAGTAACCTTCATTCTTTATGGCTCTCCTACCGATTTTCATGTCTAAATATATGACGACAGAACTTGTGATAATATAAACCCTCACAAAGCTAGATAATAATGGAAAGGCTGTGACTGTTCCCACTCTGTTCCAAAGGAAAATTACTACTATGTTGTAAAGATGGATAATTGCTGATGTCTTATTATTTCTCATATTACAATAAGAGATTATTAAGTGCTTATTTTGTGTTTTGAGTTTGTCTTAGGTGTACCTGTTATGGCTTCTTGTAATATAGTTTCCTCTTTCCCTAGGTCCTATCTAGAGGGTGGAGGAACAGGCGTGTAGCATCGACATCTATGAACAGAGAGTCCTCTAGGTCTCATGCAGTCTTTACAATCACAATAGAATCAATGGAGAAAAGCAGTGAAACTGTGAACATCCGGACCTCTCTACTCAACCTAGTGGACTTAGCAGGGTCTGAGAGGCAGAGAGATACCCATGCCGAAGGGATGAGGTTGAAGGTAGGAATGAAATGACCTTCATATTTAAGTGTGAATTCTTACTAAAAATTGTGGCCACACAAACTATAGTGAAGACCTCAGGTCATTACAATAAACATAAATGAGACAGGACATGTCTTTCAGGAGCAAGAGTGACTACTGTTGGTCAGAAGGGGGCAGGATGGCGTGGAGTGGACCGTTGGGAGGAAATTTGGGAAAAAAAGTGACTTCTCATAGAAACCAGAGTTTGGTTTGGGAGAGAGAAACAGGGAACATCCGCGTTGCAGAGTAAACGTGTATTGGATATTTCAGGGTGCATCAGTGAATAGATCAGTTATAGAGTAAGAAAGCCCAGGTCGGTTAGGACCAGGAGTGCCAGGCCAGTTTTATACTCAGTCTTCTAAACCCCTGGTAAACAATAAAAGTTTAGGACAAATGTGTAGCTTCATGTAGGAGGCCTATTTTATAACCCCTTAGATCCACTTTTTAAAAATCACTTAGATCCATTAAGCCTTTACTGCCAGAACCGAGGGAAGAACAGTCATGTATAGTCTTTGAGTTGGGAAGGTGCCTAGCCTGAGCTATTGGCAGTGGGACAGAAATCCAGTGTGGTGTGTATTGTGAGTTATGATGTAGTTTAGCAATGTGACCTAAGAGAGGAGTCAGAGGTGGGAGAGAGATGAGCCTGCTGAGCTTGCCGTCAGCAAAGGCCTATGTTTCTGTCAAGAAAGGAACAAGTCTCTACCAGTACTCCTAGGCTTGGTTAAGATGATAAATCCTAAATCGGAAGCACATTCAACATATCTAACCTGATAAACATCCCAGCTCAGTAATGCCTCATGCTGTCTGGAGTGGCAGGTTGCTGCTGCTGACAAGGAGAGAATGTTATATCATATTTGATTAGAAGTAAAAATTCAAATCCCAAGTATAGTGCATTTGTATGTGTGTAGCATTCTGCAATTACAGTGTACGTGACATAGGAAATGGGGATAATTGAACATAGTGTTTTAGTTTAGAAGTTATTTTTCATTTTGCCTCTCCTTTGCTTTTCCATCCCAGATTGTCACCTTGCTGCTTTCATTTTAGCTCAGAACACCAAAGAGTGACATTGCACCTATGCTTTTGCTTTTCCCGATTCCCTAGGAAGCAGGTAACATAAACCGATCCCTGAGTTGCCTGGGCCAGGTCATCACCGCCCTTGTTGATGTGGGCAATGGGAAACAGAGGCATGTCTGCTACAGAGACTCCAAACTCACCTTCTTACTTCGGGTAAAGCTCTCACTGCTCACCGGGACTCATAGGGCAGGTTTTCTTAGCCTTTAGTATTTTCTGGAAAAGATACTAGGATTTGCAATCTAAAACATACTCCATTGATGTCATTATACAGGATTCCCTTGGTGGTAATGCCAAAACATCCATAATTGCAAATGTTCATCCAGGATCCAGGTGTTTTGGGGAAACACTGTCAACACTTAATTTTGCTCAAAGAGCCAAGCTGATTAAAAACAAGGTAAAATACTGGAGTATTTGATATAGCAAGTAAATTAGAAAAATATTTGTACATGCCTTCTTATGATCGCCCTAATGTTACCCCGAATCTTACTTCTGTAAAAATTCGTCTTGGTTGTATAAGTTTGGTCTTCTTCCTTCCCTCCCTTCCCTTCCCTTTTCCTGTTGTTGTTGGGATGGAGAGAAGTTAACCCAGGTCATGCTAGCAGGGTTGGTGCATGTGATGCTGCATGCACATGTGTGTGCCTGCATGTGCCTGCCCTGTCCCCATCTGTTACATATATGCTAATGTACATAGAGTGATGTGATGAAAATTTCTTGATAATAATGAAATTTGCCTTTTGTTTTGTATACATCTCCCCATATTCTTCTTTTTATTTTATATACAAGAAGTGTCTTTAATGTTGGTATACTCCTCTGGGCATTGGTGGCACACACCTTTAATCCCAGCACTTGGGAGGCAGAGGCAGGGGGATCTCTGTGAGTTCAAGGCCAGCCTGGTCTACAGAGCAAGTTCCAGGACAGCTTCCAAAACAATACAGAGAAACCCTGACTCAAACCCCCCCCCAAAAAATGTTGGTATACTCCACAGATCAGGAAGCTTTTCATGGAAGGTACCCAGTAGTAAACTTCTTAATGCTTCTTGTACCATATGGTCCGTTTCAGCTACTCAGCCCTGCCTTTACAGTGACAAAGCAGCTGTGGGCAGTGTGCAAACAATGGCAGTTGCTGTGCCCCACCACAGCTTAGCACACAAAGAAACAACCGTCCATATTTTGCCTGTGGACAGCACTTTACCTGTACTTAGTACAGACTGTCAAAAAACCAACAAGACACCTAATTATTCTGGAGAGTTTGAACACTCCTTTGGTTCCAGAAGGAATAACTGTGCCATGAACTGGTAGATTGATTCCTTCCTTTTTCAAGGAGAAAACTGGGCATCTTACTCCCAGGTGTCTAGCAGAGTGCAGTAGACCATGTTGCTCCTTCCCCTGCGTAAGTGAGAAGAGCATGCATGGGTCTTTTACTTTCTCTCTTTGGGCACCGTCCCCTGCTTACATGAGTGTTAGCATTCTGAAGGGAAAACATCAGTAGAACCTCCTGACTCTGTCTTGGCTTCCCAGAAGTCTTTTGAGTGTAGAACTGTGCTAATGATTGCAGTTATGATATCACTGATTCAGTAGTGATGTCAGAGTGCCTCATAATGAGGCTGGCTATATGAATCAGAAGCAACTGGAAATGGCTTTTAAGCACGAACAACAAAACCAGCTGCTGTGTAGCAGCTGCTCCCAATGGTAAGCCCTCCAGGAAGCAGTAAGGTGTCTGGGGCTTATTTATGATGAGCTGCTCCCCTATTTCCAGGGGAGCAGGGTGAACCCAGGACAAGAACACGGGGCCTTGGGCTGTCGCCGGGTGTTTTTCCTTGCTGGGATAGTTGAGTGTCTCATAGCTAGAACTATAGTCTGTGTGGCAATTATCTGTTGGCATTTTGTTTTTTCACTTCAGTCTTAGGAGTCATTTTAAAAATTCTCTAATTAGTTAACTTTACCTTGTTTGAGACATTGTTTCCCTGTGTAGCTCTGACTGTCGTGGAACTCACTCTGTAGACCAGGCTGGCCTCAAACTCAGAGATCCACCTGCCTCTGCCTCCCGAGTGCTAGGTGTGTGCTACTACCACCCAGAAATAAATTTTACTTTTAAAGTATGAAGGTGACATTTGGTATGGTTATGGAACTGAAATGCACTCAGAAGCCAATTTCGGTTTCTGGGTCAGCTTCAGAAACAGTGTCTCTCTGTGGAGAGGGCAGTTTCTGCTCAGGCTGGGCCTGTTGGGGATCGTGCCCTTGAGTCCAGACTCTGTCACCAAAGGCTGCTGTACAGAGGGAAATGGCTTTGCTGAGATGTTTGATTCCCTTATTTGAAAGGGAAGGCAGGGTTTTTAAGTCATGGTAATACACTCAGATCTGAAGGCAGCTGGCCTAAGAAGGCCTGGACTGACCTAACAGACAGGTTCAGTGGGAGCCTGGTGAGGAGGAGTTGCAAGAGGAAGAGAGCCCGGCTGTGCTGCCTGGGTTCTGGCTGTTGGTATATAAGCACAGCGGGACGTAACTTAACGCCCTTTCAACATCCTCATACCAAACAAATAAAAGCAGGATTGTACAACTTGAAAAGTAGCCTCTCAGTGCTTCACTAATTCTTGTTCAGGCTGTGGTAAATGAAGACACCCAAGGAAATGTCAGCCAGCTACAAGCTGAAGTGAAGAGACTTAAGGAGCAGCTCTCTCAGCTTACTTCTAGGCAGATGATACCACAAAGCCTGCTGGACACAGGTAGGATGAGCTCATTGCCCTTATCCTGGGAAAGACTTCATGGGACTCTAAGGTCCAGAACTTGTACTTTGGAGATAGACAGTTGGTCAAAGTACAGTAAGGCTTTGCCGAATTCCTCACATACTTTCCTCATTTCACCTGTGTAAGAGGATAGTTCTTTGGATGAGATGTTTTGTGGGGTGCAGTAGGAAGGGGAATCAATGATTTTGAGTAATTCTTTCCTAGTAAGTACTGAAAGAAATGTGCTGGATTTATGAGAATTTAGGAAATTTGAATTATTTTTCCTGTTTAACTGATTTCATCCGTCCACTTCGAAGATTCTGTCTGAGCATATACAATTTACATGTGTTCATTAGTACAGGAAATGTTTCTCTAAAGAATAGCTGTTAGCTGCCAGGTATGGCACATGCCTTTAATCCTAGGACTTGAGGCAGAGGCAGGTGGATCTCTGAGTTCAGGACAGCCACAGCTTCATAGACCCTGTCTTGAAAAAACAAAGAGGTGCAAACAAACAAAACAAGTAAACAAAAGAATAGATAGTAGCATTAACTTGAGATCCATAACACTCTTAAGGAAAATAATCTGGGGCTGGGAATGTGATTTGTTAGTATAGCATATGTGAGTATATATGTGCTATACTAAGTTATACAAGAGAATGTGTTATACTAAGCACAGTCTCTACCTGACTCCCAGAACTCAGGAAGCCTAGGAAAGATGTGAGATTTAGACTAGCCTAGGCTACAGAATGAGTTTTAGGTCAATCTACACTACAGAGCTACAGACTGAGACACTCCATACATAAAAAAGAGTTTGCATTAGATCTCCAGAGGCACACGTGGGTCCCCTCCGGGTTCCTTATAGACTCGCTTCTAAGCAAGCTCTGGTGGCTGTTCTTCCAGCATTTGAGAGGATTAAGCAGGCTTGCCTTGAGTTCAAGGCCAACCTAGCCTGCAGTTTTAAAAACAACCCATGTCTCTTTCTTTCACCATATTTAGCATATTTGTGCTAAGTAAATAGGAGGAACTTGTTTTCTTTGTAGAACAGCCATTTTGCTGAAAGAGTTAGTGTGAAACTGGTAACCAATAATGAGAGTGTGCTCCTCTAGATCAGTTGGCAGAAACAGACTATTTTAGTTTTGAAAAATGAACTTGTTTCTCCCTTTCCCTTTTCAGACAAAGAGAAGACTAATTACATAGAACATTTCTTGGAAGCAATGCTATTCTTTAAGAAATCTGAACAGGAAAAGAAGGTAGGAAATTGAATTAGGAAAAGGGATTCAGGACATCTTGGACTTTCATGTCATGGTTGGTTTTCATTACTTCAGTGAGTGACACACATAGTACCAGATGTATAAAGAAAGGGCTTCTTACCTTTGAGTTTAAAGTCAGTACTTCCTGCTGGGTTTATGAGAATTTGGGAAAGCTGAATTACTTTTCATGTTTAGCTGAATCATGAATTTCTTTAGACTCTGGTAGAAAAAATTACCCAACTGGAAGACCTCACTCTCAAAAAGGAAAAGTTTATTCAGTCTAATAAAATGATAGTGAAGTTCCGAGAGGACCAAATACTGCGTCTAGAGAGGCTGCAGAAGGAGGCCCGGGGGAGCTTCCTGCCTGAGGAGCAGGACCGTCTGCTGTCGGAGCTGAGGGATGAGATCCAGACTCTCCGAGAGCAGGTGAGTGCAGTCCCCATGCTATAAAGCATGCATTGGATGTTCTTCAATACAGTGAAGAGTGCCTTAGTGAACTTGGCTGGCAATGTGAGCTGCATGATTTCTTTTCCCTTTTTCTAAGTTTGAAGCAGAAGACAAAAAGGAAGACAGTGATTTGTACTCTGCCGCCACTGTCATTGCCCCAGTCTCTGAAAAGTTGAGCTTTCTGAAGTTCTTCTTTTCCCTAGAGAGGATGAGTAGGTAATACAGGCACCCAGTTTGAAAACCAAAATAACTTAAGTTTTTTTTGAATACATGTCCAATCAATAGGATAAATATTTTTACTTTTATTTTATATGCTTTCCAGCACTTCTCCAGTTAATGTATTTTGGAAAGCAATTCTGTGTTAGTGACAAGAATTTTTCTTATTGTTCCCTCTCTTTTTTTTTTTTTTTAAAGATTTATTTACTTGCATTTTATGTGTATGGGTGTTCTGCTTGCATGTATTTACTATGTGCATGCCTGGTGCCCGAGGAAGCCAACAGAGGGTGTTGGATCTCCTGGAACTGGACTTACAGCCGTGTGGGTGCTGTAAGTTAAACGCTGGTCCTCTGGAAAAGCAGTCGTTGTTCTTAACAGCTGAGATCTCCTTTCTTTTTTATTTATGTGGTTTTCTGTGCTGGGGATCAAACACAGAGCCTTTTGCATGTTAGGCTCTTGCTGTGCCACAGAGCTACATGCTCAAGTGTGTTAACGCCTTTCATGAAGAAGTTCGCCTATTGCTCTCGTCTGGGTGGAAGTTGCAAGCAAATTAACATAAATATATTTCTGTATACCCACCGTTACTGGTCCATTTTCTGTGGAGGCTATAGTAGAGTACAGCCACGATTGCTGTGTTCCGAATGAAGGTTAGAGAGACCAGTTCATTAGGAAATTTTGTGACTATATGAAGTGTGTTATTTCTCAATGTCACAGGTGGAGCATCACCCCAGAGTTGCAAAGTATGCTATGGAAAATCATTCCCTCAGGGAAGAGAATAGACGACTGAAATTATTAGAGCCTGTGAAAAGAGCCCACGAAATAGATGCCCAGTCTGTTGCAAGACTAGAAAAGGCTTTCTCTGAAGTGTCTAGCAAAGAGAAAAATGACAAAGGTAAGAAATGATTGTTGTGAGAAGGGGCTGTGGAGCAATGACTTTGGGGGTTGAAAGCTCTGACTGGTCTTCCAGAGGACCCAAGTTCAATTCCAAGTCCCCATGTGGGAGCTTACAACTGTCTATAACTCCATTCTAACAGGATATCTGATGCTCTCTTCTGGTTTCCATGGACACTAGGAATTCATGTGGTGCACAGACATTTATGCAGGAAAAACACCCACACACAGGATTAGAAAATAAAAAACTAAAGAAAGAATTTGTAGGCCTGGAAAAATAATGTCAATAAAGTGCTTGCTGTGTAAACATGAGGACCTGAGTTCTTAGAACTCATCTTAAAAAGGTAGACTTGTAATCCCAGCACTGGGGAGGCTGAGACAGGTTGTGTTAGCTCCTGCCAGCCTGCCTCACCCTAGGTGTTGGTGGTATTTACCTCATCACCTGCCCCCAAGTGCTGCTCATTTCTGCCATCAGCTACAGCCTTCGAACTTCCCTATGTGACACGTGCACCATTGAAAGTGCCTGCCCTCGGCCGGGCGTTGGTGGCGCACCCCTTTAATCCCAGCACTCGGGAGGCAGAGGCAGGCGGATCTCTGTGAGTTCGAGACCAGCCTGGACTACCAAGCGAGTTCCAGGACAGCCTCCAAAGCCACAGAGAAACCCTGTCTGGAAAAACCAAAAAAAAAAAAAAAAAGTGCCTGCCCTCACAGCTCTCACAGCCCTCACAGTCCTCTCTTGCTCTCCTGCCTGTTTTGTCTGCCTCTCTTGTGTCATCTTTACTCTCTTCCTTTCTACAGTAACCCTCTTGCAAGTGGCATGTTCTCTTAGCAGTATACCCTGGCCGAACTCACAGGTACCGGTTTTCTGCCTGTTTTATCCTCCCGGGTTGATCCTGGGATTCTCTGGCTAACCAAGCTTAGGAAAACTCTTAAGCCAACTAGAGACCTCCTCTCACAAAAACAAAGAGGGGAAACGAAGGTGGGTGGCTTCTGAGGAAAAACACTCAGGCTGATTTCTGGTCTGCACACAGCTCACAATCACACACCAACACAGAGAAAGAGGAAAGAACATTTATAGCCAGGTGTATAGGTAAAGCACACTTGGATCCAAACACTCAGGAGGCTGAGGCTGGGGGATAATGAGTTGTAGGTTAACCTGGGCTATGAAGTGAGACCAACACCTTCCGCAGAAAACAAAACCAAAAAAAAAAAAAAAAAAAAGAAAACAAAGAATTCAAAGCAGGGGTGGAGAGATGGCTGAGTGGTTACGAGCGGTGCCTTTAGTCCTAGTACTTGGGAGGCAGAGGCAGGTGGATCTCTGTGAGTTTGAGGCCAGCCTGGTCTACAAAGTGAGTTCCAGAACAGCTAGGACTGTTACCCTGTCTAGAAACCACCCCTGCCCCTCCAAAAAGATGACCTGAGTCTGGTTCCCAGTCTCTTGAACTCAAGCCTCAGGGGTTCCAATACCTCTGGCCCTTTTGGGCACCTTACCTTACATGTACACACCCAAACACAGGTGTACACATATACACATAATTTAAATTCTAACAAAAAATATTTAAAGGGATCCAAAACTGCTGGGTGGTGGCAGCACACGCTTTTATTTCCCAGCAGAGACAAAGGTAAGAGAATTCTGTGTATTCTGAATTGTTTGCCTCGATGCTTTTCCTTTTCTTTTTGTGGTGCTGGGATTAAACTCAGGGTTGGTCTCAGATAAGCATCTGCTCTGCCACTGAGTTCTACTTACAGTCCTTCTATCTACCATCTGTCTATGCCTATTTTTTATTTTTTTTTTTCTTTTTGAGACAGGGTTTCTCTGTATAGACCTGACTGTCCTGGAACTCATTCTATAGGTCAAGCTAGCATTTAACTCAGAGATCTGCCTTCCTCTGCCTCTTAGTGCTGTGATTACAGGTGTGTGTTACCTCTGTTGAGCTTTTTTATTTGGTTGGTTTGGTTTTGGTCTGGTATGATTTAGTTAGGTTTTTTCATCTTGCTTTTTACATTTCCCTTGTCTAGGCCTTCTATTTTTCAGTTATGACTTAGTAAAAGAAGATTCACAGTTATTTGGATGTGGAGAAACTCAAAATTTTATATGCAAATTAAACAAGGATTTATCCTTGTTATCAGTTTCTCTTCTAAATAATTTGTTGCCTGTTCACAGTGACTAGTAGCACTGGTTTTTACAAGTTGGGCTGTGTAAATGTTTCTCTGCCCAGCACCATGCATGTTGCTCATTAATCACTGTTAGTTCTTTATCCTAGGGAACAGCATGTTGCCTTAGTTACACTTCTCCATCTCTGCTTCTTGAACATAACTTTCAAGGCCCTTGTGGGGACACTGCCACACGCTGTGTCTCCCGCTGACATCTGTGTCCTCACATTTATCCTGGAAGAGAGTGTAGGAAAATGTCTTGTTGCCGGGCAGTGGTGGCACATGCCTTTAGCACTTGTAGGACACAGTCAAATGATCTCAATGAGTTCGAGGCCAGCCTGTTGTACAGAGTGAGTTCCTGGACAGCTGAACTGTTACACAGAGAAACCCTGTATTGAGAAACAAACAAATGAATGAATGAAAAATAAATAAAAAGTTAAAGAAAAATGTCTTGTTATTTTTGTCTTTCAAAGACTGAAGTGAGCCCCTTCTTAACAGGTCTGCAGGGATTTTCTCCCAAAGCACTGAAAGAACCAAATTTCTTCACAAACACTGAGAAGTTAAAATCACAACTCCTGCAAATTCAGACAGAGCTGAATAATTCAAAGCAAGAATATGAAGAGTTCAAAGAGCTAACTCGGTAAAGTACAAATACACATGCTTGTAGCTCTTTATATTTGATAGTAGATTATACATTGCGTTTTTGGTTTTCAATTTTGTTTTGTTGAGACAAGGTTCTCTGTAGCTTTGGACCTGTCCTGGAACTCCCTCAGTAGACCAGGCTGACCTCAAACTCACAGAAATCAACCTGCCTCTGCATCCTGAGTGCTGGGAGTAAAGGTGTGCACCACCAACCTCCAGCTTCATACAAATGTTTTAAGTAGTGCTCTCCTGTTAAGTGTTGATTGAACTTGCAGAATAAGTTTATCTCCTTACCAAATTTAAATCATAGTTACAGACTAAACCTAGATTTATTATTATTATTATTATTTAGAAATTAAGGATTTATTAATACCATTACTTGGTGCTCACTGTGTGAAAAGATAGACTATACTGACACTATAATTGAGGTGAATCCTAGCCTAAAATATGGAGAGGTGTTCATTTTGAAAGTATACTGACTTGAACTTGAGCTCTATGTGAGCATAAACTGCAATGTACTTAAAAATGTTTGACATTACTGATTACTTGAAGGAAGTAAGTCTTAACATCATCTATTAGGAAAAAGCAGCTGGAACTGGAATCTGAGCTTCAGTCTTTGCAAAAAGCAAACCTCAATCTTGAAAATCTTTTGGAAGCAACCAAAGCCTGCAAGCGCCAAGAAGTTTCTCAGCTGAATAAAATACATGCTGAAACACTTAAGGTGGGTAATTGGTGAGTCTATTTAAATTGCACCTGTCTCTTTTGTTAGTAAAGGTTATTTTCAAACACAGATGGCAGAACACCCTAGTGTTGTGATAGACTCCAGTGCAAGGTCAGGGAGGACTAATGAAACATTTCAGATCAAATTCTACTGTCTACCTTTAGACAGTGTTTCCTAACATCGGAACCTTTTCCTTTTCTCCTTCCTCCCTCCCCCCCTTCCTTCCTTCCCTCCCTCCTCCTCCCTCCCCCTTTTCCTTTGAGACAGGGTCTGATGAAAGCTAAGGCTGTCCTCAAACTCACATTGGCCTTGAACTTTTGACTCTCCTGTCTCTACCACTATGAGTACTTGGATTACAGGCATGTGCTACCATGCCCAGCTTTGCAGTTTCCTTTTTATAACACTCAAAGATGGGTCTTAGGCCAGGTGTGGCCGAGCAGGCCTTTAGTACGAGGCAGAGGCAAGCATCACAAATCCGGATTACAGTCATGTATCACCATGCCCAGCTTCAAGTTCCATTATTTAAATTTTATTACAACTATACATGCAACTATATTGACTGATGGGCTTATTTCCATTTGGTCATTTCTATCTAGTGCCTCAAGAACACATCCTTTTTTGATAACCTGAATAAAATTTTAATTTTTTCCTGTTCATAAAATCTCTAGGTATTTCCCTTTGTATTAATGACTCTTTCCCTGATCATTGCTCTGCAGATAATTACCACTCCTACTAAGGCTTATCAACTCAGTTCTAGACTGCTACCAAAATTAAGCCCAGAGGTGGGGAGCTTTGGCTTCCTGCACACGCAGAATTCTGGCAGCTTAGATGATGGTATATTAAATGAGCCGGTGCCCCCTGAGATGAGCGAACAAGCTCTGGAGGCTGTTTCTGAAGAGCTTCGAACTGTACAGGTAATACTTTCATTTGGGGAAAAATAATTATTGAATGTTATTTTAAATAAAATTTGCCTACTAGCTTAACTCCCTGTATGGTTTTTTGTTTTGCTTTTCCAGTCAGGGTTTCTCTGTGTAGGTTCGGAGGCTGTCCTGGAACTCTCTCTCTCTCTGTAGACCAGGCTGGCCTTGAACTCACAGATTGGCCTGCCCCTGCCTCCTGAGTGGTAGGATTAACAGTCGTGCGCCACTATCTCCCAACAACTCCTTATAATCTGTTTTTTTTTCTTTTTAGTTCATTTTTTGAGCAAATTATTATATAGATCAAATTTTAGGGAGGTTTTAATGTATTTGAAATAATTTGAGATTTGATTATGTTGGGTTCCTGCTAGTTTGTTAATTAAATTTTACCTCTTTGTCCAGTAAAACTTGGAGTGGATACTCCAAATCAGAAGTTTTTTCCTGTTCTAGACCAGAGAGGCCTTTGTGATGAAATAACCCCGTGCAGCTCTGAGGAAACTTCTTAAAGACTTTAGAGCTGGGGCTAGAGAGATGGCTCAGTTGTTAAGAGCACTGACTGCGCTTCCAGAGGACCCAGGTTCAAGTCCCAGCACCCACATGGCAGCTCACAGCTCTCTGTTGTTTCAGTTCTGAGTACCCTTTGCCTTCACATAGACATACATGTAAGCAAAACACCAATGCACATAAAATAAATGAATCATTTTTTAAAAAAGAATTGTAAACAGGTCTCTAGAGGTCTCAGTGGTTAAGTCTAAAGTTTAAAAGTTCTCTAGAAAAATAAAAGTTCTCTAGAGGCCTCTAATTTATTTTATACATACATGTTATATACATATATGTATGTATAGGTAGATGCTTACCCACCAAGCCATCTCTCCAGTCTCCACACCTATATCATTTTTTGTTTACTTATTTATTTATTCATTTTCTTTTATTTGTTTGCTTGTTTTTGTTTTGTTTTGAAGCATGGTTTCCCTGTGTAGACCAAGGACTTGAGCTCAGAGATCTGCCTGCCTCTATCTCCCTAGTACTTTGATTAAATGCACATTCCCTCTCGCCTGGCTAGGGCTCTGTAACTTAATTCAGCGTTGAATATTAACCACCTTTCTCTGTGTTTGAATTTATTCGTTTTGATCATTCACAAATGTAATTTTGAAACATACGCATGGTCAAAATAGTTTTTTGAAGATCTCTGACTCTAGCAGTCCTTTGTTATGTTTGTTTCTATAAGGGCTTGAGTTTATTTTGTCTCTTTAATCAAAAAGAAACAGGGCAGGAGAGTTCTCTCTGCAGTGAGACTGCTTTTCCAGAGAACCTAGGTTCAATTCCCAGCGTCCACCGACTTGCCACTTTCTATAATTCCAGTCGCAGATGGTCTAGCACCCTCTTCTGGCAGCTGTGGGCACTGGCCATGCAGCTGACACCCACACACACATTCAGACAAAACATCCCTCCATAAGACTTAAAAAATTAATTCTATTAGAGGCATTTGTGATGACTCGACTGTGTCTAATGCAGGAACAACTGAGTGCTCTTCAAGTCAAGCTGGATGAAGAAGTGCATAAAAACCTGAGACTTCAGCAGAGTGTCGACAAGCTAGAGCACCACTCTGCACACATGCAGGAGGTGAGGATGGGAGCAGGGCTTCAGAAAGTGTCGAAACATTGTCAAAAGTACTGAGAGACGAGGGTACTCCTCCCTGGACCCCTTCCCACTCTTGAGGTTCCTTTCATTTTTCCTTAATTAATACATATTCACTCTGACCCCATTTGCTTCCCAAAACAACATTGCCAGATGAAAATTCCCTAACCAAGCACTGGTCAACCTTTTTACTTCCCTGAAGCGAGGCAGACATTAGGACACTTGTAAGGCGCACAAGGGCCATTTGTCCTCATTCTTGTACTGTCTGTCATCTTCACTATAGTTCCCCTTGTTTGGTCTTGTCGACAGTAAATACAGAGACCAATGATTTGCGTTGTTTTAGCATACTTTTCCAGTATGTTCACTCTTTCCCAAAGCTGTTTTCATCTGAAAGGAGTGATTGGACCAAGCAGCAGCAAGACCATCTTGCCCGGGTGAATGATCTTGAGAAGCAGCTTCAGGACGCTCAGACTAAGAATGACTGTAAGTTTGCACAGCGAGGACACTGTAGCTCAGCGTCTGTTTTTGATTTGCTCTTGTTTTAAATGAACTTTTTTTTTTTCTATTCTAAGGGGTTGCTTGTTTTGTTTGTTGTTAGATAATTGCTCTTGAATTCTCATGGTAAAGGTAATAAATGGTAATAAATAAAATGGGTATTAAGACATAATTTTCTTCAAGATCACTCACCAATATGTGTTACAAATGTTCGCTCAAAGTTAAGAGCTGGGAGATGACTGAGTTGCCTCACAAGCTTGAGGACCTGAAATCAGAACCCACGTAAAAAGCTGGGTGTGTTGTCACACGCGAATCTGGTAACCCAGTTAGTTCAAGATGGGGGACAAAAAGGAGCAGATTCCAGTTTACTGGGTAGCTAATCCAGCCCCCTTAGTAAAGCTCTCAGCCAGTGAAAGGCTGTCTCAAACAAAGAGTGAAAAGCACCCAAGCAGTCACACCAACATTTATGCTCTGATCTGTACACACAGGTACATGGACAACCATATATGTACAGACACATGCATACACAATATATGCAATGTACTTTGAAAATGAAGTATCTTCATTTTGAAAGCTGAGTTGTGTTAATATTGACAAAGTGAAGCATAAATTATTTATATACATTTCTAGTTTATTTTTCCTTTCATCAAAGTATTTTCAGATAAACCAGGAAATCCATCATTTAATAGTTGAAGTTAGGAGTTTCAGAAGTTTAAAGTAATCATTGGCAACACAGCAAGTTGGAGGTCAACCTGGTATGCATGAGACCCTGTCTCCAAAATATTTTCTGTAGTTTGTAGTAAAATGAGAAAGTCACTTAATCTAGTTTTCACTTGGAGTTTCCTTTTGAGACTAGACTGTGTTTAACCCATGTTGAAAAGCTCTGGTATATTACTAAAACATTTTCAACAGCTAACAGTACACTGCTTCAGATACATTAAATATCACACATTTTTCTTCATATTAATAGTTCTGTTGTGTGGTTTTCGTTTTTGTTTTTGTTTTTTTCTCCGAGACAGGGTTTCTCTGTATTGCTTTGGAGCGTGTCCTGGAACTCACTCTGTAGGACTGGTCTGGTCTCAAACTCACAGAGATCCACCTGCCTCTGCCTCCCGAGTGCTGGGATTAAAGGTGTGCTCCATCAATGCCCGGCCTGTTGCATGTTCTACAGGAAAAAAATTCTTAAAATGTCAAGTGGCCTAAAAAAATGAGGAACAGATGTTAACTCTTCCTGTTTCAACAGAGATGTTGGAACAGCTGGGTGTGGTAGGACATGCCTGTGATCCTAGCACTCAGGAAGTGGAATCAGTAAGGAGAGGAGCTCAGGGCTGTCCTTGCTGTGTGGTAAGAATAAGGCCAACCTAGGGCAAAAGAAATGGAGGTGCAGCCCTGACCTAAGGAGAGGAGGAAAAGAGAAATCTTGGTGTTCAGTGCTCACCTGTTGATGTTTGTCCTTGCAGTAGTAAGCTTGCATTCATTTGCCTGCTTTATAAACGATATGGTTGCATTCATTTGCCCGCTTTATAAATGATATAGTTGTATTTATTTGCCTCCTTTATGCAAAGGACTGGTAAAGTGACCTGTTGTGACCTTGATTTCTTTGTTTTCCAGTTTTGAAATGTGAGGTACATGACTTGCGAATCGTTCTTCATTCTGCTGACAAAGAACTGTCCCTGGTGAAACTGGAGTATAGAACCTTTAAAGAGAATCAAGAGAAGGAACTAAACCAACTTTCCGAAAAACATGTGCAGGTTCAACTTCAGCTAGACAACACCAGGTAGAGCTGTTCTGTGGTTCAAGGTGCCTCTCTGTTTGTGCTCAGTGCTACTTGAAGTATTATAAGCCTAACACACATTGCATAAGCCAGTAACATTGTAATTTATTAATAATTTATCCCAAGCATATGTTTTTTTGCTATCCAATTAGCTTCACTACAATCTGGCTTTGTGATTTTTTTTTTAAAGTCTACTTCTTTGCTATTGTTTATTTGTTTGTTGTTGTTTTTCTGAGACAGGATCTTACTATGTAGCTTTGGCTGGCCTAGAACTCATTCTGCTTCCTGACCTTTAAAATATAGAGGTCAGAATGTAATTATTCTTGTATGTCTGATTCTACAGTGAGCCACCGACTGGCCTGCTTATTCTCTGACACTAGTGGCTGTTCATGCTTCTGAATGGTAGAGCACATCACTGCTATTTGTTTCCTATTAATTTCTGTTACTTGCCAGCATTCTTTACACTGTGAACACATGTACAGGTTTCCCCCTCTCCCTGCTTCTCACCTTTTAGCAGCTATTTCATTGTCCTTTGTAACCTGCTGCTTCTGCCCTCCCTCAGCTTGCACAGGATATGGTTCTACATCTGGTTAGCTGTGTATAACCCAGAACCCCTGTTGTGCATGTTTCAGAGATGAGATTTTTGGCTTTTTTTTGGATGACTGCTGGATGCTGCACATGGTGCAGTGTGTTGGGGAAAGGAGTGTAGCTGAACAAGCACAAGCAGTTCTTTGCTGAGGTGCCACACTCTCTTGGTTACGAAGAAGCCATGTTTTCTATCATAAAAACATCTTCCTAGAGTTGTACTTTGTTGTAAATGGCTGGGGTTGCATTGTTGAGAAGACATGGGAATTAGTGAATGGCTAGTACCTGACTAGAAGCACTCAACGATCCTCATCACCAATTGTCAGCTAACAGTAAATTGCCAGTCAGTTAATCGCGTGAGCAAGGATGTGGGAAAGATGCTTTGGGCTAACGCTCCTTTTTCCATCCACATCTTCTGGTTTAGTGGTCCTCACATGGGTACCTAGGGCAGTCCACAGACCATGACAGCTCTCTGACCATTGTAAATCTGACTCATGAAAACAAATGTTTGTACTTTCTGTTTCAAAATATCTTGCTGATAAAGGTTAGAAAATGAAAAGCTTCTTGAGAGCCAAGCCTGCATACAGGATTCCTACGATAACTTGCAAGAAGTAATGAAATTTGAAATTGACCAACTTTCAAAACAGCTTCAGAGCTACAAACAAGAGAAGGAAACATTGAAATCTGATCTGCATGTAAGTGATGAACATTGTTGTAATAGGGGATGCATCCAGGATCTGTGGTTCCTGTCCTGTGTCCTCTGACTTCCTGTACCAACCACAGTGATTAATATGTTTCAAATGCCTGATGTTCATAACTGTCACTTCAAACCTAATATACAGCTGTCTTTTAGAATTTGATGGAGCTTTTTGAGGCAGAAAAAGAACGCAACAACAAATTGTCATTACAATTTGAAGAAGATAAAGAAAATAGCTCTAAGTGAGTGTGGTTAATTCTTCAGTACTGGATTCTTTATCTTGCTTTGGGGGACTTTGGGGGTCTCACTGTCTTGCGTAGACTGGCCTTAAACCTGCAATCCTCCTGCCTTTGTCTCCCATGGGCTGGAAATATAAACATGTACCATTGTAGCTGATAGTGGTCAGAGTCAGGGCCATCTGTAAGTAAGTCACAGTATGAATTATATGACAAATTATTCTTTTGTTTGTTTTGTTGTTGGGAGGGCGATTGTTTTGTTTTGTTTGAGACAGGGTCTCCCCATGTAGTGCTGGATGACCTGGAACTCATAGAGATCTGCCTGCCTGCCTCTGCTTCCTGAGTGCTGGGATTAATATACACCACACCAGGCTTCCAGGCTTCTGGCTATCCTTTTACTATTGGGGGGTTGGGTGACTTTTATTTCTGTCTCTATCAGTGTTTTTTATCCCCCCCACTCTCATTAAGTCTCTTCAAGTTCTTTTTCTTTATATTCCAGTGAGTCTCTATCAGTAGTCTCATGATCACACTAGGGGGAGTAGCTGTTACCAGTTGCCCTGGTACACGGCGAAGGTGCAGCAGCCCCTACTTCACGTATAGACAACTAACATCTAGTCATATGCAGTGAGCCAGGTCTGTGCTGTAGGTGCTAGAGCACATAGAGTGAAGCAGAGAATGGGGCTTCCCTGTGGTCTCAGACAGATGGCAGTAAATACTGTGCCTTGTGTGTTGGGTTATCAAATACCAAACACCAAAGGAAAGTGAAGAGTGGCAGAAAAATAATTCCTTACTAAATAGTTGTTAACAGATACATTCACCTTTTTGACCCCTGTGGGAATATGCTGTCTGTCCCAGGATTTGCCTAGTAGACTTTATTTTGTGGCATTGAATTTCTCCGAGTGTGCACACTCAGTGCATGTTTCCTTAATTCTTCTTTTCCAGAGAAATCTTGAAGGTTCTTGAGGCTGTGCGTCAGGAGAAGCAGAAGGAGATGGCCAAATGTGAGCAGCAGGTCAGCTTTCGTTCTAAGTCTAGAATTTGAAATTTGTAACTTTTATTCCTGAATCTCAAAAAAAAAAAAAAGTGTTTTAGCGTTGAGTGTTAGAAATCACTAATAAAAAGACTGGAATTTGACTAACTTTTTGTTGTTGTTGTTGTTGTTGAGGTTTAAACTTAGGCTTCTTCCCCCTGAGGTACATTCCTAGACCTTGTTTGTTTGCTTCTGAGACCGGGCTCTCTGTGTAATCCTGGCTGGGTTGGAACTTGCTATGGAGACCAAACTGTCTCCAGCTCACAGAGTGCTGGGATGAAAGGCATGTGTACTACACTTGGCCACCCTTGGTTATATGAGGCAGGGCCACACTGGCTACCCTGAAGTTCTCTTTAAAATCCCAGTTTGCCCTGAACTCAAGATTCTCCTGGCCCTGCCTTCCAAGTGCTAGTATTGTGGCATATAGAATGACATCTAGCTATTTCTTTTAGCATTTTGAACTTTCATTTTTTTATTGTTGTACTGTGTGTGTCACTGTGTGTCTTGTGTGTGTGTGTGTGTGGTGTTTTTGGTGTGTCTCTGTGTGTATGTGTGTGTCTGTGTCTCTGTCTGTATCTGTGCTGATGAGAGGACAGCTGCCTCCTGAGCTCTCTCAGAAGTCCTGGTTCTATTATTTTTAATTCTTTCTGACTCCCAGGTGGCTGTAATGATAGCTGCTGGTGCTCACTTAGTAGAGACCACCAAACCACTCCAGGCCTTGTTGGTGCAGACTCTGTAATGTGCAAAGCAGTTAGTTACCAGCTTTTTTTTTTTCTTCAGTAGTGTGGTTTAATTATTTTTTAAAACTATTTGTTTTTCCCCACAGATGGCAAAAGTACAGAAACTAAAGGAAAGCTTGCTCGCTGCTGAAAATGTGATCAGCTCTCTAGAAAAGTCCAGAGACTCTGACAAGGTGCATAAAGTTTGAGTTTCATGCTTCTGCACTTTGTTTCCTTATCTTTGCTGTTGGTAGTGGTGTATGCTTAAGTTTAGAGCCCTGGTTCTCTATGTAGCCCGGGCTGGCTTTAAATCACAACCCTTTCACCTAAGCTTCTGGCATACGGGTATGTCATTCCTGTTTTCTCACCATTTCTTACCTCCAGGATGACTTACACACTGTCTGGTCCATGTACATTTAGGCAAGACAAGGTCTCACTATGTAGTCCTGAATGGTTTGGAACTTACTGTGTGAACCAGGCTGACTCAAACTCACAGAGAACTACCTGTCTCTGCCTCCCTAGGACACAGAGATGAAAGCTGTGTGCCACCATGTCCAGCATACCCTGCTTCTTTAGAGAAGGTTATGACACACCCTTGTCCTTTCAGCCAGAATGCTGACATTACTCTGACCCTTTCCCCCTGACTGTATGTTCATGATACAGAGTCTCGAATCCTTATCATTGACATTGCCAGAATAAGAAAAGTGACTTGTCTGTCCAAATTAAAAACGAGCATAATGGCCTATAACCTATCATACCAGCTCTTAGGAGACAGAGACAAGAAAGGCAGTAGTTAAGAGGCCAGCCTGATCTACATAAAGATTTGGAAGCTAACCGAAGCTACATAGTGAAACACTGTCTCAAAAAAAAATAAAATAAAATAACAGTTGTGGAAGGTAGAACATTACATAATATTTTGCTAAAGTAGATTGACTTCCTTTGTTGCCATTAGGAAACAGAAATGGTTTATGTGCTAGCTACTTATAGATATGACCAAACAACTCCCCCAAAAATTATACTAGGACTCATGAGGGGCAAGGCGCATCTCCTTGCTGATAGGAGCTCTTTGAAGTTGCTCATGCAAATCACCTGATGGGCGGCACAGAGAGCGTGGCTAGGAATTGGGCTGACTTTAACCCTCGTGCCCACTTCCTCCAGCTAGGCCTCACCTCTGAAGTGGTCCACAATCTCCCAGAACAGCACCACTAGCTGGGATTCAGGTGTTCAGACAACACTGAGGATCCAACCTGCCCGTACTGGTTCATCTTTTAACCATCTCCATTATGTCACTGGTTTTGAAGATACTGTTTTTGTCCTCGTCAGGAACTTGTCACTAATCTCATGAACCAAATCCAGGAGTTAAGAACATCAGCAGGTGAAAAAGCAGAAACCATAGACACCCTGAAGCAAGAACTACAGGACATAAACGTAAGTTCTGTCACAGCTCACAAGCTCTTCAGGGGCCTGGCAGCTGTCCCAACAGGTAAAGAGACTCTGTGGTAGAGTGAGCTTGATTGTAGAAGTTAACTCCAGAGGACTTCTGAGACATGCAGTGTGCACAGAGAATGATGTTCTCTGCACTATTCAGGAACCACTGATGACAAACAAACTGGGCATTGCTAGTAGCAGTTAAGGCTAAAGTGGGCTCTTTATTTGCCTCAAGGGAAAAAAAATACGTTTTAGTTAAATTCTCAGGTGTTTATCATATAGAACTGTGTCCCTGATCTGATACTTAATATCATTTCCTGAAGTAGCCATTTCTTAAGTTGAATGTTGATGCTCTCCCGATGCTTGGGTCCAGGGGAAGATTCTCATCTGCATCTGGTTTGCTTCGCTCCTTAGCTAACATGGGACAAAGCAAGCTCCATATTTACCTGACACCTTTAGAACTGTCCTGTTTTTCTTTGTCATGTACACTGGTTCTTATTCCTCCATTAACAAGGGCTGGAGAGGCAGCTTAGTGACAGGAGCAACTGCTGCTCTTCCTGAGGACCTAGCCCATCCCCCACACTGGGCATCTCACAGTCACCTGGCATGCAAGTGTACTTGCACACACACACATAAGAGTAATAAAACTCGAAGGAAGAAAGAAAAAACAGAGCTGGAGAGACTCACTGGTTAAGAGCACTGCCTGCTCTTCTAGAGGGCCTGAGTTCAATTCCCAGCAACCACATGATCACTCACAACGAACCGTAATGAGATCTGATGCCCTCTTCTGGCCTGCAGGCATGTGGAGGCAAACATTGTATACATAATAAATAAATCTTTAAAAAAACAAAAAAGCAACCACCAGGTGTTGCTGAATTAGCTTGTTGATCTGGTCCTCGCCTTGGAACTAAGATCACTTCTAGGTTCTTTGGTGCTGAAAGCTCTTGGGCTGTCTTTATTTTCTACAGTGCAGATACAATGCTGCTGTGGCTGCCAGAGAAGAGAGCAGAGAGGTGATCAGGAAGCAGGAAGTGGACATCCTGGAGCTAAAAGAAACTCTCAGACTGAGGATCCTCTCAGAGGACATTGAGGTAGGCATTGTTAACATGACACTTTCCTCTTCTTTCCCCTCCCTTCCTCCCTCCTTTCCTTTCTCTTTGAGACAGGATCCTCAGTATACCCATGGCTGTCCTGGAACTCACTATGTCAACCAGGCTGACCTTGAACTCAGAGAGATCCACCTGCCTCTGCTCCTCCAGTGCTATACTAGGCGTTTCTATTTTCTTTTGTGCCGAATTACTTGCAGTATGTTTAATTTTTTAATGAATAACGAAGACTTTTTAAAAGGAGTAGTTGATACTTAGGGGCTCACAAGATGACTCCGAGGGTAAAGATACTTCCCACTGAAGGTGACCGTCTGATTTTAATCCCAGAGCCCACATGGTGGAAGGAAGGAAGGAGAGAACTGTTCTATTGTTAAAAATGGTTAAGTCCTATTCCCAAAAGTAAAATAATGTATCAGAATATTAAGCAAGTGGTAGGATGTCAGAGAAATTCCAAGTGATGTAAAGGAAGGCTTACAAAGGAAAATACAGAATTATTGTAGACATAGAAATTTGTGTAATTCCAATTCAAATCCCAAGTTTTAAAAACTGACGAGATTTGGGCATGGTGGCATTTGCCTTTAATCCCACTATTTGGGAAGCCAAAGTAGGTCTATATAATAGGAAGTTCAAGTCACCCAGGGTTCCACAGTGGGACCTGTGTGTTTATTTCAAGACAGGGTTTCTCTGTGTAGCTTTGCCCTGGCACTTACTCTGTAGACCAGGCTAGCCACGATAAATTTACTGTGCCTTGGAACGGATTAGACTAGGCTGTCTAGCCCATGAGCCCCAGGCATCGCCCTGTGCACCTCCCTGGGGCTGGGATTAGAGACATGCCATCCTGCCCAGCCTTTGACATGACTGTTAGGAACCGAATGCCAGTCTTCAGATTGCACGAGTTTCCTTTCTGTTGCTGTGATGAAACACTCTGATTGAAAACAAGTTAGACAGCAAAGTTTCTGTTTGTCGTACACTTACAGATCACAGCCCATCGTTGAGGGAAGTCAGGGTGGAACCTGAAGCAGAAACTGTAGAGGAACGCTGCATGATAGCTCACTCCCGGGCTAACTCACAGGCTCATAGTTAGCTAGCAAACATGCCTAGTGAAGCCTGGTGGTGGTGCACGTCTTTAATCCCAGCACTCGGGAGGCAGAGGCAGGCGGATCTCTGTGAGTTCGAGGCCGGGCTGGACTGACAGCCTCCAAAACAATACAGAGAAACCCTGTCTCGTAAAAACCAAAAGGAAAAAACATGCCTAGTGATGACGCCACCCCCTGAGCTTACGTGAAGACATGCCCACTGGCAGTCTAATGTCGGCAGTTCTTCCATTGAGGCCTTCCTCTTAGATGGCTGTGGTATCAAATTAACAAGATTTAATGGGAAGTTTTATTGACTGAGCTATCTTTCCAGCCCCTTGGGTCTTCTTTTTATCTATTTATTTTTAAAGATTTTTTTCCCCCAGTTATATGTATGTATGAGTGTATGCAGTACTCTTGGAGACCAGAAGAAGGCTTTGGATCTCCTGGAGCTGTATTTGTGGTGGTGATGAGATGCCGGATGTGGGTGGCTGGGGACCAAGCTTCAGTGCTGTTCACGAACAGCACTTTATTAACAGCTGTTCATCTTTCCAGCCCTGAGCTCACCCTTTTAAAAACTGTGTGCAGTGTATCCCTGTGGGACGGGAGGGAGAGCAGATTCTGCTCTGATTTTTGTCACTACCTGTGCTGTATAAGCAGGAATTACATATACAGGGTTAGGGATTCTTTGTCACTTTCCACTACCTGATTCTCTGAGTCTTCAGTGACTGGTGCCATAGTGAACGGTTGCAGTCTCTCTCTGATTGCCTGGGCTGGAGACATTTTTAACAGCTATTCACCTTCTAAGGATGTAAAAACCCAAAATCAGGCTGAGGATATGGCTCTGGGGGTAAAGTGCTTCCTGCATGAGCATGAAGAACTGATGTAAAAGCTGGGCTTGGCAGCCTGGTCTGTAACCATCGAGTATAGCACTAGTGGGCAGAGGGTGCTTGCTGGCCGGCCAGTCTAGCCAGAATGGTTTATTGCAGGTTCAGTAAATCTTGTCACACTCAAAATGAGATAGAGAATAATAAAGATGCCTGACCTGACCTCTGATGTCTGTACACATCACATAGGCATGTCGCTTGCATGTGTGTTGTGTGTGTGTTGTGTGTGTGTGTGTGTGTGTGTGTGTGTGTGTGTGTGTGTGTGTGCGCGCGCATGCAAATATACACATACAAGCTCATAAAACTCAATTAGTGGGACATTAAGTAAGCTCTGCACCTTGAGTGTTCTGCATAAAAAGATCAGCTCTAAAGCCCTGAGTGGGAAGAAACTAACCTCACACAGGGGACTGAATCTACTAAAGTCAAGCCTAGGCCTGTTCATACGTATATCAGCTGCTTGGGTTGTCTTAATGGTTTAGAGCATCAGCCAAAGGGGGGGAAATTTAAAGATTTTTATATACAACTTTCCTAATGTTAAAAAATTGTAGTAATGATTTGTGAAACAAATGACACAGTTACGAAATATTTCCTTTGGGACATTGTTCCCTAACAGAGGGATATGCTGTGTGAAGATCTTGCCCATGCCACTGAGCAGCTGAACATGCTCACAGAGGCCTCCAAAAAGCACTCTGGGCTACTGCAGTCTGCCCAGGAAGAGCTGACCAAGAAGGAGGCGCTGATCCAGGAGCTTCAGCACAAGGTGAGCGTCACCCTGAGCCATGCAGACACCAGCAGGGAGTAGCATGGTGCAAGCTGCCCGGACTGTCCTGCTTTGTCTAAGTTCTCTATGCACAGAAAGTAGGCAAATGGATCGAGGGGAGACTGCCACTCCACCATGGACTGTGGCCTGGGCTTTCCTCGTGTGAGTCTCACTTAGCCACTTGCTGCTGCATTTGGCTTCTAGGTTCATCCATTTTATTACAGATGACAGAATTTGCCTTGTCACGCAGGCTGGCCAGTGTTATTTTGTATCTAAGTGCTACTTGTTTTTTCTGTTCATCTGCTGGAGGATAATTAAGTTTACTGTGTACTTTGGCTATTGTGAACAAGGGTGTGGTTAACATAGGGATGCAGCCCTCTCAAGTGTTATATCACAAGCTGGGGAGACGGTTCAGTAGATAGAGCAGTTGCCAGGCAATCATAAGTCCTGGAGTGTGGATTTACAGAACTCACATAGTAACTAGGTAGGCATGGTGGCCTCCTTGTAATCCTAGCATGCACGAAGCAGAGCCAGGGAACCCCTGAGCACACTGACTAGCTGAGCAGTGAACTGAGAAACTGCCTCAGTAGCAGTTGGCCTCCACAGGTCGTACGCATGTGTGAGCATAGACATACACAATTTCATTTCCTTCACATGTAGTCCCAGAACTGAGATTGCTAGCCACGTGGGAGTTCTATAGTTTATTTTAGGGGTGACCATCCCCCTTTTCTGTGGGTTTGTGGCTGTGTAGTCTCTCTCCACGTCCTCAACTAGGCCACCTCTTTTCATTTTAGCAGGGGTATAACACTGTGATTGTGATGTGCATTTCTCTGATGGTTGGTCTTCTCTGGTTGGACTGTGTTCTGAATTATTTTCTAATCTGTGGCCTGTTATCTGTTCAATTTGCCCAGTTAAACCAAAAGAAGGAGGAAGTAGAGCAGAAGAAGAGTGAGTATAACTTCAAAATGAGGCAGCTAGAGCATGTGATGGACTCCGCTACCGAGTTTCCACAGGTACTTTTCCAAAAAAGTGCATTTCAGAGTAGTCACTTTTTCAAATGAGAAAAATGTACCAATAGTTAATGTTATTCCTTATAAGTTTAAAGAAAATGTTCTTCGTTAACCCCCCTGTGGGCTTCTTTTGTGGTTAAGTCTTTGTTTTACTTGGATAGGAATTAAAATAATGAGCTGATGTCCTCTCTCCGCATGCACTGTAGTCCAGGGGCTTAGCATGTATAGACGACAACCGAAATCTTCATAGCATCATGGAATGAAGCGTTTGAATGAAGTATGATTTCTGTTTCAGAGTCCCAAAACACCACCCCATTTTCAGCCTCACTTGGCAAAACTCTTGGAAACACAAGAACAAGAGATAGAAGATGGACGGGCCTCTAAGACTTTTTTGCAGCACCTTGTCACAAAGCTAAATGAAGATAGAGAAGTAAAAAATGCTGAAATCCTCAGAATGAAGGTATGAGACGACTTTTTTTTTTTTTTTAAGTCAGCAGCTTACTCCTAGCTGCTGACAGTCCAAGTTCAAAAGGCCAGAACTTTTTCGTAGTCTTCCTCCTACCCTTGACCCCTTGCAGTCTCGTTTGTTCTTCCTGGGAGCTCCTGGTTTTCCTTCCCTTCCTTTGTAAAGCTTTCCAGTACATGCTTACGTGAGTTCTTTCCCTGCCTTGTGGGGTCTTACACAATGGTATCATCGTCTCTACCAACCACATTGTCAGTGAACGATGAGTAAGAGGCTCAAATCCTTGCACTTCTGAATCTTTGTCAGCTTAATAGCCACAGCATATTATCTCAACAGGTTTTTATTTATTTAAATTAGAAACAATTGTATTTTATAGTCAGTCCCAGTTCCCTCTTCCTCCCAACCTCCCATACTCCTCACCAACCCCCCATTCCAGCCTCCCATGCTCCCCACTGACCCCCATCCCATCCCTCTTGTGCTCCATAGAAAGGGTGAGAGGCCTTCCATGGGGGAATCATCGGAGTCTGTTATATCGTTTGGAGCAGGGCCTACACCCTCCCCTGTGTGTCTAGGCTGAGAGAGTATCCCTCCCTCCATGGGGAAATGGGCTCCCAATGTCTATTGTACAGTAGGTATAAATACTGATCTACCAGAGGCCCCATAGACTGCCCAATTCTCCTAACTGACACCCATGTTCAGGGCGTCTGGTTCTGTCCTATGCTGGTTTCTGAGCTGTCAATCTGGGGTCCATGAGCTCAGCTTCCCCTGGTTGAACAGTTTTAAGTGTGTGTGTGTGTGTGTGTGTGTTAGGTACATGTGCTTGTGGAGGCCAGAGGTCAGCATCCACCTGTGTTTCCCTATCGGTTTCCACCTCAGAGCAGGCACTTTACTGACTAAGCCATCTTCCCAGCCCCTCGATGGAGTTTTAGATTGAACCTTTGTTCCTTCCTGTTCTCTCTTCCGTCCCCTGGCTTTTGTGAGGGTGTGTGTGGTTTTGCATGTGTTCAGTGCACAAGTGAGGGTATGTACCACAAATGTGTGTGAAGTTGAAGGACAGCCTCAGGTGTGAGCCTTTGCCTCCCTTCTGTTGGCTGCTGTGTGCAGCAGAGGTCAGCAGAACCAGAGACTTTACCACCACCATCACCTCCTCCACTGTAAAGGGCACTCGATTACAGATATGTGCTACTGCATCAGTTTCAGTGGCTTCTGGGGATCCAAGCTCAGGTCCTCACACTTACGTGGGGCAAGTGTTTTTATCCACTAAGTCATCTCCCCAGCTGCCTTTTACCTTATTGAGATAGGACCTCACTATGTAGCTGTATAACCCAGGTTGGCTTTGTGCTCATGGTCCTCCTTTCCGTAGCCTCCTGAGTGTCTGGCTATAAGTGAGGATCTGAATTGAGCATGTGCTGTGGCATGTTTTTAATATGCTTGAAGTATTTAAGATAGTATGTTCATGAGTCACAGTTTTAAGACTCCAAGAGTGTGTCACAAACTGTTTAATCCAGTAACACTCACTGCTGTACTTTAAAAAGGCATACCTGTCTGAGTCACAGCCTTTTCTTTGGGGAGGTGGGGCGTGGCACAGGGTCTCACTTCACAGACCTGGCTGTCCTGGAACTTCTTATGTCCAGCAAACACATAGAGTTCTGCCCGCCTCTGCCTCCCAGTGCTGGAATTAAAGGTGTGCGCCACTGCCCTGTCTGATGTTTCTTCCTTGGTGTATTCTCAGGATCAGTTGTGTGAAATGGAAACTGTGCGCCTGGAGTCTCAGCAATTGAGAGAGAAGAACTGGCTGCTGCAAAGTCAGCTGGATGAGGTTACAAGGCAGAAGGACGGTGGGTGAGTAAGAGCCAGAAGTCCTCCAGCTGGACTTGGTCCGCCTGCATGTCCTTAAATGATTGAGCTAATGTGGGCTCTGCCAGACATAGGACCACCCCTGGCATGGGAAGTACGGTTGGTTCTGAGTTGTCTAGTGGGAATGTGACTTTTTCTAGCACTGGAGGATAAGACATCTACTACCTACCAGCTCTGTGAACTAAGCATTTGGAATATATTCAGAAGATGTGAAACACTTGAACCAAACTACTTCCATTTAAAAGTGTTTTTGGTTTCTTTTGGGAAGGGTTGTTTTTGGTGGGGTTTCTTTGGGGGTAGGGGATGGGGCAGAGAAGGATTTCTAGACAGGGTCTCACTATGTAGCTCTGGCTGTCCCTATGTAGACCAGGCTGGCCATGAACTCACAGAGAGCTGTCTGCCTCTGCTGGGTACTCACAAACTAGTCATGTGCACTACCACTGAGCTATAGCCTGAAACCTAGCATTTTTATTTTTTAAGTAGTGTCTTAAAGTTTCTATTGTGAAGATACACCGTGATCACAGCAACTCTTACTAAGGAAAATTCTTAATTGGGTGGCTTACATCTTCAGAGATTTGGTCCATCATCATGGTGGGACATGGTCACTTGCAGGCAGACATGGTGCTGGAGAAGAGCTGAGAGGACACCAGGAAGTGAAATGAAACAGTGTGGTTTGATCAGATATGAGACCCTAAAGCCCATCTCCACAGTGACACACTTCCTCCAAGACCACACCCACTCCAACAAAACCACACCCTCCAATAGTGCCACTCCCTTTGGGGGCCATTTTCTTTCAAACCATCACAGTCTGCAGGTAAATAAGGAACAGGATGCAGAAAAGGGGAGAGTATGGTTCAGGGAAAACAACCGAGGCAGACAAGGCATCTTGAGCGTCTTCCAATACCACAAACAAAATCAAAGGAAAACAAAAGGTATAAAGCATGGGTGCTAGTGAGTGTATCTTTTAATAACTAGTTAAGTGTACGGTGTAGAAGTTGCCTGTTAACTTTCTACAAGAAAATTAGCAACAGGTGTAGTCATACATGCCTGCCTGTAGCTCTACTCAAGTGGTACCGACAAGAAGGTCAGAAGTTCAAGATCATCTTCTGCTAAGTGTCAAATTCAAGGCTAGCCTGGGCTACATAAGACTGTCTACAGCAACAGCAACAAAAGGTCAATTGGACCAGAAGGAATTCTCTGGGATGGGGCCCCTTACTGAATTTCACTCCCCAGATTGGGTTCATGCGTCTCCAGGAGAATCTTAGAAGCTTGTCAACCATCTAGACATTTTCAGAAACCGTCTTGACTGAAATTCCAATAATAAAAACCCAGAGACTGATATTTGTATTAAAGCTTCAAGCTGAAGATCAGAAAAGCAAAGCAGCCAGCCACTAGCTCTAACCTTTACCTCAGGCTGAAAGGGCTGTTCTGTCTCCACTAATCCTCAGAGGCCAAAGCTCTGAGCTGCTGTCACCTCCTCCTCCTCTGGGGAGGTTTCTTGGGCGAAGTTGCTACAGTTCAGCTCTGCTCCTGGAGAGCAGAGAGCCGGGAGCGGGAACAGAGAGCAGAGTGTAACTACTCTGCTCTGCCGAGGAAGGTTTCCTGGGCAAGTGTTACAGCGCTGCTCGCTCTGCTCTGCTCTGCTCTGCCCAGGGTCACCTCTGCTCTGTCGCCGTCGCAAAAGAAGATCTTCACCCAAAGTTCATCCAAAGGGGTTTATTGGAAGGCAGCTGGACCAACCAAGCTGAACATACACAGGGTTTATATAGGGATTCTTGGGGTTGGGGAAGTTTTTCCAGAGTAGGGATTGGTCCGATTTCAGTGCTGAACTCAGATTGGCTAGAGCTCTGCTCCGGGATTGGTTACTTTTTTACACAGGATTAGGGTCAGATTTGGCTCTGGTTTCAGGGCCAAAGTGTGTTTCTTTCTCTGGTCCTTTTTAGCCTTTTGGCTCCAATTTTAGGCTCCTGGGTACATTTCTTTCACTGACTCTGATTCCAGGGACAAAGTGTGTTCCTTTGGCACTGGTTTCAGGGTTAGGGTACATTTCTTTGGTTGTGGTTGCAGGGCCAAAGTGTGTTTCTTTGGCTCTGCTCAGGCTGTGTTTCTTTGACTGGTCCCTTTTCCCTACACCACACCTGTCAGACTTATTGAAAAGCCACAGAACTTTCCCAAGTCATTATTAAACCACAATTTAAAGTACGTTATTTCACTTCCTTTAAAAAAAAAAAACTCATTTTTATGTGCATTGATGTGAAGGTACCCGATCCCCTGGATTTGGGAGTTACAGTTGTGAGCTGCTATGTGGTGCTGGGAATTGAACCTGGGTCCTCTGGAAGAGCATCCAGTGCTCTTAAACTCTGAGCCATCTCTCCAGCGCCCCCCCCCCCCGGTCTTTTTCCCTTTTGGGGTTTTTTGGGGCGGGGTTATATGTATCAAACTCTAAAATACCTACTGTCTGGATCTTTTGTGTATGTACGTATGTCAGTGTTTATCTGTAACAACTGTGTACCTGGTGCCTGGGGAGGTCTAAAAAAGGGTGTTGGGTTCCCTGAACCTGGCGTTACAAGTTGTTGTGAATTGCCATGTAGCTGTTGAGACACAAACCTCTGAAGCACAGTAAGTGCTTTGAACTGCTGAGCCGTCTCTCCAGCCCTATTGTCTGGATCTTGACATAAAAATGGTTTCCTGACCTTGGTTCAACGCATAAACAACACATTCTTCCCCGACCTTGGGGGACCTTGACATTTGAGTCTCATGACCAGTTTTGACTATGATACAGATGTGAAGGGAAAACAGAAGCCTTCCTACACTGAGCGTTACTTAATGGTCTCTTGCACACAGAGCTTCCTAGCGAAGCCTACAGCACTCAGGCAGGCTCTCCAGTAAGGTCTTGCTGGCCCACTGAATGACATTTGCTTTCCCAACCCAGGCAAACTTGCAGAGATGCACGAGCCATCCAGACTGTAGTCTCTTGATTTGTGATGGAGCATTTGTTTTCTGTGAAGAGATCCATATTATATGTTCAGGTAGTCCCTGCTGTTTGCATACATGTGAAGCTAGAGTGGTTATAGTACCTGTTAGCTAATTAAACACCCAAGAAAGGGAGGAGTCAGGATCCAAGAGGGCAGACTGCCAGGGGGATCCAGGAAACCCTACCCTTGAAGAACCCTCTGCCCCCTTTTATTCGCAGTTGATATTCATGTTGCCACTTTTAGCTAAATTTCTGCACCAACTTTTCCTCCAAGACTTGGTTAGGTTTCTACACCCTGAGTGGTAAGACTCAGTCCTGAGTACTGGTGAAGGCCCTGCTTATCCTATCTGTGGATCACACTGCTTAACTTATCCCATCACTGATTAACTGTACTAACTTAATCAGCATAGATAGTTTTACCAACGCTACAAATAATAAATTAATCCTTGAATATACTTGACAGTGTTTCCCTCATCTATGCAGCAATCAGAGTCATCCAGACAGTCAAGAACTGAAGAATGAACATGAAGAGGAGGTTGTCAAAGAAAGACTTGCTAAAGTATGGCTTTTTTACAAAGGTTTCTCATGTGAGAATTGCTTTTATACTTAACATTTGTGGTGATTCATTTTAGAAACCATTTTGCTATTGCAATTACTGTCTTTACTGTATTCCCACTGATTATTATGTTTGCTATCAGCATTAATATAGTAATATGTATGTCAGTCAGGCCTGGTGCTGCACACCTGCTTCCGGGACTTGGGAGATGGGCGCAGAACGGTTGCCATAGGTCTGAGGCCCTGGCCATAGACAGGAACAATGAAAGGAAGCCTGTGTCTGCCCTTGTGCCTCTGCAGGCGGCGCTGCATTCCCAGTGCAGCTGTGTGCTTAGAGCCAAGTGCAGGGTCTTCTGTGCGCAGTGCACGAGGGCTGGTGAACCAGTACCTTCTGTTTATACGTATGGGATTGTGGGTTTGATTTTATTAGCACAAAAGAAAATGGACTTGTTCTCTCTTCTTTTTAGTAAAGGTATTGAAGAACCTAACCATCTTTTTTTTAATTATAGAATAAACTTATTGAAGAAATGCTGAAAATGAAAACAGAGTAAGTGTGCTATTTTATAGTTCAAATCCTTATTTTAATTCCTATGCTTTATTGTGGGGAATGCATGTACACCATGCCAGGTGTGTGGAGGTCTGAGGACAACTGTAGCTGGCCCTCTCCTTCCATGTTGGGTCGTACGCACCCCAGATCATCAGGCTTCTGCCGCAAATGTTTTACCCGATGAGCCATCTTGCCAGGGCTAGTTCTTTTGTCGTTGTTTTTAATTTCACATGTATGGGTGTTTTGCTTTGCCTGTATTTATGTGTGCATGATATTTGTGCCTAGTACCTGCAGAGGCCAGAAGAGGGCATCAGGTCCCCTGAAACATGAGTTACAAGGGTATGAACTGTCTTGTGGGTGAGATTCTCCTCTGAAGGGGAAAATACATCCATAAGATGACTCCTTCCCTTCTGTGGTATGTGTTAATATAACTGTTGTTTATCAAAGTCTTTTTAAGATTTAAAAATGTTTTATATGCATGTGTGTATGTATGGGTATGCACACAAGCATGCAGACACCTGCAGGTCCTCTGCAGCTGGTTATAGGCAGTTACGACCTGCCTTCATGCATGCTTGGAACTGGACTCCAGTTCTTTGAGAGAACAAGTGCTCTTCACTGCTGAGCCACCTCTCTATGCCCCAAAATTAGTTTTCTTGATGCCATTTGCTCAATAGGATGTTCATGTAAAGCCACTTTTAACAAAAAATGGCACATGGTGGTCATTCGTTTTCTTGAGTTGCTGTGTGGTTTTCTTCTCAGGGGCAGTGAGAACAGTTTAACAGGCTTCCATCCAGTAGTGGTCAAGCTGACATACAGGAAGGTGAACACTCCACATGAGTGTGTAGAACTGCAGCCAGTTTAGATAGATCCTTTGGGATCTTGTCACTGTATGGCATGTACTGTGGTGACAAATCCTCAGTGATAAATGTAGTCCTGGAAGCATGCAGAGCTCACAATGCACTGTGGGCACACACACACATTTTCTTAAGTGCTGCAGGAAACTAGCTATCAAACTGCAGTAACATAGGCAAGAATTACTTAATTTCATGTGGTTGGGACTTGGTAATACCATCAGGAACTGAGACTTTCCCCATTATTCTGCTTTTGGTACTATCAGCTACAATATGCCTACTGTAGTTCCAACATCCTGCCTTCATAGGGTGGTGGCAGCAACTGTTGCTTTTTTTTCCCCAAGGTCTCATCTTGTAACCCTGGGTAGACTAGACATCCTCGGGGCTTAGAAAAACAGTGTCCAGTAAAGAGAAGATGGAACTCACCATGCTTAGCTTAGGCCAGGCAACATTCTCTGCTGGGAAGTGAAGGAACTAATGTTCTTTTCCCCTCATAAAACTGAGTTTCATAAGCAAGAAGCCAAGTGTCTTCATTTCCTTCTCATTGCTTTGATACAATGCTGACAAAAGAAAGAAAGGGGGTTTTATTTTGATTTACAGTTCCAGAGGGAAACAGACCATCATGGTGGGGAGTAGCAAAGTGTTAAGAGTGGTCATTCTGCATTTGCAGTCAGGAAACAGAGAAAACAGGAAGCATGTTTGGGCAGTAAAACTTGATAGGACACACCTTTAACCCAGCAATCTGAAGGCAGAAGCAGGTGGGTCTCGAGTTCAAGGCTACCCTGGGCTACTTAGAGAGGCCTGTCTCAAACAAAGCAGAGACCCTTAAGGCACAGGCCCTAGAGGGATGTATTTCCTCCAGGAAGTCTCCACTACCTTCCAAACTAGTGCCAGTCAGCTTGGAGCCAAGTGTTAACATACATGAGCCCTAGGGAGCTTTTCACATTCAAGCCTCAGCACCGGACTAAGGCAGCCAGGTCAGCATCTGAGCTTTTTATCCAACCAAAGCAGAGGCAGAGGAGCACTTGCCCGCATTGTCTTCCTTGGGTATTGCTGAGCATGCTCTGGAAACATGCTTAGATTGAGCTGGCCTATGGGGAGGCTCGGATCTGTCTATCATCTTGTTCCAATAGTCAGTATTACATTCCAAGTGCATCGTAGCAACAGTGTTTCCAACACAAAGTTTCCCGTAGAAAGGGGGTGAAATCCTATACTTTTTAATTGAGTTATGTAAAATGGGTAAAGTACACACCCCTGAGGAAAGAACTAATGTTTCATTGTCTGAGGTTAGGTTTTTAAATCAGAAATCATCGTTCTGAGATTGGAGACATTTCAAGCCTACAGACTGTAATGAGACCTTTTTTCTACGTCTACTTGGCAAACAGAGTTGCACACTAAGTTTGAAGCCAGTCATTGTAGAATATGCTTATAATCCCAGCGCTTGGGTAGGGGAGGTAGGCCATCCTCAGCTACATGGTGACTTTTGAATCCAGCCTGGGCTACACAAGAGCAGGATTAAATTATTGACCTAACAAAGCAATCACATATTCAGTCCACCCCTTTACCATGCTGAGGACAGTGGAGCCCAGAGCCTGACCATTGTCAGGGAAGAGTTCTACCACCTAGGTCCACCCCAGACCTAACCTGTTGTCATTTTAACCCCAAGACAGGGTTTCTCTGTGTAGCCTTGGCTGTCCTGGAGCTTGCTCTGTAGACCTGGCTGGCCTTGTACTCAGAGTTCCACTGACTTTGAAGTGATCAGATTAAAGGCATGTGCCGCCGCCGCCGCCACCACCCAGAAAGCCTATCTTCTTTTGCCAGATATTCAGGAGATTTGAAGATTAGTGATACTTTGACATCAAAATTTTGAACTTAGAAGGAAAAACCTAGTTTGACTCCTGTTTTATAATTACATTTTCTTGAAATATACCATAAAGTAATGCTATTCTTCCAGTCTAGAGGAAGTCCAAAGTGCCCTTCAGAATAAGGAGAAGGCCTGCCACAGAATGAGCGAGGAAGTTGAGCGAATCAGAACTCTGGAGTCTAAAGCTTTTCAAGAAAAAGAGCAGCTGCGGTCAAAATTGGAAGAAATGTATGAAGAAAAAGAGAGAACTTTCCAGGTGTGTTGGGTCTTACATGCTTGGTAGAATACTTCAAGAAATAGTATTCACAAAAACCATACCCTTGGTTCAGTTTTCTCCAGTGTGCAAAATGCCCACAGAAGATTGATTGATCACCTCAGTTGGTGCTTTTGAAAGGGGATAAATAATGTGATCTTCCCACCTTGGATTGACAGGAAATGGAAATGTTGAGAAAGCAACTAGAATATCTTGCTGAGGAAAATGGAAAATTGGTAGGTCATCAAAACCTACATCAGAAGATTCAATATGTAGTGCGACTCAAGAAGGAAAATGTCAGGCTTGCTGAGGTAAACTGAAAACTATTCTAAATAAGTTTATGGCAGTTTTAAAGTGATTTATTAAGCTAAATAACTTGTCGTTGCTATTTTGCTTTTTTGAGACAGGGTCACACTCTGTAATCTCAGTTTTAATTTGAATATATACTTAATTATATCAAAATAATTTCTATAATAATTAGAAACTTAATTTTCTTTTTTTTTTCTTTTAAATTACAGGAGACAGAAAAGTTGCGTGCTGAAAATGTATTTTTGAAAGAAAAGAAAAGGAATGAATTCTAAAGATCCCAGCCAGCTCCCTGTGCATCACTTTGTTTAGACTGGCTCTTTAAAAACCGCTGTACTTGCCCAAGTAACAGACCTAAACTAAAAGACTTAGTTATGACTCGTGTTGCACAGTAATCCTCAGTATTCTGATGAATATTCTGCACACAAACACAGCAGACTGTTAAGTGGGCAACAATGCATTTCCAGGTTTCAAGTCACTTGTAAATTCTGGAAGACCCTTTAAAATAAAAGCCTACAGCTGAGGTTTCTGGTGAATTCATTTCTCCTTAGATTCACCTTTGATAAACTTGGTATGAATCTGATGGCGGGCTGATTTTGTAGCAAACTTGTTTATATTGATTTGTTTGTTTATAACTTGTCATGAGCATTTTTCTACATGTCTAATTTTTCAAATAAAAAATTTTAAGCCAATTTTAAAATGTGCGTAACTTTTGCCTACATGTATGTACATGTACCACATGTGTATCTGGAATCCTTGGAGGTCAGAAGGGGGTGTCAGATTTCCTAGAAGTAGTTACTAATGGTTATGAGCTACCTGTGGGTTCTGGAAACCAAACCCAGGCCCTCTGCAAGAACAAGTACTCTAAACCTCTAGTTTTGAGTTTTTTGATGAGCATCATAGGGTATCATGTAATCCAGGTTTACATTGAACGCACTATATAGGCAAAGATGTCCTTGAATTCCTGTTCCTTCTGCCTCTACCTCCAAAGTCCTAGGATTTTAGGTATACGCCATTACACCCAGATTATTAGTTAGGTTTTGACATTGGATACACAAATAATAAACTAAGTCAACCCTCTAGCTTTACTTGGTCTTAGTTTGTTTTAAAAAATCACTAATTTTGGAGGCCACAAAGCTAGACAATACACCATTTCCCACTATTTCTCTACATGATACATGTGTGAACAGTTGTCTACAGTACTCTGCCAAAACACTAAGATCATTTTTGCTAAAAGCACAGTGTTATTCTTCTAATCTCTGGGATGAAAACCCTGACAGAAGCAACTTAGATTTGTTTTAGCTTTGCTTGTTGTTGCCACAATGTAAGTTCTCTCTACCATCAAGTGGAATAGTACATTGAGACCTCAACTTCCTCATCTGCAAAATAGAATGGTTTACATCACATACAACTAATTGGGATAATCTATGCTTATAAAGTTTTTTTTTTGGGAGGGCGGGCTTTTGAGACAGGGTTTCTCTGTGGCTTTGGAGCCTGTCCTGGAACTGGCTCTTATAGACCAGGCTGGTCTTTGAACTCATGTAGATCTGCCTGCCCCTGCCTCCCGAGTGCTGGGATTAAAGGTGGGCACCACCACCACCACCACCGGCTTCGTTTAAAATTTATTTTTATATGTGTATCCCTGTTCAGGTATGTGCACAAGAGTGCAGGTGCCTATGGGGACCAGGAAAAAAGCCCTGGATCTCCTGGAGATAGGAAGTGGGGTGCTCCGAGGTTGTAAGCTGCCTACCCAGGTATCGGTCTTAACTGCTAAGCCTCCAGCCCCCCAATAATCCATCCTTGTATTTCAGCCACAAAACCACCTGCATGAGAAGTAATGTGGCATGTTAAGAATCTCCATGAAAAGTCCTTAACAGGAAATAGTATGCTGAATGAGGAGTGTACTGTGAAGTTGTTTTTATTTTTATCAAACTCTCATACATATATATTATTTGTATTTTATATAACCTACAAAACAAAGGGGTCTTGCTATGTAGCCCTGGCTGGCCAAGAACTGTGTAGATCAGGCTGCTCTCGAACTCACAGAGATCCACTTGCCTCTGCCTCCTGAGGTGCGCCCCACACCCCGCTCACTATACACTTCTAAAGCACTTTTTTTAAGGAAATGTACCCCCAACATACACACACTACCATGGATTGAACTCTGGACTTTCCATGTGTTAGGGAAGCACTAAGCTAGGTCCTTGACCCTACTACTTTAAAGAAAAAAAAAAGACTTTTTGAGATGGTCTCAAAAAGTGCTTGGTTAGCCTAGTCAGTACTTGCTATGTTGGCCAGGCTGGCCTCGAACTCACAGTAATCCTGCCTCAGGCTCAGGAGTGCTAGGATTTACAGGTGTGTGCCACCAACCATACCGGCTGCCCATCCCTCTTATGTGACACGGGGTCTCCATAAATTGCCTAGGATTTCATTAACTTGTAATATTACTGATGGTTTAGTTTTTTAGTTTAGTTTTTTTGGGGGGGGGCAACATCACACGGATTTAGACGTGATTGTGGTTCTGGTGGTCCCAGCAGAGTGACTGACACGGGGCGTTTTCCTTAGCACTTTTCCCCCCAAGCAGTGTTGTGTCTCGAGCATCCGGCCCCGGCGTCCGCGAGGGATGGGGAAGCAGTTGGAGCATCTTCAAGGTGCAATCGCGGTCTGCAAAGCCAGGCGTCCGCCCTGTCGGCACCCGTCCCCGCCAAGTGGCAGGAGTGGAACTGCAGATCACCCGCGTCCTCCGCAGCAGGTTCCCCAGGGTCGCCGGGATCTTAAGCCATTCTCCCAGCCCTGTTCACTTCCGCACTGTGACAGATTCCCGTCGGCAGCAGATTCGCCTCACACAGCGGGCACCTCCGGGCAGCGGGTCCCCCTCGGCGCAGCGTCCCCTGCAGTGTTGCAAGGGTCCTCTCCAGCAGATCCCCGCCGGCCCCAGGTCCCCTTGAGCCGTCCTCAGTCACGGGTCTGCCTCCGCCGCGGGTTCTCGGCCCCGGATCCCCCTCAGCAGCAGATTCGCCTCCCGCTCCGCATGCTCCGCCTCCCGACTCCGCCCTCCTGGGCTCTCGGAGGGTGTCGGGGCGTGCGCCGCGGTCGGCGCTGGCGGGCGAGCCGGTCTCATGGCGGCCGGGCCGCCGTCCCCGGGGTCCTCCGTGTCGGCGGCCGCTTACCCCGACTCACCCGTGGAGCTCCCGGCTCGTCTGCAGGCCGGCGCCATGCGGCGGCGCTTCTGGGGCGTGCTCAACTGTCTGTACGCCGGCGCCTTCGGGGCCCTGGCCGCCGCCGCCGCCAAGCTGGCCTTCGGCAGCCAGGTGTGGCCCGGGGCGGCGCGGTCCGGTCGGCTGGGGAGGATGGCGCCTAAGCGGGGCCCGGACCTCCTGGGGGAGCTCGTTCACACCCACCCCGTCCTTGTGCCCCCGCCTTATCCTGCACCTGACTCCTAAGGGGAGGCGACCGGCTGCCCACCCCTGCCCCGAGGGAGCTGGGCTGAAGGCCCCCTCGTCTGTGCCCTCTTGAGTCTTCTTAAGACAGGCTCGAGTCGAGTGCAGCTCTGGCCTGAACCGGGGCACTGCTTGATCCTTTAGATTTCAGGCGACTTAGAATTGCAGTTGCCAAGCTTGAAGCCCATTCATAATATCCCTTTGGGTGTTCATCTGGGCCGAAGTGGTCCAGAGTGAGATGAATGAATGACTCTAGACCATGGGAGGGTGTTTTTAAGTCTTTCCCCATAGCAATCAGGCTTTCATTATCCATTGTGCAAGCAGGCTGCCCTGGGCCTTTAACGATGCCCTGCTGTAAGGCTTCCCTTTCCAAAAGACTTCTTACTCAGCTACAAGAAATTTGAGGCCACCAAGGTCTGCATATCCTTTGTAGGAGACTCCTAAAGATCCCCGGCTTTTCAAGGCTCTGCCCATGGTGGCTGTGGCTACAGAAACACTTTCTCCTGCAGGTGAACATTGGCTTGCGGGCCTTAGGCCTTATCGCCATGGCAAGCACCAATTCTCTGATGTGGACCATGTTTAGCCGGGGCCTCAGCTTCTCCATGTCTTCGGCCGCTGCATCTGTCACAGTGACTTTTTCGAACATACTCAGTTCGGTGAGTAGCCTGGTGACCTTGTTCATACCCAGGGTTCTGGGTGAGTCGTCCTGGGGTAGCGGGGAGCCCCTGCTTTTTCAGGTTCAGGAAAGGGTAGGACATTAAACAGAGGTTGGACCGGCGCCAGTCAAGGAGCAGTGAAACATGGAAAGCTTAGGAATGAAATCTTGAGTGCCATTCTGGGCTAACACCGGCCATGTGAAGCCCCTTGGCACGTCTCTCATAAGTCTGGGGTACTCTAGCATGAGCTACGGGGAGAGAGGGGACCGGGTACAGGTTCTTTTCGTTAAGTCCAAGGCCAACAAGGTGGAGTAAACCCAGCCAGCCAGTCCTGAAGCGGAAGGAAGATGGCCCAGCTTGGTTTGATGATAACTGGCCCCACCCGCTGGCCTTTGCTGGGCCTCATTGCTCAGCTGGGGTAGCCCCTGACTTCCACAGAGGAGACGGAAGTACGTGGATTGATTTGATGAAGGCGGTAGCTGGTCGGGAAGCCGCAGACTTTGGCCGGAAGAAGTAGCCACTAAGGAATGGTAGAGCCTACCAGAGTAGGCCAGTTCCCTCACAGCCGTCTCTCCCACAGGCCGTCTTAGGCTACTTGCTGTATGGAGAGTGCCAGGAGGTCTTGTGGTGGGGAGGGGTGTTCCTCATCCTCTGTGGGCTCACCCTGATCCACAGGAAGCTCCCGCCCACCTTGAAGGCAAGCAAGCAGCAGTGACAGCAGTTGGTTGGGTAGTCACACCATAAAGATGACCTTGATGCCCAGCCGTGGGCTGACAAGTAGGACTGTTTCCAGGGTGGCCTGGGAGTGCGGCCTTTGACTATCAGCCACAGGGAGATGCCAGACCAACCACAGGCCCCTGACCACCTCACCGCCTGGAGGGTTGGAGCATTGGCCCCTGTAAGAGGCAGATAACCGCCACAGCACAGGCCCTTCCGCGCTGGCACAGTGCTTTGATTCTCGTGCTCCGGGGCTGCCTCAGTGAATCCTGGAAGACTGTGATCTTGGCCAGCAACATGTCAAGTACCTGAGAAGCGTTGTGGTTATGGTTCTCCTGCCTGGCCATGGCCCTTCATATACCCCAGAGTCGGTGGCTGATGGGGTGGGGGGGTTTCCTGAAGAGACAAACAAGCAACATGTGTACTGTGTCAGGTAGTCTGTCACGTCTATGAATTCACAGCTTGGGCTAATAAATGCTTATTTGTAAGTTAAAGCTGCTGGGTGTGGAATCCTAATTCTTTCCAGCCTTGCGGGCAAAGTAGCTGAGTTCTCAGGATGGGGTAGTGGCGTGGAGACTGTGTGCCCCTGCCTCCATCATCAGCCCTGCCCCCCCTTGTGAGTCTTCTAAACCAGGACCCAACAAGTGGAGATTTTCTCCCACACTCACCTGTACGGGTGACACCGTCCCACTGCTTCCGCCAGCTGGGGCCTCACCTCTCTTCAACACTCACAGGAGCTGCTGTCTTGGTGGCTTTTCTGTTCTACGTCCTGGCGTCCCCAGTGGCCAGGCATCTAGCAGGGAAAGGCTTGCAAGTTTGCAAGTTCCTGCTGTGCTGTGTCTTCGTGTTTGCTCTCTGCTCAACCTTAGACTCCCTCACTTGCCCCATTCCTGGCAGCAACCTCTGCTCCTAGTCCCAAATCCTTTAAACACTCTTGGGAACCAAGGCAACGCCGTTGTGTGCTTAGCCCACTTTGACTTATTAAAACCTCCTGACCACTCCATTTGGAAGATGCTCTGGTGTTCTCATCTTAGGTGAGGAAACCAAGCCTCAGGAGCAGATGGAGTAACTTGTCCAACATCACACAGCGAATGAGTCCTTGAAAGAGTGTCAGTCCAGTCTGTTTTTCTCCAGCTTCTTTTTTTTTGTTTGTTTGTTTTTTGTTTTACGAGACAGGGTTTCTCTGTATTGTTTTGGAGGCTGTCGGACCAGCCCGGCCTCGAACTCACAGAGATCCGCCTGCCTCTTCTGCCTCCCGAGTGCTGGGATCAAAGGCGTGCGCCACCACCGCCCGGCCCAAGCCAGCTTCTTAATCTTCAGCCCAGTCTTGCCTCCTACATCAGCAAACCAAGCCCAGAGAGACCCAGTGAAAAGAACTATTGAGTCTCAGAAGCTCGTCACTCCCCACTTCCCCATGTGATGGATTGTTCTGATCCAGTCGCTCTACCAGTGACAAAGAAGAAAGCCATTCAAGGCCCCATGAAGTGTGTTCTCATGTGGGCCAGGCACCAGTCAAGACCAAGCAAGTGGGCTGGAGAAATGACTCAACACTTAAGAGCACTAGCTGATTTTGCAGAGGTCCTGGGTTCAGTTTCTACACCTACACGATGGTCTACACCTATCTGTAACTCTTCGTGCTATCACATCTGATGCCCTCTTCTGACCTCTGCTAATACCAGGCACACACATGCACAGACAAAAGAGTTGTGCATAGGGGGCTGGGGAGATGGCTCAGAGAGTTAGGAGCACTGGCTGTTCTTCCAGAGGTCCTGAGTTCAATTCCCAGCAACCACATGGTGGCTCACAGCCATCTATGATGAGACCTGATTCCCCCTTCTGGCCTGCCTGCAGACAGAACACTGGATACACAATAAACAAATAAATCTTTAAAGACCAAAGCAAACGAAAAACAGTTGTGCATATAAAATAGGTCTTTAAAAAAGAAAAGACTAAGCATTGAAGGTCACTGAGAATCACTGGTACGGTCTCTCTGGGAAAGCCATCACATAGTTCCAAAGTCCATCTTGGCCCAGGCATTGTCCAGAAGGGACTCTGCCTCCCATCTAGACACCTGCTGAATGCATACAGATGCTTGATACCGGCTAGTCCACAGATTGGGAAAACCACAGGATCAAGATCTTTGTCTACAGGGAGGGTGAATTGTTCTCTGGAATCACCAGAGAAGACAGGCAGTGTTCACGTCTTTGTAGCAGAGGGTGGTTCTTCTGCAGAAAGAATAAACCACAAGACAATATTTGCCTTTCTGATGTGCATCCTGGATTGTGGCTTGAGTTTTGTTTGCTTCAGAACATTTGACATCGGGTTCTACAGCCTGTGGCCTTGACGGGGCAGTTACTACCACTTTCTGTTCTTGTTTTTTACTTATATTTAAAGGGTGCAGCCCAGCAGGGTTTTTTTTTATTAGTATAGCCACAAGATTTTCAGCCATCATTAATTCCAGAACATCTTTCACTACTCAAAGCCTTATCCATCAGCAGTACCCTCTGTCCCACGCCTCCACTCCAGTCCCTGCTAATTACAAATGTTTCTGTTTCTATGGATTTGCCTACTCTAAATATTTTATACAGTGGAGTTTTTTCATCTAACTTTTTTTAACTTAAAATGCTGCTTCTAAAGCTCATTATTAATGTAGCACATTTTAATACCATTCCTTTCTGTGGCTCAATCCCACGCTACCTTGCAAGTAGACCATTTGATCTTGTGTTGAACAAAGTTGTTTCCACCTTGGGCCTTATTATAATACTGGTACAAATATTAATATTCAAGATGTTTTGTGGAAATGTGACTTCAACTCTATTGAGAATACACCTAGAAATGGAATTGCTGGGACACATAAGCCTCAGACCCACAGCAGGGGAGACCCCGAGGAAAGCGCAGTTCACCGTTGCATGGCTGTGACCCCCAACAGGGCTGATGGTGGAGAAATGTCTGAGCAAACATGGGGACTACGCTGGGCCTGTGAGCAGGGCTAACTCTGAGATCAGCATGTCCCGGGCAGCCCTCCACAATCGACTTGTTGACCACTGGTCTGATGAGTAGAGATGTTGTGGTTTATTGGAATCTTTTACTTTCTCTTGTAATGTTGTTTACATACATATGAGTCAGAATAGAGATAAGCAGAGGTTCAGATACAAGAAGCAAAGATACTGTTCATAGAGATCTCTGGGTGCTGTTTACCAACTCCTCCCTGTCTCCACAGACGGGGAGGTCAGAAGTACAGGAGGATATCTTTATGTTCCAGAACCAGTGTGTGGCGCCAGGGGCTCCTGTGGCACTGGGATAGCTGCCAGGCCCATGGCTGCTCCTCTCTCAGAACTGGGAGGTGAGTGTAGAGGTTGGGTAGGAGAGCAGCTGTGAATCCCCAGAAACACCCCTTCTCAGGCCTTCCATCTGGGAAGAGAGAACCTTGTGTCCCCAACTCTTGGAGAAGAACCTGGGTCACAAGCTCTCACTCAGGTGTCCCCAGGTTCCTTCCCCTGTGTCCATCCCGTGGGCCATTGAGCTCTGTCCCCCAGGCCCTGGCCAGGCACACAGTTGCCGCGGCCCTCCGAGGCGTAGCCTCTTATCTTAGCTAATTCAGCCTCTTCACATACTCAGTCCTGAGCAAACTCTCTGAACATGAGCCCAGCAGTGGGGTAGAGGCAAAATTGGACAAATTCCAATCCTGGCTGGTGGTTTCATGTCTAAGTGTGTTTTCCATCTCCTGCTTCTCACCTGCAAGTTAGTTTCCAGACCTTTCCTGCCAGTACCCCACCACCTCCTCCAAGACCCTGCCATCTCAGGGTTAAGAAGTTCAGTGGCACCCAGGGGGATGCATCCAAAGCCTCTGTCCCCCGGTGTGACCCAAGCCTAGTCACTTCTATGTGCAGAACAAGGGTGTGGGGTGGACTGATATCCCAAGCTCTACCACCAGGCCCCAGTACAGCCAGAAGAGCAGTTCTGGAAGGTGACAGCCCCTGGGACATATCCAGCTTCTGTTCACTGTGGAACAGACTGGGAAGATGAGGATAGGTGGCCCTGAGCACCTGCTAATAGTGAAATGCCACGAAGTAAAGGAAACAGCCAGGTCAGTGGAGGCAGAGGGAGGGAAGCTGGCTGGGTTCCTTAGATAACACCACACAGGGCTCTACCCTGTAATGATAAGGTAGCATCCTTTATGGAGAGTGTCTTCTGTTCTAGGCACCAAGAGCCTGTTGGATAACATGACCTTGAAGTTTCCTCATAGCCTGGAGCATGGAAATCCATCATCTCCTTGTTTCCAGAAGCTGAAGACAAAAGCACAAAGAGGTTAGTTAAGTAAGTAGCTTGCTTAGGGTACACAGTCTGTTTTCTGTGGAGATGTCTGCTCTTGCCCTGGTACCCTGTAGAAGTCCCTCTTTTGTGAAAGGAACTGCATAGGCCAAGAGGCTTCTCGAGGCACTTCTTGGCTAACACACAACTCTGAGATCCCTGAGCCAGGACTGTCCAGAGGCCTCTCTCCTTTCTGTTTCAAATGATGAACAGTGTAGTTGTACACAATTCTGGTCCTAAACACTGATGTTACAAGAGGAAATAAAAAATAAGTCTCTTGCTGGTTTGCTTGACCCGAAAGCAGGGTATAGAGCTCTGAAGATCGAGCCTGCCCAGCCTGTTCCTTTATCAGTTTGAGAGCAATTTGAAACAAGTCTCAGCTGTTAAGCTCTCTGGTACCCAGGGAGCCGGGGCCCAGTGAGGACAATTGCTGAACACCAGTCCCTCAGACAACTCTCCCAGGGACACAGCAGCACTTGCTAATGTTGGGGCTCAGGAGGGCCTATTCCTGCTCTGCTGTGTCAAACCAGCTCTTTCATTAGAATTAAAATCTCTGAAAAAGTTACAGGCATGGGTTGGGGAAACAGTTGAGGGATAAAGTGTCTAACAAACATGAGGAGCTGAGTTCAAATCTCTGGAAACATTTAAGATGGGCATGGTATCCCCAGTGCTGGAGAGAATGGGGGGCAGGAAGACCCCTGCAATTTGCTGGTTAGCCAGCCTCAGTGAAACAGTGAGCCCCAGGTCAGTGAGGAACCTTGTGTCCAAACATTGACGTGGTTAGGCAGGACAGCTGCTCAGCAGATAATAGCTTGCTGTTCTTGCAGAGGACCTGAGTTTGGTTCCAACCACCCACACTTGGAGGCTCACAACCTCCTATAACTACAACTCCAGGGACTCCAACAGCCTTTTCTGGCCTCAGTGGTCACCTGCACATACATGTGCATTCACATACAAACACAAAACGTTTTTAAGGTGGATAATTTTAGAATGAAACACTGGATGTTAACCTCTGGCCTCCAGACATATATGCAGAAGCTAGTGTAACCAGCACATAGCATGTACAGGTGAGTGAAAACCTACATACACATACATACATGCACACAAAAATACACACCCAATCAAACAAAAGAGCGTATAGGTACCCTTGAGGCAAGCAGAGAATGGATGTCCATGAGACACATCTGGGCATGTTTGGACCAGTGTTTCCACAGGGCCCGCGGTTCAGGCCCGCGGTTCTTCCTATAAACACACTGTAGGATGGATGGCCTATGTGAAAGCCTTCCCCTGCAGCCCTGAAAGGAAGGCCCTGTGGGAGGAATGTCTGACTTAGCCACATGGGGACAGCATTGTGTCTGGCACCCCCAGGCCTCACTATGGATTCAGAACATGTCTGCATGTTTGTTTCGAGGAATGCATGCACATACTGTCTCCTCAGTAAACACAGCACATCTGCCAAGATCTAAAAGAGAGTGATAATTGGTAGCTGGGTACACTGGAAAAATCCCGAATCATGTGTGTACATTATATGTTCAAAGTATAAACAAAAATAGAAATATTAGGCATCTTTATTTAAAAAAATAAAGCTGTGAAGTAAGTAAAGATGTTCCCAGTTTCCCTGAGGGTCACAGGATCCTGGCTCTTGGTGACTTGTTCCTGGGGTCACAGAAGACACATGGCGCCATTCTCTGTGCTCCTTCCTTTAAAGTCGGCTCATCTCGGCTCCTGATTTCTCCTCAGGGCTGATATGGAAGGATGATTAAAGTTTTATTGTCCTCAAGCCTTGCCCCTTGGCAGCCTCTGCAAGGTCACATCTACCCCAGGACCACATAAAAAGGGGCTACATCCTGCTCTGGGGATGACTCTGGCAGTGCCGTTGGCATCAGACTGCAGTCTTGACAGGGCTACAGAGAGAGGCAGCAGGACCATGGACACCAGTAATGGTGAGTGGGTAAAATCTATACAATGGCATCTTGGCCTTCTGTGCACCTGCTACTGTCCAGCCTCTGTCCTTCTACCTAATCCACGGCTTGCTGTCTTATTCATTGGCGAAAGCCAGAGTTTCAGATACACAGTGGTTTCAGATTCCTCCAACAATTGACAGAGTAAGGATGCCTGTCCTCTTTTCACTCCCTCCCTCACGCTGGCCTCAGGTAGCGCCCTCTGTGAGCTGGAATCCAGCGTTATGCAGCTGCTTTCTGGATGTAGAGCCATGGGTCAGGCAAGGAATGACTACTTTGGAGCTCTGAAAAGGGCATTGAATGGAAAACATGACTCTTCATAGCCCCTAGGCCACCTTGATTCTCCAGATGGTTGGACACTTGTCCACACTCGGAGGAGGAGCACAGCGGGACCCGGGGCTTGCCAGAGAGAGTGTATGCTGGGAGGGATCTGCTGTTCAGAAAGATGGCTAATGTTGGAGTGTGTCACACGCTGGTTAGCAGTGTGGCTTTGGGTTTCCTCAGTCATAATAAAAGACACGTCCGCGGAAGTGCCTTGCCAATGACTGGGGACAGCTGTGCCGACTTGTGTATGTCAGTTTGACACGGGCTAGAGTCATTTGGGAGGAGGGAACTCCACCTAAGAAAATATTCCCATCAAGTCAAGCTGTAGGCAGGGCTGTAAGGCATTTTCTTAATTAATGATTGGTGGTCCATTGTGGATGACGCCTCCTCTGGTCAGGTGGTCTTGGGATCTATAAGAGGCAGGTTGAACAAGCCACGAGCAGCAAGCCGGGGAATAGCACTTCTCCACGGCCTCTGCATCAGTTTCTGCCTCCGGGTTCCTGCTGGGTTTAAGATCATGCCTTGGCATCCCAAAATGAACTATGACTGTGGATATGTGAGCCAAATAAATCCTATCCTCCCCAAGTTGCTTTGGTCATGGTGTTTCATCACAGCAATAGAAACCCTACTAAGGGGCTGGAGAGATGGCTCAGTTGTTAAGGTCACTGACTGCTCTTCCCGGAGGTCCTAGGTTCAATACCCACCACCCACATGGCAGCTCACAACTGTTTGTAACTCCAGTTCCAGGTGATTCAACACCTTCACACAGATATACATGCATGAAAAAGACCAATGAACATGAAATAAAAACAAGTAAATCATTAAAAAAATAAAAGAAAGAAACTCTAAGACAACAGCTTGAAAAAAAAGATGTAGTTTCCTGGACCAGGCAGCTTGTTGAAGGGAGAAATAAATCCTCAGGAAAATGGCCAGATTGTAAACTAGGTAGTGTGTACCCTGGGGTTCTCTAGGAAAGGACTGATACAATGAATGTACGTTTAAAAGGGTATTTATTACATTGGCTTACATAGACAGTTTAACAGTAGTGATTTTCACATTGGGGAGGTTGGAAGCCCAATAGCTGCTCAGGCCAGGAGTCTAGATGTCTCACCATCCCAGGCTAGCATTTGAAGCCTGGAGGATTCCCAGACAGTTATTGATCTTAGTCCATGCCAGAAGCCAAAGAATGAGTTCTCTTATCAGCCTAGAATGGTGGTAGCAGCAGCTTGAAAATGTGAACAGAGTTTGCCAGCATGACCTGAAAGTAAGCAGTTTGCCCCCACAGTCACTGCAAGGTGCCATCCACGTTTAGGGTGGGTCTTTCTCACTTCAAACTATACAATTAAAAACAAACAAAAAATGCCAGGCAGTGGTGGTGCACACCTTTCATCCCAGCACTCGGGAGGCAGAAACAGGTGGATCTCTGTACGTTCAAGGCCAGCCTGGTCTACAGGCTGGGCTGACAAGAACGGGAAGCAGTCAAGGGATGCTCCTGTCCCTCTTCCCTCCAGTGTCTGTGGACCAGTTTACAAAGCTGGGAGGTTGAGCACTGGGAGAACTACTTAACAGCTACTAGTAGGAGTGCTTCGCAGGACTACGTACGGCTTCTCTCTCTCAGCTCAACAGCCTGCAATCCTGTAAGACCAGTATGCACACACCCATTTTATATGTAGGAAACAAAATCTCAGATTATTATGGCCTGCAGGGGTACAATAGGCGGCCCTGTTACGGGATTTCCTGCCTGGTTCCGCAGCCACCTTGCCCTACACAGACGCTACATTAATTATAATATGGTTGGTCAGTATTAGGGTTTCTTATTGCCTAGCTCTGTCTTAATCATTAATCCATTTCAATTAATCTATGTATTTCCACGTGGTCTTGGCGTACTGGAGAAGGGCCCGGAGCTGTTACTTGTTTGCCGGCTACATGGCAACCCCTGTCTGCCTATACTTCCCAGAATTCTCCTCCTCTGGCAGCCCCGCCTATCCTTCCTGCCTGGCCACTAGCCACACAGAGTTTTATTCATCCGACAATAAGAGAAACATATACATGGAAGGACAGCCCCCATCAGACCCTTCTCCTCCTTCCTGAACTATCAGAGTTAGGAGGCAGCCCCATGTCTTCCCATACGCCATGTGCTTACAGCGCTGGAGGTTTCCTCTGTGAACTGGAAGAAAACGGAGAACACTGCCGCTCACCACACATCGGCGTTCCAGATTGACAAGCTGGTGCTCAGGCGTGGACAGATATTCAACTTGAAGGTGACACTAAATAGACCTCTCCAACCTCAGGATGAAATGAAGCTGGAATTCTCTACTGGTGAGGCCTCAGCCCCAGAAGCAGGGTCGAGGGTGGGACCACGAGGCCTATGAGTATGCTGTGTCCAAGAGTGACTTTGCTCCCTAAGCCTCAGTTTCCCCACATGAACAATGGACTGGGAACTGAATAATCACTCTGGCGAGGTTGATGTATTCCTTGGCCAATCAGTGGAGATGGCCAGGGAAGGATCAGAGCAGAGAGAGGGCCAGCAAGTAAGGCAGCTGTTCTAGAGCGATCTGGAACACATTCTAGAAATGAATCACAGCACTGTTTGCTGACACTGTACCTCTGTGGGCTTGAGATAAACCATAATAGTTACCAAAAGCACTACACTAAGGGCCTAAAGAGACAGTCCATCAGTGAAGTGCCTTTCACACACAAGCATGAGGACCTGAGTTTAGGTCCCCAAGCACTCACGTGAAAGCCAAGCAATATGGTGCGTATTTGGTGGAGCTGTAGATAGACTGATCCCTGGAGCTCACTGGCCAGCCAGCTTAGGCTAGTAGGTGAGACCCAGATGGAGTAGAGACCTTGTCTCAGAAAACAAGGTGGAGAGGGACTGAGGAAGACATTTAGTGTTGACCTATGGCATCCACACACGCTGTACACACACACACACACACACACACACACACACACACACTGCATTGTGGCAGGAAGATCATTAGTTTAATGCATGTTGTATCAACTATACTGGCCAGGGCTAAACAGTTTAACAAAGCAGATAGTGAAATGCAAGGGAGGACTGAGACTGAGGCTCTGGGGTTATAGGCAAGGGTGTAGAAGGAGAGGGGGTAGCCTTGCCTAATTGAGCAGACAGTACAGCCTAGGTAGAGGGCTGCACTCCAGGAACCGGGAAGGAGCAGCAGGACTTGGTGAGTGGGCAAAGATGCTTGGGCCGATGTCAAGACTCACTTCCCCGTTGGTGTTTCCAGGAAAAAATTCATCCCCCTATGTGGAGCTCGATCCGATGACATCCTTCCGTTCTCAGGGCTGGCAGGTGAAAATTGCCAAACAGTCCGGTTCAAAGGTGAGGGCCGTTGTGCCGGGCTACCTGCTGGTGGATTCTGGATAGCTCCTGTCTACCCCTTCCTTGCTTCCCAGTGTACCCGGCTGCTGACCACCAGCAGCCATCACTCCGGTGCCTCAGGTTCTTGCTCGCCCATAGCACACAGCGGTCGGACCAGCCGTTTATGTTCACCGGAGGAGACGAACAGAGGAAAATTAGTGAGAATAACATAGCAGGGACTGTCATGGTGGTGCACTTGGGAGACAGAGACAGGCAGACCTCTGAGTTCTCTGCCAGCCTAGTCTATGTAGTGAGTTTCAGGACAGCCAGGGCTATACATACAGAGAGAGGTGGGGGAGGGAGATGGGGAGAGAGAGGAAAAGAGAAATAACAACACTTCTTCCTACAAATGCAGTTGTCCATTCTTACCTCCAGCTTTTTGTTTAAACTCAAAAGCATATGGGGGCGCTTTTTGCTTCTTATCTCCTCTTAACAGAGTGTGACGGCTTCGTCAGTGTTCCTACACACACACACACACACACACACACACACACACACACACACACACACACACACACACACACACGCAGCCTGCTCAGGTGTGTGGGCCGCAGATGGCTTCTTCAACATCCATCGTGAAGATGTCTGTCTGTCTTCCCAGGGTTGGAAAGTCACTGCCAATTATGACCCCCACCTAGCTAGATCCCTCAACCGGTTTATGGATACTTTCTTGGGGGAGTAGCCTACAGATTCCATTGCTAAGTTAATTCCAAGACTTAAAAAGGGCAATGGTCTTCGGGTTTTCTAGAAGCAGAATTTACAGCTGGCAAATGAGTGAGTGGACCCTGGTCTTCAGCCCTCCACGTGCTTCTTTTCCTTCCTTCTTTCTGGCCAGAACCCGGGCTCCAATCCCCACTTTGCAGCAGTGTTTTGTGTTTCCAGGGATTAATGACAGCCTCTCTGGGAGAAGGCCTTTGCTTCAGTCTCCTTCTTGAGGAACCTCAGTTTTGGTTATGGAGATGGTAGGAATGGCAGCTGCAGAGGTGGGAATGGGATTGGGCATGGGCTAAATTTCTTCACTCAAAAGGTGTTATTTAATTTTTTTATTTAAAATTGTTTGTTTTTATAATACCCATGAAGGAAGTGAATTTTTAATATCCATGCAAAGTTTTTTTAATATGTAATTCTTTGCTTTTAATAGGTGTGTGTGTGTGTGTGCCTGCCTGCCTGCCTGCCTGCCTTCGTGTCTGTGTGTGTCTGTGGTATGTCCATGTGAGTCAGGAGCCCAAGGCACTGGGTCCCCTATAGTTGGAGTTAAAGGCAGTTGTGAGCTGCCTGATATAGGTGCTGGGAATTGAACTTGGGTCCTCTGTAAGAGCAGTACAGGTCTTTAACTAATGAGCCTTCTCTCCAGCTTGTTTTTTCTTTAAACATGTGAACACATATGTAGGACCCTGCACAGGTCTGGGTGTCTGACATTACCTATACCATGGAAGGCTGGCTTCCTGTGTTTGCTTGATAATAAATGATGTCGAGGGTTCTAATCTGAGCTGGGACACAACAGGAAAGGTCTTCTTACTAACCCAGCTGAGTACTGGGGAATGGGACTTTGTCCCAACTGTCCTGCGTGTGTTCAGGAATACTTTCTCATGGAACAGCCCCTAATCAAGGAGCCAAATGCCACTGTGGATTGAGGGAGGACATCCTCTGTCTTCCAAGAGACTTACTTTCCTTTTTACTGCCTTGTGTATGTGTTGCTCATTTAATTCCCGCAAACACTCCAGGGAGTGTAGGAGTTAGCAAGGTTCCAAGCAAGGAAACTGATGGACATGAGAAATTAAGAAAGTAGCTAACACCATTCAGCTAGTAGAAGACAGAGCTAGTGTTGGGATTGGCAGCCATTGCTCCTAGAAGATACCTTCTTTTTCTGTTTCTGTTTTTGTTTGTTTGTTTTGAGACAGGGTTTGTCTGTGTAGCTTTGGAGCCTGTCCTGGAACTCTCTCTGTAGACCAGGCTGGCCTCAAACTCACAGAGATCCCCCTGCCTCTGCCTCCCTAGTGCTGGGATTAAAGGCGTGCACCACCACCATCTGGCTTAGAAGACACCTTTAAATAACAAGTATCTCATAGATTAGAAGACCCTAGGTTGTGCGCAATGATGGAAAATAGAATTCTTAGTGCAACTGTAAGTGCAGTAATGTCTAAGTCTTAATTTTCTACCCAGCCACTGCCTACACTAGGGCACTGGATGGCAGTAGGGGATGCCCTTGCAGATGCCTGTGTACGGTACTGCAGGGCTGGAATGCGATCTGGGGTTTCCAGCATGCTAGGCAAGTGTTCTACTGCTGAGCAGCACCCATGCCCTGTAGAGAGCAGGAGCCGACATTTGTTTTGCTCCTGAAGCTCTGGATGCTAGACCAGGCTCCTTATATTACAGCCACAGGACCTGGCCCATGATCTGGTGGTAGGTAGCAATGGCTCCATTCAGGGATGAAGGGAACAAAGCTTGTTTAACAGGCACTTCAGGAGACTTTCTAAACCTTGCTGCCTCGTGGGTTGCATCTTTTCCCAGTGGGGTACCCCTGGTGAGGATGATTTGTCAGGTCTGTTGATTCTTCTGGGAGCTGAGTCAGGGAAGAGTGTGTCCACCACGTCTTGTGTTTCACGCAGGTCACACTGTCTATCATCAGCGCTGCCGACGCCGTAGTGGGACAGTACAGTCTGCACATGAACAGTTATAACGCTGGGGTGTTCTTGCTTATCTTCAATCCATGGTGTGCAGGTAACTCAGACATCAGCTCTGCTGTGGAGTGTGTGCCTCTGCTCGCATGTCTTGTGTGACTCATCAAACGCCCATGCTTACACCGGGTCTGCAGCACAGAGTCCAGAGCTGTTCTCTGTTCTTAAACCAGCCGGAGGACTCCGCCCAGCTGCAGTGCATGCCCGGAAGAGCCTCTGTGGCCAAGCCTCTGAGTGCACAACTCCTCTGCCCTCTTAGCTTATCCTCCCTGCCTTGCCAGACCCAGCCAGCTTCTGCTTCCAGCCCTGCTCAGGGGCTGCTGGGAGCCATAAGTGGCTCCTCTCAGCTTCACACTTGGCTCTTCCTCTCAGGTCATCCCCTCCTGGCTACCCTGGAGCCTTTGTACAAATGTCACTCGTTTTTTATTTAGAATTTTTGTTTTCATCTTAATTAGTTCTTTGAGCCTTGTGTAGCTATCTTGATGGTATTCACCCTCCTCCCCCAACTTCCTCCAGTCCCACACACTTTTTTTCCCTTTCCACTTAGTTGTGTCCTCCTTTCTAAAAATTCATCAGCTTTGTTCCAGAAACCCCGGAGGAGAGACACCTCAGACAGTCTCTGCTCTGATCTCTTCTCACACTCAGGATGCCCTTTTGGAAGTTTTTTGTTTTTGTTTTTGAGATAAAGTGTCTCTATGTAGCCTTGGCTGTCCTAGAACTCTCATCAATGAGAGTCTCTATGAGACCCCCCTGCCTCTGCCTCCCAAGTGCTGGTGTCAAAGACCTGAGAGCTACCTCTGGCTGTTTGCATTTTCAATGTATAATGTGTTGTTGTGACCCTTCCTGCTTCCTGTACCCATTCCCCCAACATTTGTTGTCCCAACCCTGTGGTATTCCTGCCTCTGTGTCAGGGTTAGTCAATAATCCACATGTGTATGGTCTCGCTCCAGATGACACCGTTTACCTGCCTAGCGAGGAGGAGCGGGAAGAGTACATCCTTAATGACACTGGCTATATCTACATGGGCTTCGCCAAACAAATTAAAGAGAAGCCCTGGACCTTTGGTCAGGTAATTGGCTGTCTTCTTCTGGATGCCCCATGCATGCTTTTTTCTTAGGGGTCATCAGACAAAGGCTGTGGAGCAAGGGGGAGGGTTCACTTCTGCTGAAAAACTGAAGACTCAGAAGCATGAAGCTGGCCTGAGAGGACACTAAGCTCCACAGTCCCCACAGGAGAAGCGGTGTGAGCCAGAGGTCCCTTGTTCAGAGTCCACCAGTGCCTTTCTTATCCTCTGCTCTCTCTGATCCCCTATATTCCAGTGCGTTTACCCGGGAATCATTCAACAAGTCCTTACAGGGACACCCGGTGACCGTTAGTGTGGCTGGGAGACGTTTGGAAGACTTGGGTGCAGAAAGCTCTCCTGGGGAGCAGGGTGGGTGTCTTGGTGCAGGCAGGTATGATGAGTAGTAACACAGATGGGCACAAGCTCGATGGCTAACAAGTCCACTGTGTCAGCTTCATGGCATCAGAGATTGCAAGTCCTCCTCTTGAACTCCACAGAAAAAAAGGTGCTCTGGGAAATGCCCCTCTTCAAAACTGCCTCCCGTCCTGGGCTCTGACACATAGGCTAGAACAGAGGAGACACAGTGAAGGAGGGACTTCCAGTCAGCAGGGTGTTCGCTTTGTGTGCAGCATGGTGCATCAGGTTGTCCTGTGACTGAAAGGCCAAGAGAGCAGTAAAAAAAAAAAAAGTGTGTGTGTGGAGGGGTAGGAATTGAATCAGTGGACAGGAAAAGGAAACTGCCAGGATGGAGCTCCTGGGAGACTTTGCTGGAATCTTGGGTGAGTTACTCTTCTCAGGAAATGGCTCCAAATGCAGCTGCTTTCTGAACCATTGCTGTTATTTGCCTCTTTTGTTTTGCCTTCTTTCCCATTGGTTACAACATAACCAACACATATCCCTTCCATGGACAGACCTCATGGATGTTCACTGTATCGTAGTTAAAACTGCTTAAACGGGATTAAAAACTAACTCAGGCCTGAACTGAGCTGGACACTGAGAGCCAAGCTTGTGTGAGGCCCTGGTTCTATCCTAGTCATGCTGTTCACAAGAGACTTAGGAAATACGTGGGGCCATGTTTATCGGCACATGCCTGTGATGTAAACACAGGAGAGGGTGGATCTGAAGCCTGTCTAGGGTAAGTGGAAAGATATTGTCTCAATGCACCAATGTGAACTGGGCACAGTGGCCCAAGCCTTTGATACCAGCACTCAGGAGGCAGAAGCAGGCAGATCTCTGTGAGGATGGAGCCAGTCTGTTGTATATAGTAAGCTCCAGGACAGCCAGGGCTACATAGACCCTGCATCAATTAAAAACAACAAAAACAAAGACCCTGTAGCAATCAGTGAGTGGGGAGGAGGAAGACCAAAAAAGAAACTGCAGTACATAAAACAAAGTGTCAGTTTTCCTTGGTGATGACTCAGTTTAGAGTATTTCCTTCTTTTAAACATTTGTTTTACATGTGTTGTGTGTGGGTACACTGTAAATATTACAGCCCTGAGGGGAAAGGCTTCCCCAGTGGAGGTGTTGCAGCTCTGAGGGGAAAGGTTCCCTCCAATGGAAGTATTACAGCTCTGGGTTTGGGGAGGTTTCCTCCAATGCGAGTGTTACAGCTCTGGGGGAAGAGGTTTCCCAATGCAAGTGTTACAGCTCTGAGAGCAGGGAGGCTTCTCAATTCAAGTGTTACAGCTCAGGGGAGGGGGACGGTTCCCAATGCAAGTGTTACAGTTCTGAAGGGAAATATATCCTGGCAGTCAGGAGCCAAGGAATACCACAAAGCCACACCACACAACAAACCTCACACAAGAGATTTATTGGGGGAGACACAAGAGGATGGCTGCCTCTGCTCAGGAGAAAAGCAGCAGGGAAAAGAGGAGGAGACAGGCTTATATAGGGTTTTTGCGGGGTGGAATTTTCCAGGGTGGAGATTTCCAGGTTGGGGGTTGGTGAGATTTCACCAAGCCCAGAGATTGATGGGTTTGGTAAGTTTTCAAAACTGGAAGTATGCTTGTACCTTTTACCCTACATGCACATATCCCATGTGTGTGTGTGTGTGTGTGTGTGTGTGTGTGTGTGTATGTGTGTGTGTGTGTGTGTGTGTAGGTCAGGACCACTCTCTTGTAGACCAGGCTGGCCTCGAACTCACAGAGATCCACCTGCCTCTGCCTCCCGAGTGCTGGGATTAAAGGCGTGCGCCACCAACGCCCGGATCAGGACCACTCTCAAGAGTCTGTTCTCTCTTTCCATGGGGTGGAGCCTGATAACCCAGTAAACCAACCTGCCTATCCTATTCTTTATTTTTAATGTATTTACTTGTCTTATTTTGACTGTGTGTATGTCTGTGCACTATGTGCTTGCCTGGTGCCTGTAGAGGCCACAAGAGGGCATTGGATATCCTGGAACTGGCTATAAGCCACCATGTGGGTGTTATGAACTGAACTCAGGTCCTCTCCAAGAGCAACAAGTACTCTTAACCACTGAGCCATCTCTCTACCACCCCAGCATTCATTTTTTATTACTAATACAAACCAAGTTGAGCTAATATTTCTTGAACACAGCTTGGCAGCTTGCTTCATTTCTCTAACTTGATAACTAAGGAATTTCCCTCATGGTACTAAAGCCTTGTATACCTCCTTGTACATGTGTGCATTTTACCCATTGAAGCATCTTCCCAATCCACTGTGTTTGTCTTTCAATAGCTGTGCTCTGTGAGCCTTTGAATGTACTTAACTGTTGTCATGTGTCTGGCTGCTTAGTGGCTTCTACTGTGGAATGTGGAGGATCTTTAGGAGACTGTGGGCAAGTTCCCTCACTTGGGAGATGAGTTATCCTTCAAGGCAATGAAAATTAGATTGAGTGGGATAGTGTCTGACACAGAGCAGAATCTTGATGACTCTTTCTCCCTCTTCATGACAGTTTGAGGAGAACATTCTGGACTGCTGCATCTATCTGTTGGACAACCTGGATCCCCATGAACTACACAGCCCAGTGTCTGTGTCCAGGGCCATTTGCACTATGGTATGTGGAGAGGCCAGATCTACTTCCAGGCTCCTAGAAGTCTATAGAGTAACTGCTGTTGTAGTCCATCAATACCTGCTCAGCCACTTTAGGTTTTCCCACACACAGTAAGCTGCTCTCCATGAAACACACAGGGAGCTGTGGCTGCAGTCAAAACTATCAAGGATTGTACTGTCTACCATTGTCCTTCTGAGCACAGGTTCTCCGATCTGAGTTCAGAAGGTCAACTTTGCCACTTCTAAGTTGACCCTAGGAAAATGGCTTTTCCAGTCTACAAGATGGTATAAAAATATTCAAGGTCCTCTCTCTCCCTGCAAGCCTGGCTGCAGCTGGGATGAACATTGTACACTATGTAAGTTATTGAATAACAACAAATTCACAAGCTATGTCAGTTTCCTTAGCAACATACTGAATAGTCCTGGTTTGACAGCCAAGGCAAACATAGGTTGTTTTATTTCAGTCTTACTAATATTCACTGTTGGATTACACATCACATAGTAAATATATCTACACATATGTATATATGTATGAATGTATGTATGTACAGACATAAGTTATACAATGGTCACAAAAATGTCGAAGAAGCTGCAGCAGAATCCATGGAGTTCAAAGAGAACTGAGAGGCAAAAGAAACTGATAGGGGAGGGATCACTGCTGTCTGTGTGTGTGTGTGTGTGTGAGAGAGGGGGGGGGTAACCCTGTGGAAGCCGTTGGGTCCAGTACAGGGTCCAGATTGACAGCAACTTAAGTAGGCCTTATTGGCAGCCAGGATAGAGCCGAGCAGAAACCCCTGGGACAGTCAGTTCCTTTGTCCTACCAGATGCTCAGGTGACGGGTCCCCATGTCAATGTTAGTTGTCCTTCACTTCCAGGTCCAGATGAAGGTGTTTGGTAAGGTGCTGGGCCTGATTTTCCTGTCAGGATTTAAGATGCCCAGAGTTTAACTGGGCTTTGTGGCATAGGTTTATAATCCAGTTACTCAGGAGACAGAGGAAGGAGAATTCAAGTGTAACGGTAGCCTGGGTAACATAACAAGACTATTTCTCAAAATAAAAAGTAACCAACCAACCAACAAACCAACCAACTGAGCTGGGTTCAATGTCCAACACAGGAAAAAGAAAGAAAGGAAAAAAAGTCAGAAGTCTAAACATATTCTTTTAGCTGTGTATGGTAGTTCATACCTGTAATCTCAGCACTCAGGATATTGAGGCAGGAGGATTGCTGAGAGTTTCATGCAAGCCTGGGCTACATACTGAGATTTTGACTCAAAAAAGAAATTTTGGGGGGCTGGATGGATGGATGGCCCAGTAATTAAGAGTACTCTCTGTCCTTGAAGAGGGCATACGTTTAGTTCCCAGAACCCACATCAAATGGTTCATAACTCCTGGAACTGCTGCTCCAGAGTGCTCTCTCTCTCTCTCTCTCTCTCTCTCTCTCTCTCTCTCTCTCTCTCTCTCTCTCTCTCTCTCTCTCTCTCTCTCTCTCTCTCACACACACACACACACACAACAACTCTGTTTTCTTCTAATAGAATAATAATAAATCTATATGTTAACACAATGTGCTTTTTGTTTAAAAACTTTCTGAAGTATAGCATATGTGGTGAAGAGAGTACTGTGGCTTGCATTTTGCAAATCTCTTTAGATAACTGGCTACAGTCTGCACACATGGAGGGGCCTTATTACATCATTTTGGTTGACACAGTCTGTCTCACATGGGCATATTGGCACAGCCCTAACAGACAATGCCAGACGCTCTTCTCTGACATTTTACTCTTATTTTACTCTTGCTCAGTGAGTGAGGGTTTCTCTGGGGAAGTACAGCAAGGAGAGCCCGAGTCTCCCTATGCAGCCAAGGCTAGCCTCAAACAAGTGTGTGTGTCCCTTGTCCCTTCTGATTGCTCTGTCTGTCCTGAACAAGCCGTAGGGTCTGGGGAGAGCAGAGATGCTAACACCACTCTGTCCTGTGTCAGATGTGCTCTGTGAACAACGGTGTGCTGATGGGGAACTGGTCAGGAGACTACAAAGGTGGCACCGCCCCGTACGTGTGGACCAGCAGCGTGCCCATCCTCCAGCAACACTTTGCCACCAAGTCACCCGTATGCTTTGGCCAGTGCTGGGTTTTCTCTGGAATCCTGACCACAGGTAGGCTACAGTTGGGGCAGGGGTCACTCAGCCTCCATAGAAGCTAACCATTCTCTCTGGGGTCATTTCAGCACTGAGAGCAATGGGCATCCCAGCTCGAAGTGTGACCAACTTTGAGTCAGCCCACGACACAGGAAAGAATCTCACAGTAGACATTTACCTGGATGAATCCGGCAAGACAATTGCAGATCTGACCAAAGACTCTATCTGGTAAGTGGTGGGGAACATCCTTCTGTATATGTTTCCTCTTATTGGCTGATGAATAAAACACCGTTTGGCCAATGGCCAGTAGAGGCAGGAAGATAGGCAGGGCTAGGAGATGAGGAGAATTTTGGGAAAGGTAAGCAGAGAGGCACCGCAAGTGATGCAATGTAGACCACAAGGGGGTAACAGGTCTGGGCATTCTCCGGTAAGCCAAGACCATGTGGAAATACATAGATTTATAGAAATGGGTTAATAACTAAGACAGAGCTAGCCAATAAGAAGCCCTAGCTGCCAACCAACAGTTTTATAATTATTATAGCGTCCGTGTGCTCATTTGGGGCTGAAGCAGTGGGACCAGGCTGGAAAGAAGCTCCAGCTACAGGTTAGCTCCCTGCTGGCTGGTCAGGGCTCCTCTTCTGTTCTACCTGTGGGCTTGGCAGCCTCCTCTGTAGACTGGTTCATGCTGTGAGCAGGGTCAACTCCAGAGACCGGCTCTGCATAGTCAGCCTTACTGTGTGACCCAGACACCTGGGAAGGCTTGTTAAGCACAAAGATCCCTGGATTGCAACCCTTGCTCCTGGAGGCAAAGGCCAAGAACTGGCCTTTACTTCTGTCCCATCGTCCGGGAGACTGAGACACACCGCTGTGTGCCACCATCTGATATAGCTGGCACCCAGTCAAGAGGCACTGTTTCCTGTGTTCTCTGACCCAGTGCACAGCACCTTGCAGGCTAAAAGTGCAGGGATTTTTAGAGAGGGAGGCTGTCTGGAGGTTTGGGTGGGGTCATGGCTCCTACAGCTGAATATGCCAAGTCTATCGATATGGCACTATATGCTGGAGACACCAAGTCCTGTAAATCCATATGGTGCAACTGTCTTTAAAATAGCAAAAATAGCTGGACAGTGTTGGAACACACCTTTAATCCCAGCACTGGGGAGTCAAAGGCAGGTGGATCTTTGAGTTCAAGGCCAGCCTGGTCTATAGAGTGAGTTCCAGAAAGCCAGGGTGACACAGAGAAACCCTGTCTTGAAAACAAACAAACAAAAAACAAACCCACCAAGAATATGGAATACTGTCTAGCTACAAAACTGTTCATCAGTAAAATCAGAATCCCTTTGAGTGGGGAAAGGATTTATAGTTGTTTGCTCATTCATTCATTCATTCATTCATTCATTCATTCAGCATAGGCTAGTGTCAGGGATCTTTGGGTCTCAGGAGCTTCTCCCTCATTGCCCATCTGCTCTGAGATCTGCTTTCTACACAACACTCCCAACTCTCCTTGCATTTGTTGACAAAGGGCCCCCTCTTCAGAACCTTAGAGGGCTGTGATGACAGGTTCTCTAAATGCATGGCTGGCTGTGACGGGTCTGTTTCCACTGCCACAGGAATTTCCATGTGTGGACAGATGCCTGGATGAAAAGACCCGATCTACCCCTGGGCCATGATGGCTGGCAGGTCCTGGATGCTACACCGCAGGAGGTCAGCGAGGGTGAGTTTGTATCGGGCACAGGAGGAGCTGGGGATGGAGGCCATGTGTGGGCTGCTCTTGTGACTGGTCTGTGGGTCTTGGGCGGTCACCCTGAGCAAGGCCTTACGAAGAGGACACAAGTGACAGTCACATGATCAAATGGCTAGTGCAGGTGCTCACTGGATGCACAGCTCATAACTCACCTTTTCAAAAGTTTTTAAATTATGCCTGTTTGCTTGTTTGTGTGTGAACACACGAATCACGGTGCACACGTGGGGGTCAGAGGACAACCTGTGGGAGTCAGCGCTCTCCTTCTACCACGTGGGCACTAGGGATAAGTGCCATTGGCTACAGCTAATCTCTCAAAGCAAGTTTTGCCATTATCTCATTTTGTGAATCTGGGCTCGTGGAGGTGAAGTGAATAGGGCTGTCAGCCACAGGTCTCTGAGCAGTTGCGCCACAAAGCCCAAGTTGAATGGAGTGGGAGCATCCCGTCTAGCTGTTTACCTATTATCTGGTCCTGGGTGGGAAGGAGCTTGGAGAGTTTCTGGACAGGTGAAATCTGGACTGAGGTTACCTGGGAAATCTGTGGAATTGTTACAGAATTAATGTGCCCCATCAGTGAGAAACTGCCCTGTGCACTTAAAAGATTAATGAGGGAAAAGGCTTCTTAAGAGTGTGTGACGGAGCTGGGCGTTGGTGGCGCACGCCTTTAATCCCAGCACTCGGGAGGCAGAGGCAGGCAGATCTCTGTGAGTTTGAGGCCAGCCTGGTCTACAGAGCAAGTTCCAGGACAGCCTCCAAAACAATACAGAGAAACCCTGTCTCAAAAAAATCAAAAAAAAAAAAAAAAAAAAAAAAGAGTGTGTGACGGTTTCCGGCTAATGCAAACAAGGAAACCAGCCCCGTACAGAAAGAATTTCAAGTTTGTGTAGGCCTTGGGTTTATACATTTCATTTCCACGTCATGCTTAAATCTCTTTAATATCCCAGCCCCAGGCTGCACTTTGAGCAACTGAAATAGACAAGAGACTTCAAGTCTGGCTATGTAGGCAGATGGGAGATTTACACAGCAAAGATGTTGCCAAAATTATTTCTTATGTACATGTGTCAGTGCGGTTCTTTTTGAATAGTTGTTACCCAGGTTCATCTTGCCCACTTGGCAAAATTATACTATTTCCCCATAAGAGCAGGACTTAATGCAGACCAAGACTTACTGATGGTTGTGACCCCCTGGAGCTGACCATATTAGAGGCCTGTTCCTTTATAAGGGGTTTTAAGTTGGGGTTATCTCCTTTTGTTAGAAATGAGCCTAACCTGAGATAAAATTGGTGAATAAACATTAGCAGAAACTTTCTCAGTAACCCTAAACTTCAATTTTGGTATAGAATTTACATTGGTTGGCTACCCTTTCTTTCTTCCTCTCCCCCCCCCCCTCTCTCCCCCTTCTTTCCTTCCTCCCTCTCTTCCTTTCTTTTTATTTTTTTTTGTTTTTTTGTTTTTTTGAGACAGGGCTTCTCTGTGGCTTTGGAGGCTGTCCTGAAACTCCCTTGGTAGTCCAGGCTGGTCTCGAACTTACAGAGATCCGCCTGCCTCTGCCTCCCAAGTGCTGGGATGAAAGGTGTGTGCCACCAACGCCCTGCTCACAAAAAGTTTTTAAAAAAGATTTTTTAGACATAGTCTTGCTGAGCAGCCCAAACTGGCCTGGCGCTCCAATCCATCCAGCTCCATACCCTCAGGGCTGGGGTTACAGGTCTGTGCTGCCACGCTCGGCGAAGTTTGTCTGAGTGTTGGAAAAACAACAACAACAACAAACCAAGTTACCTGGTTGTGGTGGAACTTATCTATAACCCTATCACCCGAGAGGAGAGAAGGGAAAAAGCCATCCTCAGAGAGAGTTCAAAGCCATCCTCAGCTAACTAGTGAGTTTGTTTAAAAAAAATAAGGCAAAACCAAAATTATTTGCTCAGTAAATAGAAACATTTGAGATAAAATCAAGTATTGAGCCTTTTTGCGAACCCACCTTCTGTAAAAGAACTTCTCTAACCAGGTCACCCCAGGCTCCCAACAACCTGGCCCCTCCTTTCTCAAATCCCTGTGGGATCCTGACTTCCACAGGACACAGGCACCCTTGCCACGCACTTCCTTAGCCTTTCCAGGATCAAGGTCATCGCCTGGACAGAGACGGAACGGTGTGGATAGAGAAGGTGTACCCAGATGCAGGAAGCACAGTCCCCAAAGGCATTCAAATTACAATTTAAAATATTTTGGTGCCTGTATTTTTCCAACCAGTCTGTTCCAAAGGCTTCCTAAGGCAGAGTCACAGAGTCACAGTTCCCCACGGAACCAGCAGGGGCTCTCCAGAGATCTGCTGTTTCATCTCCCCATGGGGAAGAGAGCTCGCTACACCTCCTTGTGCTGAAAGAAGCTCAGCAAGGGGTCATCTCTCTGGGGTCCCAGTAGTATCTGCCAAGGTGGGGACAGTAGCCTTGCACCTGGGTTGCATACAGCCGACAGTCACCATCTACCTGGGAAGTATTAGAAACCTTGTGCCCAGGTGGAAAGGGCTTTAGAAGCCCACCTACCCACTCACGTTGTAGATAAGCTGGGGCAGACAGTGGGGTGCCCTCTGCCATGTTAGAAGCAGAGTGTTAGAGTGTTAGATTAGCAGCCCTGTTCTGAGTCTTAGCCCCCCAATACCCTGAATTGCAGAGCTGGCTGCTTTTAAGAGGCGAGGAGAGGAGTTGCATGTATTGAAGCTTAAAGAGCACAAAGGAAATGGCAAACCCAGGGTTGAGAGTAGAAGAATGTGCGAAATCAAACCAATCTGTACAGTGAAGAGCTGGGAAAGTAATGCTTAGTAAGTTCTAATTACAGTCAAGGAGACCTTTCTGCTCCTATGTCAGGACTAGAAGGCAACATTATTGGTCAGATAATAGTGATGGCTGGTGATGGTTCCCAGATAATTACAGTGCTAAGTACCATTGTATACTACTTTGATTTTTGATGACTGATGACCTTATAAGGTCAGTACTACCTTTATACCCAATATTGAAGAAATGAAGTATAGGCCATACAGGGCAATGTGCTGGGATGAATGGAAACCAGGGCATGGCTCCTTACCTCTGGGCCTGAGATTTCCTGGACATTTCAATTCTAAGCTGGGATGTGTCCTCCTCCCTGTTTGGGTGAGATTTCTGACTGCCACTGTGCTGAACTGAAGGGATGGGAGGCAGGATGGTCCAGGAAAGCCCAGCAGCCACCTTCTCTCTTCCCTTCAGGCAGATTCCGCACTGGGCCTTCCCCACTGAGTGCCATCCGCCAGGGAGCGGTCCAAATCCAGTATGACACGAAGTTTGTCTTCACCGAGGTCAACGGTGACAAGTTCATCTGGCTGGTGAAGCAGAACCAGGACAAGGAGAAGAACATCCTTATCGCCGTGGAGACTGCGAGTATCGGCAAGAACATCAGCACCAAGATGGTGGGCGAGAACAAGCGCGAAGACGTTACCTTGCAGTACAAGTTCCCAGAAGGTGGGTGCACAGGGCTTCTGTCACTACAGGCTGACCCAGGACCAGGGTACCGGTCCTGAGCCAGGACAGTGCTTGGTGGACAACAGATCTGGGACCCAAAGACCTGATTCCTTGCTAGCTGGAGATGTGGTCAGATGGTAGTGTGGTGTTTAGTAATAGAAGTCCCACATTCAATCTCCAGCACTATGGAAACAAGGCATGCAAACACATGCCATCGTCCCAGCAATGAAGAGGTAAATGCAGTGGTATCAGAATTAAAGTTATTATTCACAACACAGTGAGTGCAAGGGGTGGAGGGGGGTGGGAGGGAGTGGTCCTGTGCTCAAGGCAGTGTGAGAGGAGGGAGGAGTCTTCTCCAGGAAGCCAGGCCTTCCTGTCTGTCCCTGCTCTGTTCTTGTGAGCAAGCAATGTGGTGGGGCCCAGGACAGTGTCTGCCCTCTGTAAACAGCTCGTCAGGGTTGGTGCAAGTGTCTTTGCTTTCTGAGCCATCTCACTGTCCTAGTAGATCTAAGAAAGAAAAGTGTCAGAGTACGGGGTGCCCCAGGGAGGGAGAAAAGCTCAGTGTAATTTTTCCTTCTTCCTTGAAGACTAGATAATTTCAACTACCCTAACCTCAAAGCTTCTGGTGATTTCTTGTGCAGGCTCTAAGCTGTCTTGTTCAAGTTCTGTATCGATAGTCTCTGTTTGGTGAGCTACTGCTTTCTCTGTCCTTTTCAGTTCCTTGAATATATTTGCAATGGTTTTACATTAGTTTTGTGTATGTGCATGTGTGTATGTGTGAGTGAGCACACCACAGTGTGTGTGTGTGGTCAGAAGACATTCCACCATGTGGGTCCTGTGGCTTGAATTCAGGTCACCAAGGACTGTTGGGGAATATTTATTATTAATCATTATTAATTATTGGGGGAAATATTATTTTAAGGAGTATGACTTTTGTTTATGCTATATTTGTTTAACTCTATGAAGCTGTGATTCTATGCTGTCTAAAACACCTAACGGTCTAATAAAGAGCTGAACAGTCAATAGCAAGGCAGGAGCAAGGATAGGAGGGGCTGGCAGGCAGAGAGAATAAATAGAAGGAGAAATGGGGGGGGGAGAGCAATGAGAGAAGAAGGGGAGGAGGACAGCAGGGGCAGCAGGGGCAGCAGGGGCCAGCCAGCCACCCAGCCAGCCACAGAGTAAAAGTGAAAGATACACAGAAGAAAAAGAAAAAGCCCAGAGGCAAAAGGTAGTGTGTGTGGGGGGAGTAATTTAAGATAAGAAAAGCTGACAAGAAACAAGCCAAGCTAATGCTGGGCATTTATAACTAAGCCTTCATGATTTATTTGGCAGCTGGGTGGTGGGCCCTCAAAAAAGGCCAAAGAGTAAAAAGAGTAAAACGTTGCACAACAAAGGCTTTTACTGGCTGAACCATCTCACCAGCCCCTGACTCTATTTGTTGTGATTTAAGAAAAGCAGCGTGCGAAAGAAAGATGGCATGAGACTGAGTTCAAGCAGAGAGGTTTTCATTAGGGAAGGTGGGGAAGACCAGACTCTGGAGACAGGAGCAGCAGGAGAGAGGAGAGACAGGAGGGAGGGAGGGAGGGAGGGAGGAAGGGGGGGGGAGGAAGGGAAGAGTGGGGGGAGGGAGAAGGAGTGAGAAGGATGGGAGGTGGGCAGGGCCCTTTTAAAAGGGAACGTGGTGACCATGCACAGTGGTGCTCTTAGTGGCTGCAGCTGAGGGCGTATCCTGTCAGAACCCCAAGGACAGGCCAGTACAGATGCCTGAATACTGACAGTATTTAAAATCCAGAACTTAGAGTTTTTTCTAGTAAGTTCCAAATCAGACTTCTGCAGGGGTTGGTTTTCTTTGTGTGTGGGCCACTCCTTGTTGAAAGCTATAAGCTTGGAGGATCCACTGTGGCAGTCTGGGGAGCAGACCTTGTGTGCTGTCCCTACTGTGCGCTTGTGCATTAGTCCCTGACACACCTCTGTGCGGTCTGTATTCATCATGGGTGGCCTCTCCATCATCTCCCCTCTGCCTCATGGCCAGCTGGGGATGGTGTACAGCAGCCTTAATTGTCTGGGATGAGGAAGTAAACTTGCCTTGGCTCAGGGGCTGTGTCCAGCTGGAAGACACTCGGTGCTCTACTCTAGCCTCCCTGGTACAGAGCCTCAAGATGAGAGTCCACAGCTTGCTGTGTCTTTGTTCTTCCCTGGCTTTTCCTTCAGGTTTTTAAAATTGTCTTTCAAATACACCAGGAAACATGCTGTTTGTTAAGCTGAGTCTGTCGAGTAAAGGGGAGCTCTGGGAATGGACATTTCCAGGGCGCTGTCACAGAAACCAAAGGACAATAAAGCCCTTGTGGTGAGGTCATACCATACGTACCACAGACAAGGAGGCTTCTGATTTTACTGTGACAAGAACTGTCAGTTTTCCAGGTGACTGCGGGTCTGTGGGGGGGGAGAGACGCAATGGTTCTACCTCATGAGCTCCTCCTGCTTCTCTTCCTGTTTTTTGAGATAAGGTCTCGTTTTTTATATGGTCTGAACCTCACTCTGTAGTCCAGACTGGCCTTGAAGTCATGGTGTTCTCCTGTCTCAGGTTTCTAAGTGCAGGGTCACAGGCATGAGTCACCATGCCTGGCTCAGTGTGTTTCTGTGGCCCTTAGGCCCTTTGCTGGTTTCCCACAGCTGTTAAGGAGGAATAGGGTGCTCTGGTCTTTCTGCTACCATTCCCATGTAAGGCAAGTTCCTAGCATGGGGCCTGGGGTAATTCTCAGTGTGAATCCTTAGGTCCAGGGAGGCCTCCATAGCCCTAGTCAAAGATGTCTCAGTTTGGCTCCTATTGCTGTGATAAACACCATGATGAAAAGCAACTTGGAAAGGAAAGTGTTTATTTGGCTTACGTATCCCAAGTCATGGTCCATTGAGGGGAAGCTGAAGCAGGAACTCACAGCCGGAGCTGGAGGACCCACGTTCAGAGCCTTGAGGAACACTGCTGATGGGCTAGTTCCTCGTGTCTTGTTCAACCTGCTTTCTTATACAGCTCAGACCCATCTGCCTAGGGGTGGCAGACCACAGGGGAAGAGGCCCTCCCACATTGATCATTTATTAAGAAAATGCCTCACAGATTTGCCTAAGGGCTGATCAAATGGAGGTATTTTCTCAATTCAAGTTCTCTCTTCCCAGATGAGCCTGCTTTGTGTCAAGTTTACAAATATCTAACCAGGACAACTGACTCTTGTCACCTTGACACACAAATACAACATTATTAAACAATACCCTTTCCTGTCTTGCTCATCCCAAAGATCTTATGTTAATATCAACATCACAGCATAAAAACATTCCAGTCTTTAAAAATTCAGTCACTTTAAGATATCCAAACCCTCTTAACTGTGGGTTCCTGTAAAATAAAAAATAAGTTACATATTTCTTATTCCAAAAAGGAAAACCCAGGACATAGTTGCAATCAGATCAAATCAAACCCAAAATTAAACACTCAGTGTAAAACATTCAGTGCTTCACATCTGAGACCTCCTCATGGCCCTCTGGACTCCTAAGGACCTACACAGCTCTGCTTTTCTGGTTCTGCCATCTGCAACACACGTAGCGTGTCTCCACAACTCCAGTTGGTTCCATGCCACACCTGCCACTCTCTTTGGTGGTCATCCCATGGTCTTTGCATTTCCAATACGCTGGGGTCTCCATGGCTGTACCTTCAGCGATGACCTCTCGTGGCTTCTCACAGTGCTCCACTTCAGCTGATATCCATGACATCGTCATGCCTTCAAAACCAGTACACTGGGAAACTTTCACTACCAAGGTCAGCTGCCAGCATGAGATGCTGCCCTGACACTTTCTAAACTACGGTTTCTGTGTGCTGACAATGAGGAAATACTCCCAGAAGGTATCACCTCCATGATGCTTGTCTCTTAATCACATCTGGTATCTCAGCTAAGGCTGACCAGTAACCAATCGTCTCATGTAGGTTTTGCTTTAGTGGTGCTGGCTTCTTGATTATTAGCTGACTCTGTGTGTGTGTGTGTGTGTGTGTGTGTGTGTGTGTGTGTGTGTGTGTGTAATCGAGAAAGAGAGAAAGAGAGACAAAGAGAGGGGGGTCTCACTGTTTATCTCTGGATGGGCTACTAGAATTTCCTATGTAGACCAGGCTGGCCTTAAAGAGATCTGCCTGCCTTTTCTTTTCAAGTGCACAGCTGATTCTTAAACTCCAGGTGACCAGATACCACAGTCTTAATTCAAATGTATCATATGGATGGCTCTGATAGATTCTTTAAGGGACTCTCAAGATTCTCTTGAAACTTTTCAAGGCAGGATTCCATTGTCTCCATTGCTCCCAACATTTTTACTTTCTTTTTTTAAAATTAACATTTTTTATTTTCAAAGCTCCCACAGAATAGCCCACTGAGCTCTGAACACTCAACAGCTTTCCCAAACCAAAATTCCAAAATCCTCCCATAACCTCCCCAAAACAACATGGTCATGTCTGTCACAGTAATACCCTGCTCCTGGTACCAATTTCTGTTTTAGTTTGGTTTCTATTGCTGTGATAAAGATCATAGTGAAAAGCAACTTAGAAAGGAAAGGATTTATTTGGTTTACGTACTCTGCTTAACAGTGCACTGATTGAAGCCAAGGCAGGATCTCAAGGCAAATCCTGAAGCAGAAGCCATGCGACACTTTTATTGGCTTGCTCAACTTTTCTTATGCAACACAGGCCTGTTTTTCCAGACCTATAGTGTAATAGGCCTTTCTAAATTAGTCATTAATTAAGAAAATGCCTCAGAGACTTGTCTATGGGCCAATGAAATGGAGGCATTTTCTCAATTGAAGTCTCCTCTTCCCAAAGGATTTTGGCTTGTGTCAAGTTGATTAAAAAGAAAATCCAACCAGGACAAGGGGAAGTTCTTGAAGACCCCAAGGGTATGCTCAGATATTTGGTTGGCCCTTAGAGAGGTGTCCTCAGGAAACATTCTATGTCTTTGCAGGCTCCCCAGAGGAGAGGAAAGCCATGGAAAATGCCTCTGGTAAACACCTTGATGAGGACAAGCCCAACCATCCATCATCACACGGCTTGAAGATATATGTCCTCCAGAATTCTGTGGAGCTAGGATATCCTATCACTTTGACCCTAGTTTTGAAAAGGAAAACGGAAGTCCTACAGAATGTCAACATTTCATGTTCCCTCGACCTACAGACATACACAGGCAGCAATAAGACAAACCTGGGAATCATCCAGAAGACTGTGCAGGTCCAAGGTCAAGGTACCAGCCCCAGAGAGACCAGGATTCCCACCATCTGATGTCTCTTTCTTCTCTATGGATTACTCCTGCAGTCTATCCTTTTATGTTTGAATGGATACAGCATTTATTGAGCACTTTACATTTTGGTGGTGATAGGCAATTCAGGCACAGTAGCAAAAAATGGGCCAAATAGATCAGTGGGTCAGGAGTCTGGGGTCTAGTACACAATCACAAATTGGGTGCTAATGGTGTCATGAAGTTTCTGCAATAGTAGAGATTTTGTTTGGGAGTACTGTTCTCATCAGTGGGCCATGGGTACCCTTAGCATGAGCAGACTACCCTGACAATGGGGGCCCAGAATAGGCCTGGAGATTCCAGCTAACCATGAAGTCCATTTGGTCCCTGGATGCAGGCTCTCCAAAGAGAGGACAGGACACCTCTAAGCCAAGCAGCTCTGTCCCTAGAGTTAATCTAACCCTAGAGTTAATCTAAATGTTTGCCAAGGACTCACCTCTTCTTTCTTCCCCACTCTTTTACAGAATCAGAGGTGATTCTCAACATGGACGCTAACTCCTACATCTACAAGCTGGGCATGGTTGATGATGAGATGGTCATCAAAGGGTTTATCATTGCGGAAGTCATGGAGACTGGTGACAAGGTGGCCACTGACATGATCCTGTCTTTCCTGTACCCTGCCTTCTCTGTCGAGGTGAGCTGCCTACAGGCTAGAAAGAGTTCCTATCTGGAACCCGACGTTGGAGTGGTCCCGATTGACTGACCACGGGGTCAGTTGCATCCCTAAGGAAAATCGCATGCCATTTTTCCATACAGGTATTTCTGAGAAGTGATGTGTCAAGCAGTTTCTCTTTTCTCAACTTTTGACTAACTGAATTTAAACTTTTTTTTTTTAATGAGGAATACCTGTGCACAGAACGAAGTTGTGAAGATGCAGTTGGCACAAAACCTTCTTCCCATCCTCCTCAGATGCTCAGCTCCTTTTACCAGAAGTGATCCATGCCATCAGAATCTTTTTTTTTTTTTTTTTGGTTTTTACGAGACAGGGTTTCTCTGTATTGTTTCGGAGGCTATCGGTCCAGCCTGGCCTAGAACTCACAGAGATCCGCCTGCCTCTGCCTCCTGAGTGCTGGGATTAAAAGCGTGCGCCACCACCGCCCGGCTGCCATCAGATTCTTGTGTATCTAAGTGTTTTGGATACAAATCTGTGAAGTACAAGGCTTGCCATGGGCCCACCCCCGGTGTGGGGTGAGATAAAGCCAGTACCAGACCAACTTGGGCTCTCTGCTCAGTTTTCTTCCAGGCAAGAAAGCTTGCATAAGAGGCTCTCATGTTTCCGACCTGTCAAAGACCATCACCCCAGAGCTCTTCCCTGGTGAGCCCTGGCCTACCCTATGGTTCATCATAGATGTTTACACCCCAGCAAGTGTGCCTCCAGTAGGGACTTCTCAGGCCCAGGTCATTCCCCCCCTTTGGAGACTGTGTTGACATTTCTGTGGCAGTGTGGCTGACTTGTCCTTAGCCATGGCGGGGCTCTGGCCTGGCCCCACTCAGTGAAGCAGAACTTGCATGCTACAGGACCCACCCCACTTGGAAGCAGCTTCAGTGCACTCACCATGGCTTAGTCATCAAGAATTTCTAGCTGGGTGATGATGGCGCACGCCTTTCATCCCAGCACTGAAGAGGAAGAGGCAGGCAGATCCCTGAGGCCAGCCTGGTCTATATAGCTAATTCCAAGACAGCTAGGACTACACAGAGAAACCCTGTCTCAACCCCCCCCCAAAAAAAAATCAGGGGCTGGAGCGATGGCTCAGAAGTTAAGTGCACTTGTTCTTACAGAGGAACCAGTTTCCGTTTCCAGCACATGTATAAGGGTTCACAGCTACCTTTAACTCCAGTTTAAGGGGATATGATGCCTTCTTCTGACTTCTGTGGGTACTAGGCATACATGTAGTGCACATACAAACATGTAACCATAACACTCCTACAAATAACACAATTACTTTCTCTTGGTGGTCTCAGTCCCACCCTCCTCCTTGTGGCTTCATGGATGTTTGTGGGCATCAGAGAATGTTTGTCTCTGAGGCTAGACATATATGGTTGGTGCAGTGAGCAGACTGGGGCAGGGAGGAACCAAGAACTGTCTTTCTTGATAGAACCTGTCACCTAAGCTCGGCACAACTGTCTTTTCTCCACTCCCCGTTTTAACAGATGCCGGACACAGGCAAGGTCAGTTGGCCACTTACCATCAAGTGCTCCTTCAAGAACACCCTACCCATCCCTTTGACTGAAATCAGGTTCTCAGTGGAAAGCCTGGCCCTCTCTCACATGCAGTCCTGGGAGCACGGGTGAGTCTGCCCAAGTTGTTCTAATGACATAGATTCTGTGCATGGGTCTCACACACGCGTGCCATACTTCTGAGGTGTAAACTCCTAGCATGGATTTTAGTAAAAATGCAGACACATGTTGCTGGTGCCAAATGGTGAAAAGACTGCACTAGTGCTCTGCCCGTGGTAGACCGTTCTGTTTTTGTCAATTTGATTGTTCTACAGTAATGCCAAAGCATACCCAGTCTTGGTTTGTATTTCTATTTACAACTCAGGTTTTCTCGTTGACTATTTGCTGTAATGTATCTGTTGTTCCCTCCCCTGCCCCCCACCCCACCCCCGGGGTCATTACTTTTCTTATTAACCTGAGTGCAACCTTTACTCAGTAAGGAATGTTGCAGTAGAATCTGATTGTAGGAGTTTGATTACTTATTTGAGACAGTCTCACTCTATAGCCCTAGCTAGCTTAAAACTCTGCTCTATTAGCCAGGCTGGTCAATATATTGAACTCACAGAGATCCACCTGCCTCTGCTTCCTGAGTGCTGGGATTAAAGGCGTGCGCCACCACTGCCTGGCCTTGTTTGTTCGTTTGTTTTTTGTTTTGTTTTGGTTTTTTTTTTTGGTGCTGTCCTGGAAACTGAGCCCAGGGCCTTATACATGAAAGGCAAGTGTCCTACCATGGGATTATACCCCAGGCTAGACCCTTTAAAATCCTAACACGCCTTCACCATTGGAGCTCACATTAACTTTTTAATCTTCTCTTGTGGATACTGACTTTCATGTCATTAACAAAAATATAGGAATAGCTGGCAGGTAGTGGTGGTGCAAGCATTTAATCCCAGCACTCAGGAGGCAGAGGCAGGCAGGTCTCTGAGTTTGAGGCCAGCCTGGTCTACAGAGCTAGTTCTGGGACAGCCAGGGCTACACAGACAAACCCTGTCTCGAAAACCCAAACAAACAAACAAAAAAAAGAGAAATAGTATATACTTTTTCTGTAATTTATGACTCTATTTACATAATTAACTATTACTGTGAATTTTAATTTTGGGGTGGAATAATGCAGAGTCCCAACTTTGTGAAATAACCTATCATTTCCCTACTATTGTGAAACATTGTCTATAATACAGGTAATCCCTAAATATACCTCCATCTCTGGACTAGTAGGGTGTTTCACTTGTGTTTGTAGGTGATCTTGTGTCATTTGAATGGCTGTACTGAGAAGTATACAGTGCTATGTGGAAGGCAGGTAGATTTCCTCCCTCAGTTTCTCAAAAATAGAACTTTTAGAATCATCTTGATAGGGTATTTAAACTGGGACTGTGTTATGCTGGGTTTCACCTTGCAAGGACATAGGATAAGTCCCCATGTATCGACATGCCTTGTTTGAAAAGGGCATATTCCTAGTTGGAGCCGTTACTGCCTTAGTGCAGGGAATATTTCTGTTTTCTGTCTAATGAACTAGATAGATGCTACTGATTTTGGTGTGCTGACACACCCAATACAGTATTTTAATCAAATGCTTTGCTCCTTGAGTTTATTTCTTACCAAGTGTCTAGAACTCGCAAGTAAATCCCAGCTTTACAGGGCCCAGTAAAGTGGCCTCCACCTAGAATACCACTACTTGTCTCAGCTGAAGGACAAGATTGCTGGCTAGGATGGCTGCTTTTCCAGCTATGCCAGTAACAAACCCTCCTGGGGGTCCTTAGGACCATGGAATCGCACGAGGAACCAGGCTTTGCAAGAGCTGCCTGGAACCAGATGCCTGGCTCCTCATGCAATGCACTTTCCTTCTGTGGTGTCTTTGCTGACTGTGTGCGTTTACATTTCCTAGGACACTGCTACCTGGAAAGTTCATCCATTTCCAAATGAAATGTACCCCAGAGAAAACAGGACCCAGGAAATTTATTGTCAAGTTTACTTCCAGACAAGTGAAGGAGGTTCATTCCGAGAAGATTGTTCTCATCACTTAATAGCCCAGCTGAGCCATGGTGACGGAGGCAGGAGCCCTGATTGGCTCTGAGCCTTAGCTAAGCTTGTTAGCATTTCCTAAATTGTACATAGTTTTCGGATCAGGGGTGACTAGATTTAATTACTCATGTGAGGGCAGGTTCAGGAGCCAGCCTAGCAAAAGACAGAGCTCCAAGGCCAATGTAACATCAGGCAGGGGCCCCATGGGCCAGGGCACCTCTCTACAGCTTGAAGCATACGTCACAGACAGACACTTCAAACACGTGTGGGAGTCAGGGCCTCAGAAGACAGTGCAACTGTCATTGGACTCAGACCGCATACAGAGCCCAGAGCTGCTATCCCATGGAGCTGAAGTGCTGGGGGCGTCTTCCATCTGGACTGTGGATTCTATCAAGTCCACGGGCATCTAGAGGCTGAGTTGACAGTCCTGTAGGAAAGCATCCTGGTCCTGGGCTCATCTCAAGGCTCTGTCCTCTCAGAAGCAGGCCCCACGCTGGCGTGAGGCCCTCTTGTCTCTAGGTGGGCCATGGGAAGGAGACCCCACAGCCTGCATCCCCTTTGAGAAGGAGTCTATGGCCAATGATAACATCTGGGTAAGCAACTTACTCGCTCTGCTCACTGGAGTCTGCTTTGCTCTGCCATCAAGGGATCTGCTCAGATAATCACTATGCTTTGAATTAAACTCTGGTGACTTTGAATTAAGATGGCTGTGTGGTCCTGAGTTAACTTTTCTTTTATACCAGCATGCTGCTTAACAAACCTGGGGAAAGTCATTACCTCTGAACCTCACTGATCCAGGGGCGCTTTCCAATGGGTTGGCCTTCTTGGTCTGGGCCTTCTTCACGATGGCCTCTCTCTCTCTCTCTCGAGGGCTATAATTTCTAAGTGGACATTACAGACTGACACTCTTGTCTTATGATAAGACACTATGACCAAATGCAACCTGGGGAGCAAAGAGTTTATCTCACCTAACCTTTAGGTAAAAGTCTCTGAGGGAAGTCAGGGCGGGAACCTAGCGGCAGGAGCTGATGCAGAGGACACAGAGGAGTGCTGTTTACTGGTTTGCTCTTCACGGTTTGCCCATCCTGTTTTCTTATACTATCTACCCAGCATCACCAGCCCAGGGGTGGCACCACCCACAATGGACCGGACCCTCCTCCATCAATCATCAAGAAAATACATTACATGCTTGCAGGCCGATTTTGTTTGTTGTTTGAGACAGGGTTTCTCTGTGTAACAGTCTTGGCTAACCTGGGACTTGCTCTGTAGACCAGGTTGGCCTCAGTGTCACTGAGATCTGCCTACCTCTGCCTCCCAAATGCTGCTGGGATTAAAAAAAAAAAAAAGCATGTGTCCCTACTGCCCAGCAATAACAGCTCAATCTTATGGGGCATTTCCTCACTTGAGAGTCCCCCTTCCCAAACGGCTCTAGCTTGACTCGTTGATACCAAACTAGCCAGAACACTCATCATCTCACCTTCATTTGTTCAAAACTAGAAAACCTCAGTCCTAATTCCTTTTGCCCAGATGTCCACTTCCCTGGGGTGCAGTAGGTGTCTGTTGTGTGCTGGGGGTGACTAGTCCATGCTGGAGCCAAGGAGGACCAGCTAGCAACCCATGAAACCACTGTTAGTGTCTGTATGACAGTTGCTGGACCTGAGAGGGAGGATGCTGTCCAGGATGTTGGGTTGGAATCTCCTGCTAAAAATAAGCACCTCACCTACAGAGGTAGATCAAAGAACCTTTATTCAAACAAGAGGCAGGCGTGTAACTGGCCCCTCCTGGAAACACTGGGCCTTTTCCTACCAGCTGCAGTGCTGAGCATCATCTCAGGAGTCACCGTGGAGAGAAGACACAAGGCTCAGGGCTGGACAGACTATTACCTACATGATCCTGGCTGTCCATCTCTCCTTGGGAGAGCTGAGGCTGAGGCTCTGACATGATAATGGTTTTGTTGAAGAGGAAGAGTTCTAAACCTATGAGAGCAAAATACCTGCCCACCTCAACTTTTCTAGGGGAAATACTCTGGAAACAAATGGCTGTAGGGCAGGGAGGTACCTCTGCTGCTGGTCAAGCTGGCTCCAAAGATGAGCTTCAGGCCCAGTGTTCAAGGACATTCTTGAGGTCCTGAACTCAACACAGATCCTGACTCCAAAGCTCGCTCCCTTCCTTCCTTCCTTCCTTCCTTCCTTCCTTCCTTCCTTCCTTCCTTCCTTCCTCTCTCCCTCCCTCCCTCCCTCCCTCCCTCCCTCCCTCCCTCCCTCCCTCCCTCCCTCCCTCCCTCCCTTCCACTGTTGTTCCTTGGGGACCCAGTCACTAGCCCTTCTTTCTCCCTAGTGTGGAGTCTCTGGTATATGGTCCAGCACATAGGTCATCCAGGTCAGTTTGGGGTTAGGGCCCCTGCAGCCAGAGGGCCACTCTCCAAACTTGGGCTCCTCATGTTAATCCTAATAAACGTTAAAGCAGATCTGCTAGGAGGAAATGCACCTGCAGTGGGGTGGGGTATACACATCTGTTAGTGCTGGAGCCCTGCCGCCACTCTGTGTGGGGTGTACTATAGAAGATCTGATGGATCTCTACCCTCCAGGGACTGCCTAGGATGCTGCCCAAGAATAAGACAACTACTTGGCACCCCACAGCTTTCCTTTCTCAGTGTCCTGAGACAGTACCTCAAATAATACTGACTCATGCCACCGAGGCCACAGGTTCCCTTGGTCCAGGACTCACGGCCTTTCATCCAGAGCCGGAACCAGCAACACTGGGGAATGGGTCAAGGCCTGAGTTGGAGCTGGTGTGCTTCTTGAGACTACCTAACTGATGAGATTGCAGAATCTGCCTACACTGCCAGTGATAGCCAGATACACAATCTCCCAGCAGTCTGCATGTCTTGGCCACTATGCAGTTCTTTTTTGTTTTTAAAACAGGGTTTCACTATGTAGCCCGGAACTCTGCAGACTACTAGGTTGTCCTCAAACTCAGAGGCCTGGCTGCCGGCCCCAATGCTGGGAATAAGGGCGTGCACCCCGAGGCCCAGCCACGCAGATTTCTGTGAGGCTGCTCTGAAACACAAAGGTGGCTGCTTTGGTTTGCACCTGTCCCCATGCCCTACTAGACCTTCTCCAGGAGCTCAATATATGCTATCCTGTGGTCACGGAAAGGCTGGCTCCATTGTCTTAGAGAAGAGTCTGGTGTCCATAGGATGGGAACTATTTTGGGGTGACACTGTCGTCATAACTCAGGCTCATCTCCATCGGGGCAGGTTCTGCACACATGCATGCAGATGGGTGGGGTGCTCTTTCAACCAAGCCCAAGCACGGAGGGCAGATTCAGTAACCCTATCCTTTGTCCCAATTCCCACAGCCAGCCAGGCCAGGAATCCCTTCCCTAGGAATGGCTAGTGTCTCTAGCCTTTCAGGCGGGTAACTCCTGATGTCAGTATCCTTCCCCAAGGCCTCCAGCCTCCCCAAGACAGCCCATAAGAAGCAGAAGTGACTCTCGTCCCTCAGGACATCCTGGTCACCATTTCTCTTGCTGAGTAGACTAGGCAGCCTTCCCAGGCCTGGAGAATGGTTCCCAACCCTCCCTTTTGGCACACCCTGTTAAGAGGAACTCAGGGAAAGGCCCTATTCTCCTCTGCCCACACCCCACCCTGTGTCCTAACTGTAGAAAGGGCAGGGTGACAGAGTCGGTAACACCAAGGGAGCCGGGGAGTACCCGTCAGGCCAGCGGCTACTGTTGGCGTGTTATCCTCCACAGCCTCTATTCATCCAGCACCTCCACAGAGTCCCTGTCTTTTGTCTCCTCCAATTGGCTCTCGGGTGTTTCCATGTTGTCCATGTCTGACAGCGATGACACTTGCCGTACCAAGCCCTTGTCAATGGGTATCTCTGGTTGGCAAGGTCTGCTGAAAGGGTTGAACCAGTTCAGGGAAAAGTCCCCACCAAAAGCCTCCTGGACCGACTTGTAGCTGCCCACGCGCTCCCGGGGCTGCTTCTTTCGTTGGAGGCGTTCAATGCCCTGGAGGAGAATGGGGCAAAAAGTCAGTGTGGTGTGACCTGTGCTACACAAACACACCCTTCGCCTTGGCAGAGCAGGGGGTGGGGAGTCCAATACGGCATAACTTGCTGTGGCCCGGGCTATCCCGGAAGCCCCGCAGGGCTGCAGGGCGGGGCAGGAACTGTAGAGCACACTGAGCAGGCTTGGCATTGGAGCTGCTTGTCACCCACTCACCACCCCTCCCCCAAAGGCAGAGGACGGGACACCCAGTGACCAAGGATAACTTGGCTCTGGTAGGCATGAGCTAGGTTATCCATCTGATGAAACCACTAAGAAAGGGGCCCCTTGCCCACAGTAGGACCAGCAAGCTTGGCACCGGGAAGGCTGAGAGGTGAACACGACACAGCACAGGACACGAGCATGCCAGGGAAAGCAGCTGATGGCACGTGCATCGGGCAGCGGGCGGCGCAGAGGTCACCGTGGGTTGGTGTCAGGCCTGCTCATGCAGTAGACATTCCCCACGGCTTCTCCCGAGCTGACCACTCACCTGCTGTGGGTGCTGACGGTAGCTCGGCCACCAGGCCACAGAAATAGGGTGATGGGTAGGAAAAAGCCCAGAATTGTTATAGATACAGCCAGACCAAGTCTCCAGCCCCATAACATCCTTAGAGAGGCTTTGCCCCTCACCCCTTGTGGCCTTGGCTCTCTCCATCTCTTCTGGAAGCCAAGGGAATTTACTGAGGAATGGATGTGCTCATTCATATGGCTCAAGACTTTCTTCCTCTAACAGAGACCTAGTTCTACATCTTCTCTTTCACGCAATCTTCTCCATATCCTATACCAGCAGCCATGTATGGTGCCACACGGCTTTACCCCTAGCACTCGGGAGGCCAAGGACAGCCGGGGGTAAACAAACAAAAACAAAAAGGGATATCTTCACATGAGACATCAATCACCAAAGGAGCTTACGGCCATTTTACAGCAGTGAACGGATTTAACACAGCAATCAAAGTCAGGACTGCCAAGACTGAAGTACATCAGTGACAAGTATCCCCAGTTATAGAGAACCACGAATGCTAACACACCAGTGCCACTCCTGCCCCAAACCACGGCCTGACCCTACGACATAAAGGCTTCTACAGAGTACCCAGTCCAGTCTGCACTGGGCCAACGTCTGTGGTGGAACTATTTTGGAAACAGACAGAAGTGACTTATTCTGAATTTGATAAATGCCACAGAACCAGCTACACACTTAAAGGGACTCATATTACATGATATGAATTTATCCTCAATGTAAAATAATGTATATCATGACAAACTTAGGCCTGAGGAACTGCTAGAAGTGGGGTAAAGCAGAGACAGAGTGTGGGGTTCCTGAAGCCAAAGGGGCAAGAAAGGGTCCTCAAGCAAGCCCTGAAGTAGACAGAGGGCAGCCGTCTCCACAGGGCTGATTTTAAAGGAAGAACGGGTTTCATAATGCTGTATGTGTAAGTTGGTCCGAAACTCCTAGGCTCAAGTGATCTCCCCACCGCAGCCTCCTGGTTAGTTATGCTCCACCAAGCAGACTTCAAGTTTCCCTCTTTTCCTTTTTTAAGTTTTTTGAGGCAGGGTTTCTCTGTGTAGCCCTGGCTGTCCTGGAACTCAGAGAGCAGAGATCTGCCTCCCAAGTGCTGAGATTAAAGGGGTGCGCCACTACTGCCCAGCCCTCTTTCCTTTTTAAAAATATTTTCTTAAAAGAGTTTTGTTGTTATGGTTGTAAGATATTTATCTCTGGCACTCGATGTCATTTAGAAGATACACAATTTTGCTGGTTTTTATAGGTATGAAATTATTTCACAATGAAGACAGATTTTGCACTATAAACTGGAATACTGAATTACAATGAAAAGTTGAGAACCGCAATGTGTAGTAATGCAGACTAAAAATTTTATACATCAACAGTACATGGCAATGCGAGATGGTTTCACATGACCCTGGACCATCCACAAACCTGTGTGGTATCACTGCGTAGTAGTACAGGACTTCTCCATGGAACTGCTACCTTTGCCAATGGAGTTTATTTCATGTTTCCACCACAGAGATGCAATAGTTTTTACATAATGAGGACAAGAATCAGGTAGAACATGAGATTTAACACCCCTGCAATGTCACATACACAGGCGTGTGCTTCCCTTGGCAGTCCCTGGCCAGACCTTTCTTGCAGCAGTCAGGACAGCAGAGGCGACTCATTTTCAGGGCTGGCACTGCAAGGTGATGAGAGACTGGATGTACCACACTGCCTTGGATTCATCCAAAGCCGGGACCACAGGTTATGGCACCCACCTGGTAAGGAAGGTGTCAGTACTGATACTCAGCAGAGGTTTGACACGCTGAGACAGCAGCCCAAGCTTGGTCGGAAGGTTATGCAGAAACAGGACAACTTATTTTTTTCTCTCCGCCAAGGATTTCCCCCTTCTCCGACAAAGCCTCAATCTGGACCTCAAAGTGAGGTGGAGGGACAGAGCAAGTCACCACAGCCACCAGGAGGGTCAGCTTTGAGTGTAGAAAGGAAACAATCCAAGTAACTTGATGCATGAAACAGGTCTGAGTGCTTCTATTTCTAGGAGTCTTGAAGGCAAAATTCTGCAGCACGAGGTTCACAGGTGTGCATGCATACCCGTGTCTCACGCTCAAGAGGGCAGGCACTGGGCTTCACTGGAACCTTCTGTGGAGTGTGATCTGTGAGCACTCACCAACAGCCCAGCATGAATATAGGAGGCCTAAGACTCCCAAGGGAGGCAGAGACCCCCAAGGCTTGTGAGACGCCTGGGATAAGACCCCAGTGTCAGCAGAGTTGGCTAGCACCCCTACAGCAGGCTCTCCACAGCTGGCCAGATGACACTAGCTCACACCCTTGTACTATAGCCTAGCCCACAGTCGTAAACAGCTTCCTGTTGTGACCCACAGCACACACATATTCACAACCCAAAGCCTTTGGAACATCATTCAGCAGGAAATGTATTAAAAGATGGTTTTTGCTGGGCATGGTGGTGTATGTATTTAATCCTAACCCTGGCATTCAGGAGTCAGAGGTGGATGGATCTCTGTAGGCTGGAGGCTAACCAGGGTTACACAGAGAGACCTTGCCTCAAATCTATCTCAATAAGAGAAGTTTTTAAGAACATGGACGAGCAGACTGGACAAGCCAGCTCCAGCGCAGCTGCTACACACACAGAAAGCAAACCCGATAGCACCCTATCGTCTGCATTTTTATCCAGTTCTTACAGAAACCATGAGTAGATGCTCGTCTGCTTTACAAAGAGAAACTAAGGCTAACAAACTGTCCATGCTTTGGCAGTAGGTCAAGCAGGGGTTGGAATACACACTGGGGTTAGACAAGTGCTGCCACTAAATTCCATCACCTCAGCTGAAGAATCCCAGGTGTCCTTTATCCCACACTGTAGCTGCTGCCTTTCTCAGGAGGGCTTCTGGTACGCCGCCTCCGTGGTAGCAACCGTTATTCCCCTGCTTTTCGTTGACCATGAGGTCGTAAAGAATCTCGGGCCCCTGCGTTGTGTGCATCAGGAGTGACGGGCAGAGAGGGATCTGTGGCTTCTCTTCTTTGTTCAAGCCGTAACTTCCTTCTGAGGAGGAAATGAGGAGGTGCAGGCCCTGGTTCTGGAAAGCTGCTCCATGGCTTCTTTCCTTTCTCTCTGAAATAAGGGTTTCGCTGTGCAGCCTAGGCTTGTCTTGAACTGGACTCAAGTCACGCTCCTGCCCTGTGTGTTGGGACTACAGACACAAACCACTGTACCTGGCTCTTTATGAATTCTTCATTTTTTGAGGTAGGGTCTCATGTACCAGATGCTGCTAACCTTGAGCTCTGTATACAGCCACAAATGACCTTGATTGACCCTCTTGCCTCTACTTCTAACCCTGCTGGGATGGCAGGTGTAAACCTCCATGCTTGAGCTCACGTAGTCAAGAATCAGTCCCGTGAATGACGAAGCCCCAGTGGAAAATGAGGGTCAGGACACTGCCCGTGGCTGCGCTGCTCAAGCACTGTGGGCCTGCAGAACTCATGGGGTGCTCCTCACAGGAAGGCTGGTTCCTTGGTTTTACCCCTCTCTTGCTGGCTCTTCAATAAGGTAGCCTTGGCCAAGACAGGCTTGAATGGCATGTTGAAGGATCATCAGAAGCTGTTTTATACATACCAGGTTTCCTTGGAATTCATTTGTGGGAGGGACCACACACAGGAGTGGGGAGTGGTTGATCAGTGGGAGCACCTGCTGGTCTCGGATACCACATGCCGTGAACTGGGCAGCACCCATCACTACTCCAGCAGAGCTGACCTGAAGGCCCATCCCCATAACTCTGAACCACTTGTGTGCTTTGGCTAGTTCAACCTTTGAAACTGGTGCACTTGGTTTTGAAAGAAGAGAAATGGAAAACTTATTAGTCTGTTTTGGAGAGTCCAGTCCAAGTCCATCCATCCGCCTGGAGTGGGGCTGTCTGTGATGCCAGTCTAGCACAGGTATTCCTTAGTAAGCACCTGGTAGTTTGGCTCATTTCTCATCAGGATATGATGTGCTGAGTCACAATGAGCAAAAGCGGGCCATCCTTTAACTCTTGCAAGGTCCAAGTGTTACAACGATGAAAAGGCATTAAGAAGAAGCACGGCTCATATTTCTAATTTGGTGTGTATCCTATATGCATGTCACCAAGCCCGTGTAAATAAGCAGAGATGGGCAAAAACATGGGATCACCCAGTGCAACTGGCCATGTCCTCTTGACTCCTATGCTCCAGAGTTCCCATTCTGAACGGCGGGATCCAAAGGCTTCCTTACCAGTGGGGACCACTGAGAAAGATCAGTTACTACATCTCAAGAAACCAGAAGGGCTCAGAGGCAGAATCACTTGTTGACACACATGGCTTGGTCATTGCGTTCTCAGAAAAGTGTTCCTTGTCTCAAGAGAAAATGAAACAGGCCACTCTGCGGCAGTACTGTCTTGAGTCCCCTTTGCTTTAGTTTGAGCACTGGGACTTGTAATGCAGAGGCAAACTCAAATGAGACCTGGGACATAAGCTGGGAGCAAGCCTGTTTAGAGGGTGAGCTGTTGTTTCAGGACTCAGACTCCTGTAGTGCCACCTGCTGCATTCCTTAGAAACTCCATAGGAAAAGCAAAAGCCGCTTACAAATGCCCTTGAAGGCTATTTCCTGAGTTCCAGTCTTGAGAAGCAAAGTGTGTGTGTGTTTGTGGGGGAGAAGGGAGAGAGGAGACAGAGGGAGGGAGAGGAGAGAGAATGGCAGCAACAGAAACCATAGCTGTAATGTTGCTGTCTGCTGCCCAGTGGGTCCATCCTGAGTATCTGAGCAAGGCTAGACCGTTCTAACCTACTGAACCTGGAACAGGCCACACCTCTTTCATATATACCTAGAGAACTATAAATAAAATTTAAAAGGTACCTGGAGAACAAATGCTATGAATTTGATCTAAAAAAAGTCTATATGTAAATATTTAAAATTATGTGTAACCCCCCCCCGCCCCACTAGGACCTCTGCCTAGCACAACAGAGGCAAGTCAAAGCCAACTGAGGTAGGGAAGGTGGACGAGTCCTCAGCTAAATACCCCAGGGTTGCCTCCTCTGTCATCTCTTGATACCATCAGCTAGAACCCCCCACAGCAGCACTCTAGAACTGTGGTTAAGGACTCTAGGCACCCAGTTTTCCAGTTTTGCTCTGCTGGGCAGGCTCTGGCCTATACTCCAGAGTGAGGGACCTCTTGGAGCCACAGAACACCACCCAACACACACACACACACAGCATTCTGACTGTAGAAAGGTCATCAATACCCTTTAAGAACAAAATGAAACTCCTTCACCCTGCAGCCTGATGCTACCCACCCTTGTGCGTAGGTCCTGGGGAGAGAGGAGCAGAAACGGAGGTTTGGAAAAGGTTTATTGCATTGTTTCCGTGTGGAAGCACTGACAGAGTTGGGAAGAGGCAGCATGTCCCACTGACTTGTGAAAAAGCACAGGGCTACATTAACTTTCTTCCTACCCAGGACTAGAGTGAAAAACCTTATCCCCACCCCCACCCCAAGCAAAAGCTAAAAAGGGAGATTTGTGGTGACTGCTTTAAAACCACTGGTGAGGAGGACTTCACGGTGCTCAGGGTCTCAGTGGGAGGAGTGTTCAAGAATAGTCTTCTCTCAGCACCTCCTACAGGCCTGGTCCTTCCCCAGCGACTCTGCACAGGAAATGCCTCCCAATGGGAGAGCTAGTCTGCCTGTCTAACATCTACAAACCACCTCCCAGGCTAAACATAAGACACAGGTCTGTGCACATTTGGAGGGCTTTAAACTCCAGAAAATATATGCTTGTGACAGCCTTAAAAATGAGATGATCCTGATAGCTGGCCTGCCTGTTTCCCTAGGAATGAACACAGCTTGATTGACATCTTTGCTGGGAATGGGTGGGAACTGGAATAGGAAGTAGTTGTAAAACGCAGGGGGAAAGAAATTGTGTTCTTCCTCTTGTGATTGTATAAGGCATTTTTGACCTGGAAAACATCTCTCCTTCATAGTTTTCCAAAAAGCCAGAGGGACATAATTGCTGACTCAGGATTCAAAGCCCCCCCCCTTACCTCTCCCACCTCACCCAAATCATTTTGTACATCCATGACTGGCAATTAATTTTGAGGATGGGGCAAACTGTGTTCACTTGGACAAGAAGCCACTGCACCAAGGACCCTTCTGAAGGCTCCAGCCCCCATCTTGCCATTCTTAGGCCTCAAAGGGTTAGCATCATCTTCCATGAGGTTCTGAGTCCTTGTGGGCGGGAGGTCAGGGCCCTCTTAGCTTTCCTACTGGGCCAGTTCATCCATGTACAGCGTCAGGGGCTTTCAATTAGTGGAAGGGGTAGTGCCTGGGCGGCGCCCTGAACGTTAGTCATGCTGACAGACAGCAGAGAGGAAACAGAGGCCAGAAAGGAAAGAGAGCAGCTTCACTCATCAGAGAATTGAAAATGATTTTTTTTTTTAAAAATAAAACATGGGAACTTTTTTTTCTCTGCAATGCTCAGCCATTTTTCTGGAGACATAAAAAAGTCTTAAGAGTAGTCACTTTGTTTTGTTTTTGGCCTAAACATTCACGAGAGCTGATGGGACGGTGCCATGATGTGGTGAGTGGCAATGCTGGTCAGGGTCCTTCAGACCACATATTGGTACGGGTCTGCCTTCCCTTGGTCTGGAGTGGCAAAGGGGCTGGCCCAGCCCAGAGAGAAAGGGTGGCCAAAAACAGCTTTCATGTTCATCCACTTTGTTTTTTTAGCCCATCTTCTCTCTTCCTTTTTCAATTGTTCTATTCCCTGAAAACAAGAACAATCATACTTTCAGTCAAGCACTCCACTGCTGTAGTTTGGGAGGGATGTCCACATGCCTCCGATGACCAGAGCGAACACTTCTTTTTCAGGGCAGTAGACTCTACCTACATGAAGCAGCTTTCTTCTGTCTCCCTTAAGAAGAGTCACACATTTACAAGCCCCCAAGGAGGAAGAGGCAATGAGCTCTCAGCAGGCACCTGGGCCACTGCTGCCAACAAGACCGCCACCGACTAGTCAAAGGGTCCTGGCTGGGTCAGGGAGTGCTCCAAGGCACCCATGCACACAAAGGCTTTGGTGCAGGAGCTCAAACTTCTGACAGCCAATGGCGGGTGCTGGAACTCAAACTTCTGACAACCAATGGCGGGTGCTGGTGTGGGAAAGATGTATAGGAGACTAAAGCTACAATGACCACTTTGCAGGAGAAAAAAAAGAGAGTGAGAGAGCGAGCAGCAGATAAAGGGTCTGCCCTGCCCTGGTGCTGTCTCACCAGCCCAGAGGCTCAAGAAGTAGCCAGTGGGCAGGCTGGGGAAACACAAGTAGAGAGGGTGAGACAGCAAGAGGCAGATTGAGGGGAAGAGTCCCCACACGAGGAAGAAGAAACTAGGGCAGGTTAGAGGGAAGGCGCTTGTAGCCTCCTCAGTCACAGTGAGGAAGGGAGGAGGGCCCTCCCGAGTTCCCTCAGGGAGAAGCAGAGGCCAGGGCAGTTCTCATAGCTTGTGCCACTTTCTCTGCCAAGTCTCAGGGGGGAAAAATCAGGGAGTGGGAAGAGAGTTTCCTTCCTCGCCTTCAAATAGAGCTGCTGAGATGTCAGAGCAGCAGAGCAGGGGCTGTGTGTAGGCTACAAGTCTCTGCCCATGTTTTCACAGCCCAGGGACCTGGAAGAATCAGGTAAGGAGGAGGGTGCTCTGTCCCCAAGAGCCCCAGGACTTTGTTTCTTTCTAACACAATTCTCCTTAGGGGCGGGCAGTCCTGACGAGGAAGAACAGCAGCTAGGACCAGACTGTCACTTTACCTTCTGCCCCCGGAACATGCTCTGGGGGGCCTGGAAGGGCTCCCCACATGGGCAGAGCCTAACAGTCACATTTGGTTCTCTATAGGTCTTCTGTGGAGCAGCTGGTCCCATTTACCAGTTGGATATATGGATGGATACACACCAAGGTTACTACGTTTAACAAATCTTTTGCAGTGACATGAATTCTTATAAATGGCACAGTGGTTGAAAACATCAGGAACCATCTAGAAACACAATGGCACTCTGGCAGTGGGCAGCACTGTCCCCTCTCTGCTTCTAGATCCACAGAGCAGAAGCACCGAAGCCATTCTCCATCTAATACTGGTTATGGAAGAGCATGGGCTCCAGACCACAGCTGAAAGGGTCTCTCTGGGGAGGTAGGTGAGCAGCACTCAGACAGCCAGGAGCAAGCAAGAGGGTGAACCCAGGGCCCCATGAATCTTCTGCACATTCATGCCAAGGGGCTGCCCACCCCATCTTCTAGACCCCAAAGCACGAAAGTCAAGAAGTGTTACATCACGGAAGGCCAGGAGTTGGCGGTAGAACATGAGCTGAGTGGCGGAGAGGGCAAGGGGATGAAATGAGCAAGAACCAGAATGTGCTGCCCTGGGAGGCTCAAGGCAGATTGGTCTCCTGGATCCAGTCATGAAGCGAGCTCTAGAATCTGACGTCTAGAGCCTTGTGGGGAGGGCAAGACCCTGGCAGAATGCCCTCTCGAGAGGGCGCAACGTGTAGTAAAGAAGGAACTGTGTTGAAGGCAGCCTTCTGGCTACGGCTGCAGACAAGGCCATTGCACGTGGCCCTGCACCCTGAGCCCTGAGTGCTGACGCCCTGCTTACCGTCTCGTCTGTGCAGATGGAGTGCACCTGGGTCCCGAACATCACTGACGTGAAGATGAGGAAGAGCAGGGCCTCAAAGCACAGCAGGATGAGCAGGATGACCGTGGTGGGCGGCGAGAAAGAGCTGCACTCTGAAAGGGAAGCGGCACGGGGATGGCAACGGCTGCACGGCTCCTGCCACCCCGCCAGGCCCTCCAGTCCTATCCTTTCGCCTCTTACTCTCTCAAGAGGTCCCGAGAGACTGGGTCCAGCGGGGATTCCTCTTCCCTAACTACTGTGCCTTAGCTCATGCCCGCAGGCCCCAGAGTGGATTTCCTTGGAAGAAGACTGTTAGGCCTCTCCCCAGAGAGCAGAGAAGGAATGTGCCCTCAGAAGCCCCTGTCCTGTCCTGGTCTGATCTTTCCTGGACAGGTTCCCCCACTCCCAGCCACCCCATACTTCCTTTGAGTCCCAGGAAAGAGACTTGGGTAGGTCCAGGAGTACCTGGTAGTTTGGGGGCTTAAAAGCAGACTACTTGCCAAGGAGGAGCCTAACCAGTGTATGGAAATGCCTGTTCTTGTCACGGGCATCTGTGTACCTGAGATGGTCAGTCTCTTGCTGGAGTTTTTACTATTTTGCTCCTGGGGGTGGGGGAAGGCACTCACCCACCCTTGCACTGTAAAGCAGTGATAATGTGACTACTGTGTGGCTTCTGAGCAGTGGACTCCTCTGTCTGAACAGAGCCTAACTCAAACACCAGTCTCTTAGGTGCTGAGGGAGATGGTGTTTGAACAGAGATGGGAAATGTGCCCCACACATGTGGTATACTCCACCCGGCAACAGCACTGGTGATGTGGTGCAGCGTCTTGGTTTGGCTTGTGCGGGTTAGGCCTGCTTCCTCTGAGAGAGAGGCTGCAAGGATCTTGACTATCCAGGGAGGTGGGGTGTGTTGGGGAGACTGCAATGGAACACCTCATATGAAATGCCTTCCTTTTTTCTGGCTTCCCTGGAACTTACACCTTCACATGAATTCTCTTCTTTTTAATCTTATTTTTACGTATACTTATTTTCTGTCTACTACTTGAATGTCTGATGCCTGGGCCATATCCACTGAAACTGGTAGACTGTCTTCTTTATGTCTAGATGGGGAGAACCTGGTCTTGGCAGCCTACTAGACAGAGGAGACAGCTGTGGATAACTACAAGCAAGGGACTCCCTGCCTGTAGTGGTGAAGGGTTTGGGAAGGAGTAGGGCTCTCAAGTCTGACAGTCATGGGTATGGGACAAGAGCCTGACCGTGAGCTCTGACTATGAAGGCTCTAACATCGTGCTCTTTGGGAGAAGACTGTTAGGCCTCTCCCCACAGAGCAGAGAAGGAATGTGCCTTTCCTACCTCTCCATGTGAAATTGGAATTGCCCCCTTTTTTCCTTACCTGACTCTACCTCTCCAACTACACCCTACTCTTCAGACTCCAGGCAGCAAGTTACCTTATTTTCTCACTCCCATACAGTTTTGGAATGGTGCCCAACCATAGGTCTCTGGGCATGAAGCTTGGGCATCCTGAGACTTAATTTCCCTTCAGTACAGGTGAATGGATAAGAACATCTGTATAGCTCACTCCAGCTGTGTGGTGTGGTGTGGTGTGGGGTGTGTGTGTGCGTGTGTGTGTGTGTGTGTGTGTGTGTGTGTGTGTGTGTGTGTGTGAACCAGCATGCGAGCTCATACAAGATGGACGGCACACCCTTCGCAGCTGCACTGTTACTAGGGGCAGAGCCAGGGAGGCTCACCACTCCCTTTCCTTCTTGTCCCAGGCTCTGAGAATTCCAAATAGGATTTGGAATGGCAGGATCCAGGCCCAAGAAATGTACAAGTCCCCCACTCTTCTTTGAATGTTAACTCAGAGCACCCATCCTAGGGCACAGTTCCTTGAGCCCTCATACAAAATCTATTATGGGCTCAACAGCTTAGCCAGAGCCAAGCAAGGACGACATATCACCCATGGGCAATTTTCAGGTTTCTACTTTGGGGACTGCCTTCCCAGCCTTGCTACCCTAGAAATGAATGTCTGGAGTCTATTCCGTTAGGAATCTGGTTGGGTGGACCCTGTGCATTGGAGACATCAGACAAGGTTTGACACCAAGACTTGAACTTCAGGTGAGAGGTCTTAGTACAATGCTCATAGTCTGACCCCAGCTTTTGTCACATATAAATTAGGAGCATTTTCCTATCCTGAAGCTTGTGGGGTCTAAATAAAGCAATAGTCAAAATAGACCCTGCACATTGCCTGGCTTCCAGTGGGCTCTAACCGTCCTGTCAGCACCACTACAAGGCAAAGACAGTCAGTCACTCCTGTGACAGTCTGGGTTATGCAGTCATTGCCCACAGTTAACCTGACACAGGAAAGAGGTTTGTGATGATAAAATGACCTCGTTAGACACCTTATATCAAGTTAAAGCCACACCAGAATTGACCTGGACTGTCAGGCTAGCAGAATACATGCACTTTCAGAATGCTCACTAAGTGTGCAGGGACTGGTTAGACTCACTCAGTTCTGCAGATGGTATCCTGCTTGACCCTGTCGCCCTCTCAGAACTGCGGTGGGCACAGAGAGGGCAAGAGTGAAGATGTAGAAGGAAGAGGGCGCTCGCCAATGGCAGAATTGGAAGCCAGTTCTCTGCTTGGGACATCTATCTGCCTTGCAGGTTCTGAGGTCAAAGATCTCGCCCAGCGTGTGGCTGCTCATTATTTTTTGCTCTTCCACCCCAGCCCCCATTTTCTCCCCCATATTAGTCTCCTGGCTAAACTCTATTCCTCAGCATGTGCACATTTAAATGGAATACTTGTGAAACAGGGAGACATTATGTAAGATCTTTAAGTATCATCAAGACAAGCAATAACTACTGACAAGAACTACTACTTCCACCATCACCACTACTACACACACAAAGAGAAACACAATGGCCTTGATTGCAGCACCCTGTTTAGAGACGGGGTATCGCTTAGGAGAGGAGAGCTTGCCTGGTAGAGCCCTGGATTCCACCCCATCAGTGACAAGAGTAAAACAGGTGCCTTGCAGTCCCAGACTCAAAGCTCTTTCACCTCTGCCCTTCTTAGGAGCCTGGCCTCTGCTCACTTGGGCCTGCAGTCTCCTGGGACATGCTCAGTTTGCTGCCTACTCAACTTACTATATTGTCTGTCTAACCTGAAGGGGCTGCCTTTTGTCTCTTTTGACCTGATCAGTCTGTAAGCTTTCAGAAGATCTAATAAAATAAGTCTGGGCCTGAAAAGGGGATAGAGCCCCCCCCATCCACTCAGGTCCTAACCCTCTCCTCTCTACAGCAGGGAGAGAAACCCTGGCAATACTTACTTGTCCAGTCTTCTTCAAAGCAATGCAGGAAGTGGAATCCCACCATGATGAGGGCGTGCAAGGAAATGAGAGCTATGTACATCTGAAACAGGAAAGCAGTGCTGAGCCATTATTGGGAGAATGTCCTAAGTATGCAGTCTCCTTGTGCAGGCTACTCAGAACATGTGCTACAGGGACACTTTGCTAGGTTGAGGCCAGAAAATTATCTGTGATTCTTCCTGCCCACAGACCCCCTACTTCCGCTTTGAGTGGGACGTTATCAGTCATTCTCCAGGAATGTGTGGGCCCGGAACAGACACACAGCCTAAACATAGGTGTGACTCGGGCTGTGTGGGGCACACAGGGCCTGCTGAGGCTTCTAATGTAAGGTCAGAGTGCCAACTATTCTCCACCTTACTCACCTGCAGCTCAGAGCTTGAGGTCACCAGCAACACTGCCACCTTTAGCTGTGTGGGACTAATGCTTGAGTGATACCCAGAACACAGCGCTGCCTCCAGCTACTCAAATCAGCTGTACATGCACAAGCCAAGGACTCTTGCTGAGCCAGAGAGGCCCAAAGTGAGAAGGCAGTGTTCTCAACAGCAGCAAAAACTGCTAAGAGTGCTGAGATTTTCCAAAGAGCAAGAGTTCCACTGCCTCGTGGAGGCGGGTGGAATTCAGAAGCTGACTTACTGTAAACAGGACGAAGTACTTCTGGTTGTTCTCGCCCACACAGTTGTTGACCCAAGGACAGTGGTGGTCCATCTTTCGAATGCACCGTTTACAAACACTGAAATGACCACAATCAGACTTTGAGCAGGAGTGGTCACCACATAGTTTGGAAACAACCACTGCACACGTAACGAGCCTCTTCCACCCTGCTTTCAATGCATGCTGAGTCAGCGAGGGCTCGGGGTAACCCAGAGGGGAACAAGGGAGCGTCTGTGGCTCCGGCTAAACACCTCTGGGTACCAGCAGTAGTGGCACTGGGTTTGTGCTTGAAGAAGTCTGGAAGGCAGAGTCAGGACCTCCAGAGTCAAGTCATTCCCCACAACGGCAGAAGCTTCTGAGGCATCTGCACATATTAAAAGGCTAGAACTGGCCCAGGAAAGAGGCTGTTCTGAAGTCTCAAAAAACTTAGTTGGGTTTCCTGTGGAGGCCAAAGTAAGATGAGTTTGGGAAATGTTATATATGACAGGACATTGGGGGGGGGCTGGCAGAAGTTCTAAAAGCTCTACCAAGCACTAGCAGAGATGGAGCATACTTTTTCGAGCTGTAGGAACTGTAGAAGCTTGGCAGACTCGGGTCTGCTGGGTTACCTTAGCCATACAGGTGGTGGGTTCCTATCAGTTTGTCTCAGCTGAGCAGAGGTTTCACATTGCTCTTCCCATCATTGCAAGGGCCTCACAACACAGGCATGCTGCCAACAGGCAGTGCTCACAAATGCTAGCCTGGCTCCATGATCTCCAGGAGCAGGAAGGCAAAGCAAGAAACAGAGGTCCTACATAGACGCAGAAGAAAACAGTCGGGACCAGCAACTATACCACTGGTCTGTCTACTCTGCCTTTTCTGTTACCAGTTCTAAAAATACACACAAAAACACATGTGAAATTATGTGCATGATACATTAATACTCCCCCCCCCCAAAAAAAAAACAAGGTTTGTTTGTATAGTCCTGGAACTTGCTGGTAGACCAGGATGACCTCAAACTCAAGAGATCCACCTGCCTCTGCCTGCTGAGTACTGGGATTAAAATTGTGTGCCACCAGACCTGGCCTTCCCATACATCATTTTAAAGCAGATAAGCAGTGTAGAGCAGTCTGTTCGCTGTGTCACAGGCCTCTGCTCCCTGGGGTGGAGTGACTCACCACATCCTACTTCTTATCTTATGGGCATGTCTTCCCATACAATGAGCTCTAGGGCCCTTAATGCTCTTTTCATCTGCAGAACAAACTCCCAGAGTATCCGCTCCTTGTCTAGGCTGAGCAGGTCCCCGTCCACCCTCTTTATTTCTAGGGAGGCTTTTGAGTGCATGCTCAAGAGTCAGAGAGGGCGTCACTATAGAGGCTCCACGTGGCCTCTGGCTCTGCAGGCTACAGGGATTTTAGGCAAGTTCTCACAGCAAACCGTCCTTCACACTATGAAGAGACCAGGTGGCTGGGTTTCACAAGGGGCTAAAGTGCACTGGGCAACCAGGTTACACAAACACATGCTTGAGGGAGCAGGGAAAGTGACTACAGCCCTTCAGAGTTGCATAAGTGGGTGGGTCCAAGCTGCTTCCTGTTTTCAAGGATATTAAGTGGCAAAGCAACACTTCTCCCTAGGTCAGAACGCTTCACACAAGGCAGGGCTCCAGGGGGCACAGCTACAAAGGCTGAGGGTGAAGCAACAGTCACTGAACATACCAAATGCTCTATCTGGAGGTATTTTCTGGTGCTGTGCCTTCTAGATTCCCCTCACTCCTATCCTTTATACCATTGCCACTTTTCAGCACCCAAATCCTAGGAGACATTCACAAGCTCTTTGGTTTATATGCATTTACACATCTCTTGTGTTAAGGACCCATCTTTGGTGCCATTAAGCAGCTAGCATAAATTCTCTCACCTATCCTGGGTGCTAGACCAACATTAGAGACATAAATCCTTGCAGCACCACTTACCGCATTGTCATAAGTATGCCTGCCCTGCCTGGGTGAAGAGACTCTGGACTTAGGGCTATTTCTAGCCCACCTCTAGAGCTAGAGTTGAGCCCATCACTTAGCCTGGCTGGGTCTGAGCATGAAGGCTAGAGCTCAGACAAGATAAGCAGACCTAGAAAATGGGTGGAACCATAATGGACTAGGGTGAGACCTAGGGAGTCATGATTTCATATATAAGTTTTCACTACACATCTCACTGGTTGATAGAATTGTAGGCAAACTAACAGCATCCTACACTCTAGCCTAAAACAGTTCTGAGGAGACAGTGCAGCCAAGGGAAGAACAGAACAGGGATCTGAGGATCAATTTCCATTCTGTGTGTGGGCAAAGAAACAGGCCCTCCACGGGTCACATGCAGATATGTTTGGTGACTGTGAGACTAAGCAACAGGAGTCAGTCAGGGTTCTAGGAAGTTGATGAGGGCTCAGCCTCTGTGTGCAGATGTGTATGCACACGGGGGGGGGGGGAGAGGGAGACAGAGGAAGACAGAGGGAGAGGAAGAGAGGGAGAGTTATAGGGAGCATGGAGTGTTAGAGGCCCAACCAAGGCCAGACTCTGCCTCCCCTGGGAACCTATCATATAGCCCAAGGCCTTGGCTCTACATTAACATACACCCCTACAGGGTTTCCACATGCTTCCCTGGCACCTATAAACGGGAAGATTCTAACAGAATGAAAGCAGCCCGGGGTTATAGGGCTTCTCCTGGAGGGAAAGGCCCACCTACAGATGCAGGGCTAGAAGGCATACTCTAGATCAGGGGTTCTCAACCTGTGGGTAACTATGGGGTTATATTTGTTTATGATCTAATAAATAAAGCTTGCCTTAAGATCAGAGTGCAAAGCTAGTCACTAGTTAGCCATAGAGCCAGGCAGTGGGGCACACACCTTTAATCCCAGGACTAGGAAACAGAGGCAGACAGATCTCCGTTAGTTCAAGGCTACCCTGAGCTACACAAAATTGATCCAGTCTGTAAGAGAAACATAGCTCACACAAAGGTGGTCTCAGCACTAGGGATCCTACTCCTTTAATCTCACCAGCACTAGAGAGGAATCTAAGGTGGGAGGAGACAGCTCAGTGCAGTCTAAGTTTGGTGGAGAGCAGTTCAATCTGAAGGGCACTGCAGTCTAGAGATGCAATCAGGATCACCCTTTCAGTCTGAGGTATGAGGTAAGGCTGGTGGCTGCTGCTTTGCTTCTCCGATCTTCAGCTTTAAGCACAGTATCTGTCTCTGCATTTTTATTATTAAGACCAACTAGAATTCATGCTACATCTAGCGTCCAACTTTTAAGGTACAAATTCACGAGAAAAGCCGTTTGCCTGTGGCTTGGCAGCCACCTGCAAGACCAGAGCTACATGTGGTTGGAGTTACTGCCAACCTTTCTTCTCGCCTGGTGGGCATTCCCTGGACCCCCTTCTCAGACTGCTGCAAACGAGGTAGCTGCCTTGAAATTCAGTCAGGCTTTTACTGTTCTACACAACAGCATCAGCCTCACATCTTCATCATCATTGTTGGCAGATTTGTTGAGAAAATTGGGAATTCTTAAAGGGAGGAATTAGTTAAAACAGAGTTTTTCCCCACATTAAAAAATGAGAAACACTATTACAATGGAGAGTTAGGTCTCTGTTTGACTACACAATGGTTTAAAATTAGAATAATTAAATGATTAACTTAACTGGGATTGACATTATCATTTTGATAATCCTTGCTGTTGGTTTGATAATTCTTGGTTTATCTCTAAAAAAGTTGGTTGATATGAGTGCCAAGATACAGGCCATAGAAAACCTTATTAGAACAGATTGCGGAGATATTCAAACCCAGACAGGAATTTAAAGGAGAGCCAATTTTAGCATTACATTATAAGGTTAGAGAGGAACAGCCTAAGGTCTTCAAACAACCAACCTTAATATATAACCTTACAGGAATTGCCAAATGATAGAGGCTCTGTAAGAGCTAATTGGACTCCTGCGGAATGTTAGGTTTAAGAAGATTCAGGAAAGTGATAGTCACATATGGCATGCATTCACCATTTGTGGCAACTTGCAATAGAATTATCCCTAGAGACTGTAGAGACTGGGTTACAGCTGTTTTAGAGCCTGATCTTCAATTACAGTGGAGCGCCTAGTTCAAAGGAAAGGCTAAGACAACTGAACAACGGAGCAGAGCTAGAGGTATGGAAATCTCCCAAGACCAACTTCTTGGAGAAGGAGATTATGCTACTACAGAAAGGCAGTCTTGCCGGGCAGTGGTGGCGCATGCCTTTAATCCCAGCACTCGGGAGGGAGAGGCAGGTGGATCTCTGTGAGTTCGAGGCCGAGCTGGACTGACAGCCTCTGAAACAATACAGAGAAACCCTGTCTCGTAAAACCAAAAAAAAAAAAGAAAAGAAAAAGAAAAAGAAAGGCAGTCTCTAAGTGATGACCACACCCTGGCTTTATGCCACACAGCAGCTTTGGAAGCTTTGGGCAGAATTTGAGAAGTAGGAAAAAAGACTAAGTTATTTACTAAAGTCATACAAGGCCAGGAAGAAACCTTCACTGATTGTAGCAAACAAGTTCACTTTAAAGGGGTCTATAAACAGGGCGTTCCTAGAAACAATGTTTTTATCTAAGCATAATTCACACAGAATGCTCCTACCTTCTGGACTATACAGAAGATGTGGCAAAGAAAGGCATTGGACTAATGAATGAAAATCAACAAGGGACACTCAAGGTAACCTTTCCCAGTCGGAAAACTCCTTAAGGGGCCTCTCTCTAAGGCCCCTATGCCTAATGCAGTTCAGTCATTTCCTGTCACCATGGAAACTCTTTCAAAGAGCAATGAAAGAACCTAATACCAATTGTAAGAAAACATACTGCTCTGGATGATAGAACAGCTACAGAAAAGGGACCAAAAAATTCAGGAGGAACCATAAATCAAAATTGATAAAAATTAGATTAGGAACTTTCCCAAAGTTAGGAATTTAAGATCTTTAAATAAATAAGCACTGAAAAAGAAATAATCTGACCAAATGTGATGTCTGAAGTCTCCAAAAAGAAGATGGAATTCAACAATGACAACTCCACCAGGACTGTAGTAACACCACTAAGCTGAAAAACATCAACTCAAGATTGGCTTTGCACTACAAACTGCTTACAATAATTTTGAAGTGGCTAGCTGAGATGATCTAGCCTCACAGACCACTCTATCCAGGATTTGTCACAAGCCCTGCACTTTCTCATTATGCACAGACGGGACAACAAATGATACAGCTACCTCTCCCAGGGCAACTAACCCAAATTTTTCCTTTTAGGATCCACTAAAGATACCACTGCCCCCAGACAACAGGAAGTAAATTTAAGACTATGATGTCCACATTCCAAAGAGGTGGGGTGGGTGATTTCTGATCATTCAATAGGTTATGGATATCTGTCATTGTTTAGGGGGATTGGTTACAAGTCATTATTGGTAATGGTCAGGAAAAAAGCTAAACAAAGGAGATTAGATGCAGGATTCTTGTTTTGAAAGGAAAAAAGGTGGATACAGTTATGATAGGATGAAACGGTTAGACTATTGAATCTACTTCTAAAAACCAATTACTAGTTTTAAATATTTTACATTGGGTTAGACTTTTGTATATTGTATTCAAATTTTGTATATTGATGCAAGTTTGTTAAAACATACTGTACATACGTTTCTACTCTTGTTCAAGGTATTTTACCTATACAGCTCACATATCATTGCAGTTAATGCAAATTTCTATTCCTTGAAAGTTATTATTACCAACTGTTTAGGATAATAAGGAAATGCGGATTAATAATTAGTCACCTATTACAATCGAGCTTGTAGTCACATTAGGTATGTTTTCAAGGTCAAACAGATGTTTAAAAACACAGGTTGTCTTCAAACACTTCAGAGATCTACAGACTATGGCATTTAAGATGTTTTAATAACAGGTTTACAGAGGGGAAAAGCATGTCCCACAGAGACACAAACTCAGCCTGAGTACTGCACTGGACTTAAAACACTAATCTCTCCAGCTTCAAGGTCAGGCTCCCAGGGTGGCAGAAGGGTAATAAATGCCATCTCAAGCACAAGAAGCAAACCTCAACAAACCTCAGAGGCAAATCGACTCAAGACAGATCCTCAGTACAAGCAAAGTTTCTCAGTCAGACGCTTACACAGCTGCCATTGTATGAATCCTTTTCAAACTGGAGTTCTAAGTAAAGCCAGAGCCCCACAGGATGGAGAGGCAGGACGGGCAGGATCCATTTGCTGTGTGACCTTAAAGCAGTCACTTGACACCATCTGGAGCAGCGCCACCCACAGTACCTTATCTCTAGAGTGGCCATGAAGATGGAAATAAGATCGGTGATAAGGAGAGAGGGTAGACTGGGGTTCCTGGAACACAGCAGGGACTGGGGAGCTGACTGACATCTGGTGACAAGAGGCAGAGCGATTCATACGGCTGCACAGGAAAAGACCGTCCAGCCACTCAGCCATCTCTTGCTCATGCATGACCTCTCTCCCTGCAGTATCTCAGGCTAACAAAGCTCATTCCTCCAAACCCTCCTCACTCCAAACACATAGCATGCTGTAAAGGGGCCAAATGACATTGGAGGTCTCTGCCATTTTCCACTTACAGATCCCTTGTAATGAGAAAATGCAATTTTGAGCAAGATGTCTTCTCATCAAGAAGCCTCAAAGAATCCTGGTAGCACAAAGGGAATGCCTGGAACAACTCAGAGGGAAGAGACTTCTGCCTGAGAACTGTTCCTGTCACAAGCTCTCCAAGTATTGCTTCAAGGCAGCCCTGAGCGATGCCTTTGCCTCAAGTACTGTACACTCACAGGTTTGCCAAAGCTGTGAGATTATCAGGAAATGGGGAGTTCTTCGACCTTACAGACACTGAAACAGAGGCAGCCTCAGGTGTCCCTCACACAGTCACTCCTTGCCTGCCTGGGACGATGGGCAGTCCCGGTGCCGGCCTGGGGCCGAGGAGGGTCCACGGTACCTGCAGTGGTGGGCCCGGTCAGGCTTGATGCTGCAGCACTTGGGGCACTTGTACACCACCTGCCCCGGCTTCAGCTGAAGGCTCTCGATGAACTCTTTAGTGGCATTTCCTTTGGGCACTGCCCCCTAAGAGAAGAGGGAAGGCATCAGGGTCAGCTGTCACTCTGCAGTGGAGGAGGTAACCGAGTTAAAGTCCACAAACATGGCCTCTGTGTTCCAAACCACCTCAACACAAAGAATTTCCCCCAAGGAATTGTTACTAGGCCACACTGACCCCATGATTAACCTCTTACTTTTATTTGCCAACACTGTGTTTGTTGATCTATTCTTTCCCTCCTGGGAATATCACAGTAGTAGTTTGGCTCATTGACTATTCTGATTTCTGGGAAGAGCACTGCCTTTGGGAGAGTCCACTGCTATGTGCCATATCCCACAGCTCACCTTTCCTATGCCAAAACATGCTGCTTGACATTCCCTGGATTCTGTTTTGCTTTATTTCTTTTTTACCATGGCCCTTGGGTATCTGACATGTTATTCCACGCTGATAATACACAAATACTTGGAATGCTGTTTCTAGAGTCTGTTTGGACAGAAGGACAGACAGAATACCAACTTGAACAGGGTTTCAATAGTCAGTACCACCAAGTACCTACCTAGAACTAAGCCCTGGGCTCACCGCTCATCACTACACACTCAGTTTCCAGGACTCACATTGTTTTCCTCCCATGGGCCCCCCTCCTGCTTACCTCTCTGATAGGTGCAGGGGTTTGTGTGCTGCAGAAGTTACTGTGTTAAGGGATCAGAGGAAGCTGGGTGGTGATAGTAAACACCTTTAATCCCAGCACTTAGGAAGCAGAGGCAGGTAGATCTTTGAGTTCAAGGCCACCCTGGTCTTCAGATTGAGTTCCTGGACAGCTAGGACTACTCAGAGAAACCCTGTCTCGAAAAACCCAAAGAGAGAGGCAGAAAGAGACAGAGACAGAGACAGAGATGGAGAGGGGGAGACAGAGAAAGACAGCAGAGGAAGCAGCCGCCAATAACTAATGACCACAGCACAGAAGCTTTAAGACACTAATATCTATGGGCCACTAGAGAGGGAAGGGCATGTCCAGATAGAGACATGGGAAAAGGGGAACTGCAGAGCCCATGCCCGGCCACAGGCTGGGAGGGGTTTCTTTCAAGGTGGCCCAGAGTCATCAGTGTTACAGGCAGAAGCTTAGGGCCCTGTGCTCTGTGAGCCAGATAAGAAAATGGACGGACAGAGTGACTATTGATGGTCACTAAAGACACAGCAGGAGTTTCCGGGAACCTCAGATACCAGCCATGACAGAGCTTCTAGAACAGAACTAGCTGCAGCTGTGGTTGGGGTGGTGACAGAAGGAGGAGAGAGAAGCACCACCAAGGGATGAACTTTCATCTGCTGGTAAACTGGTAAGCCACGCACAGTGCCAGAGAGGCACGGTGGGAAGGAGCTGACCAGGACAGCCAGTGTTAGCCGTGTCTCAGACACCTGCAGGACACCCAGGATGGCTGGGAACACAGTCATGCAGCAAAGAGCAGGGAGTGGCACAGCACAGGGGCACTGACTGGGCCTGCTTTCGGTCTAAGCTCCATGCTTGACAGTGGTAATGACAACAACCGGTGCCCTTACTGTGCCTGCGCTTTCTAGTAGTGAGCCAGGGCCCATTCATCCAATGCCTGGAACGATGGTGAGGGCTACACATGCAGGACGCGTATGGGAGGCACTCGGATGTACTTCGCACAGCTGTGGAGCTCTGTTGTATGCCCAGACTCTAAGCAGCTCTGCTGTGCAAAGATAGCAAGGAGCAAAGCCTAGACACCTATGCTGCACAACAGCTCCAATAGTGTCCAGAGAGTGTGGGGGAGGGGCTTCATGCAGAGCACCTCTTCCCCTTCCCCCTAAAGCTGGCAACCTTCAACAGGCCAGTGAGGCAGAAGGGACAAGAACCCATTATCGGGGTCTATCCTATCGCAGAATCCTAGAAAGGGAATAACAACTAGTTAAGAAATGCCAAGATACATGCAAGCTGTAGTCTGCTTTTGGCAAGAGGATATTTCACAGGGAACAGACTCCAGCTAAAGTGACTGTAGACACTGGCCAAGCAGTAGTTCTTTCTACAGAGCAAACAGAGGCTATGATGGGAGCTGTGTACAGAGACACAGATGAAGTGAAGCAGGCCAGGGAAGTACTCAGTGAAGGTACCAGCCCCAGAATTGCTGTAACTCTTAGAGGCCATACTGGAAGGTCCTTTTTAAGGTAACGGGAGAGTCACATAATATTCTTATAATTGTTTATTAGTCACCCGGTAATCACAGCCTTCCTGAAAGTGTGCCTCTCTGGAGTACTTCCCGTTGCATAAACCTCCCAGAAGACTGTTCCCATCAGGGCAAGATCCCACTTGCCCAGCCACCTGAGCCAGTCCCAGCCAAGAACCAGCTGCTGCCCCCTGGTGAGGAGCCTATGATCAAAGTGCCTTGAGGTCTCTGGTAGGATCCCCTTCCCACCTGACACCCCAAAACTGGCTATTCCTCACTTGTCTGCTTCAGTCTCAGGACTGGAAACTGCTATTGTCTCATGAAGAGGAGTTCTGTTTTTGCTGAGTGTAGCAGGACACGGGTGGGACTGAGTGCCCGAGACTCTGCCACTCTCCTCCTCACCCACCTCATGGGAACGTCCTGGAGCTTGCAGATGCCTGCAGCCTTCATATCCAAACACACTGCGCTTCCCTTTCGTTTCCAAAGAGATACATATTTGCTTACGGTTTTTATTTTTAAGGAAATACAGATAAGAAAGGGGAAAAGGAAAAGCCTGACTTGATCACCCGAGAGAAGCATTAACTACACTGTGAAGCATATATTAGAGTCTTTTCTCTTGGTACACAGTAGGCTGTAACACTAAAAGCCACAGTTGAGCATAGAGAAGCTGCTGCAGGTGCCTGCCCTGGGCACGCATAGCCCTCTACCCTCTTGCTCTATGGCCGCCACATGTTATCCACGCTAGAAATGCAGTGGCCACCTCAGGTCTTCTCAGTTTGCTACACCCCGCATTCCCTCTACTGGGCTACTTCCACCTAAGTCTGAATCCTAAAACTGCCCTCAGTCCCATGCTCCCCTCCATATCACTGTCACAGACTCTCTTGGCCCTGACTGCCACGTGATTCCTGTCACAATCTCTGGTGACCACAGATCAGAGTCTGAACTCCTGGGCTGAGTACCCAGGCCACATCTGACCCTGGCCCCAATCTAGTGCTGGGTCCCTCCTAACACAGTGCTGCCCTATATACTCCTGGGCTTTGGCAAAGGCACTGCACACATCTCAAACTTCTCTTCTGGCCCCAGGACATCTTAGCACCACCTGAAGCCCTCTAGAAAGCAGGCAGTATTCAAAGTCCTCTGTACCCATTTCAAACCACTGGAGCTCCTTCTGTCTTCTTCCTGACAGTCTGAAAGTGGGGCAACACCCATGGCAGGGCCCACAGGCAATCTTAATTCCCACAGTCTAAACCTGTAGTCTAACACATACCACAAAGTTACAAGCAAGAAGACAGGGACAATGTCTTTCAACCTCAGGGTCTGGCATTAGGCCTGCATTCAATACACCCACGCCAGATAATAATGATACAACAGACATTTATTGAAGTTTATACTGTTCAGGCATAGTTCAAAATGCTTTGTGACTGAAAGCATTTTGCCAGTAAATTCTGACAATAAATCTATGAGGCAGAGACTATGTGATCCCTCATTTTATAGCAGAAGTGAGTGGAGCAGAGTCAGACGATTCCTAAGACAATGTGGTTAAGGGGTGGCAGATCCAGGTCCATGCAACAATCAAGACACAAACTTATTTACCAGGTAGCTCTACTAAGACTTTTCTTTATTGCTTTGACACTATCTATCACACTCTACCACCAATGACTGCATCAACAATACATGAATATGAAGAGTAAAACAAGACAATAAGGCTTGCTTCAATGTTTAGAAGAGAACACACAAAAGTAAAGCAGTGGAGATAAGAAACTCCTAACAAGAGATTGATTTGAAAGAGGAGGAGTAGCAGCAGCACAGGTGGATCTCTATGAGTTCAAAGCCAGCCTGGTCTAAATAGCGAGTTTCAGGCCTGCCAGGGCTACACAGTGAGGCCCTATTGCAAAAAAGAAAAAAAGAAATAGGGCTGAAAAAATGACTCAGTGGTTAAAAATATTTACTGCTCTTGCAGAGGGCCTGAGTTCAACACCCACATGAGGTGGCTCACACTATCTATTAACTCTAGTTCCGGGGGGAACCCAATACCTCTAGCCTCCACAGGCACTGGCACAAATGTGTACATGCCCACTTAGACACACATACACACAATTGAAAATAATAAACACATCTGAAAAGAAAAAATATGTATCGTTGATCCTTTGAGATGACATCAAGGACCTGCTTGGCATTGCTGTCCACGTGCAGCAAGAGGAATGAGAGTTACTGTTGCTAACATATGTATATCTGTTGGTCTGGGCAGAAATGTCCCTCTCACAACCAGCACCCAAGGAAAAGGGTGGCCACTATCTTTATACAAAGGTTGGAGGTAGGTGACCCACAGACAGTATCCCTTTCCCCTCTCTGGAGCAAGGAGGGCTTTCTTCTTGTTTGGTAAATTGTTCAGGGGCAGGTGTGAAGAGCCGTGGATGACTTGACAGTGGAGACTACAGTGGTCTGAGGCAGTCACAGAGGTTGGTTTATAGCAGTGTTCACAGGGTGGGACTTGAAGGGGGACACCAGCAGACAGGCAGATTAATTCTCTTCCTTAGTAGTGTGGTCAAAATGAGCAGATTTATATTACACCTTTCCTCAGTTCTCAGATTTCAAATAATTTATGAGGTTAATAAATGATTAGGCCCTCTTGGGTGGTGGTGGTGCACACCTTTAATCCCAGCACTTGGGAGGCAGAGGCAGGTGGATCTTTGTGAGTCTGAGGCCAGTTTGGTCTACAAAGCAAGTTCCAGGACAGCCAGGGCTGTTACACAAGGAAAGGAGAGGCAAAAATGAACCAACCACAAGGAGTCATGCAATTGTTGCAACTTTGCAATGTGTGGCTTTGAACTTCCTGACAGCGGGGACTG